ACGTGCTGAGACCTGAGAACACATACCGGCGGTCGGTGATAGATCAAGTGGTCTCCTCAGCCCTTCCCGAGTCCTCATCTGCTGATGAGGTGTCAGCAGCTGTAAATGCCTTTATTAGCGCCCAGCTGCCACAGGAGCTCACGGAACTGCTTGAGAAGATAGTGCTGCATAACAGCGACTTCAGTTCGAACCAGAACCTGCAAAATTTGTTAATATTGACAGCCATTAAAGCAGAGCCTTCACGGGTAATGGGATACATCAACAGGCTGCAGAACTTCGACGGCAAGGCAATTGCCCAGGTGGCTCTGGAGAATGGTCTAAGGGAGGAGGCACTGACGATCTACAGGAAATTTGGGTTGTTGGCAGAGGCAGCAGACACTCTACTAGAGGCTGCCGCAGAAGGGGGAGAGCAGGAGTTGGAAAGAGCACAGGAATTCGCGCAGCGTTGCGGCAATGCTGAGGTTTGGCGCAAGCTTGGAAGGGCGCAGCTGCGCCAGGGGCGTGTAGTTGAGGCTGTAGACTCTTTAATTAAGGCGAACGACGGCGACGTATTCAGAGAAGTTGTGGAGAAGGCCACCGAACAGCAGGCTTTCGAAGCTTTGGCGGATTATCTCCTCATGGCTCGCAAGAGTATTTCCGTTAAGGACCAAACACTGGACTCCGAGCTCCTGTACTCCTATGCAATGACGGAAAGACTTGAAGACTTGGAGATGTTTCTGAATGGGCCAAACACGGCTAATGTGCAGGCCATAGGGGACAGACTGTTCGAGCAGGGAAATTTCCAGGTACTTTACTTTAACGCTGTAACAGGCAGATTGCTCTTCGGGGAAGCTTTTTCGATTGAGGTTCGTTTGCAGTTTGTGCCCTGTTCTTCCTCCTGGTACTCCCCAGGCTGCCAAAATTCTGTACCAGAGCCTTCCAAATTATAGCAAGCTGGCGAGCTGCTTCGTGAGGATGAAGGACTTCGGGGCTGCTGTTGATGCCGCAAGAAAGGCGAAAAACCCCAAGACGTGGAAGGAAGTGGCCTTTGGAGCTCTGGATGAAGGGGACATAAAGTGTGCGCACACGGCTGGTCTGCAACTGATTGCCCACCCTGACCTCCTTGATGCTTTAGTAGAAGAATACGAAAGATGGGGCCTTCACAAAGAACTGATGGAGCTTCTGGTGAGTTTTGGTATAGACGAGCTGTCGCAGAGGCCATTTGGGTTTCTACCGATTTCAAAGTGAGCCATCTTTTGCATTTGTCTTTCAGGAAATAGGCGCCCAGGGAGAACGGACCCATGTGGGTCTCTTCACTGAGTTAGGAGTACTGTATGCTACTTACGACAGCACTAAGCTAATGGATCATTGTAGGCAGCACAAGGGACGGATGAACATTCCAAGACTTATTCGGACTTGCGAGAAATGTTGCCTATGGAAAGAAGCAGTTTACCTACATACCATCTACGATGAATACGAGCAAGCGGCCAACTGCATGATTCTTCACCCTACGGCCTGGCAGCACGACCAGTTCATTCAGGTTTGTCTTAGTTTGCATTGTACGCTAATTGCAATATATGTTGGGTGTCCTTGAATATGAGGCGCAGGGCTGTGGAAGTAAGAGGTATTTAAAAACCATGAAACTAACGATAGACTTGCATGAAACTAACGATAGACTTGCATGAAACTAACGATAGACTTGCAGCTCATTTCGTCCCTCACTTGGGGCACTGGGAAGGAGTGTAGCAGAAGTTTCTGCGTAATGGCCTTGTAACAGTTCTTTTGTTGGCACCTTAGGTCATCCAAAAAGTCTCCAATGTGGAGTTGCTATACCGCGCAATTTCTTTCTACTTGGAGGAGCATCCGCTACAGCTCTGTGCGCTACTCAAGGGGATGGACAGGAAAATAGATCATTCACGGGTTGTGCAGCAGCTCCGCAAGGCGGGGCATTTGCCGTTGATAGAAAAATATTTACAAGAGCAGCTGCCGCTAAACGTTGCAGCGGTTAACGAAGCCATGCTCGAGCTACTTGTGGCTGCACAAGACGAAGAACGCATACGAGAGCTCATCTTCGAGTGTGACAACTTTGATCAGCTGGGCCTAGCGAAACAGCTGGAGTCTCACAGAGAGCTTGGCATGCGCAGGTCAGCCACCAGTATCATGCTTGGACTTCATGCATGTGGAATAAGGGAGCTCCTCTTTTGAGTTCGTAATAGCCATCTGCGTGAGGTGCACCTGTGGTTGCTTGTAGAGGTTAAGGTGACGTTTTGTGATGAGGGATTCGAACGTTTGCAAGCCGTAGTTGCATGCATTGGCGGGGGCCAGCAGTAGCAGCGCAGAAACCCTTTGTTGAACGATTTTTGTTGCGTTTCAGGATTGCAGCGCTTTTGTACCAGAAAAACAGAAAGTATTCGCTGGCAATCGAATTGTCCAAGAAAGATGCGCAGCTCCAGGATTGCATAGATACAGCAAAGGAGTCAGGCAGCGCCCAGCTAGTTGAAGATTTGCTGAAGTATGCCAAATTTCGCCTTCATCCTCCTCGTCGTGCTAAACTGAAACGCTAGAACTTCGCGTGCAGCTAAGCATTGACTGGTCGTTGCTGTGGTGCATTTGCATTGAAAGATAATATCATCATTTTGATCATTTGAGAATTGGAAGTGTGGCTGAGTATCTTGTCTGAAGGTATTTCCTGACAGAGTCGAAAGATCCTGAAGCGTTCGCCGCTTGCCTACACAGTTGCTGCGACCTTGTCAAGCCAGATGTTGCATTGGAGCTCGCCTGGCGCCACAAAGTCGTAGATTTCATTATGCCTTACCTCATACATGTAAGGAATATTAGGCTAGGGAAGTTTACAGTGTAAGAATGGAAGCTTTCTGATGTCTTCTGTGTAGGGCTTTTGAAATCGAATATTTAATGCCGCAGTTGTCACCAGCTTTTTCTGTTGCATCTGACATAGGTTGTGCGGGATGTCACTACACGACTGGACCAGCTGGACAAGCAGCAACAGCAGCAACAGCAGCTGCAGCAAAGCGCCCCCAATGATTATGTTCCCGACTACAGCATGCAGCCCATGACAATGCTACCGGGAATGGGGGGGTTGGCTTTGATGCCTCCCTCGTCAAACTGCACACCGCCCCATCAGACTTTTGGTCAGTGGAAACAGCATCTAGGAATGTCAGGCTAATGGAATACCAGGAAATGGTGCGGAGAGGCCACTTACTTGCAGTTTTACAAAGGTGCTGCTGCTGCGGGTTTCCTTCAGGAGGTGCAAATGCTGCATCAGCAAGTGGTGTGCAGTGTATCGGCGAACGCACTATGCTTCCTTCTCTGTAGAAACAGCAGAAAACATCATAATTGCCGTGGGGTCCCCTCTGAGAGTAGGAGGAGTAGTGGATGGGGGCCGGTGCTTGCAGTCCACTGCAGTTGGAGAACCGAAGCAAAGTTGACCATAGCAGGGTCTCTCGAGTTGGATGACGTGCAGATTCGGTTATTGCTGGTGCAGCAGTAGCAACATATCAAGACGCGGCCGGAGTCGATGATGCAACTTCAACTGGTATGGCTGTTCCATTGGTTATGGCCTAGTTGGCATTTCTGTTGATATTGCTGTTGTGGCTTTTAGCGCAAACCCCCATTTCACGTTTCACGAAAGGACAGTAGCAGCAACATCCGGCGCCGGGTGTTACGCTGAGCATTTTTACCCTTGAACGCATGGGAAGACTTCGTGGACAGCTCATTGGCTGAGATGGACGCGGCCGAGTTGTTTTTGGATTCTCCTCCTGTTTGTAACATAACGTAACTACAACTCGGCAGCTGCAGGAAAGCAAAAGCGGGCGAGGCCCACGGCACTTCCTATAGCGTGCGCAGCTGCTACGGGCTGTGGCCGCATATTGCCGCTGCGGACTGGTGCTGCAGCTGCAGCTCAATGAATGTTGCGGCAGCGAAATCTTCGGCTGAGGCACCAGCTGCTTCCGTAGCAGCAGCACGGAGCCTGAGCTGCTTCAGGCTTGCCTGCAGCTGCAGGTGTATGTACAGCGGCGGGCTGCCTGCTTTCCAGCAGCGGAAGCAAGCGTAGTCGTTGTCTCCCCATTCGCTTGCTTCAGCAGCTGCGCGTCTGGGGTACTTTGAAACGTCAGTGCTTTGTTGCAACGCGTGGTGGAACGTAAGTAAAACCAGTATTCCGTGCAGATTTACGTAGATAGGGAACAGCCGTGCATAGTTGGTTACACAGCGAATAGCAGCCGCGCCGGAAGCTGGTTGTACCAGAGATTTGTGTGGCAGCATCAAAACCCCAAGCACGAGGTGTTTGGTTGCTCATTCGCCACAGTGAGTCGAGCATAAGGCTTACAGAAGCAGCGACGAGTTTGCCCTATACATGCTGCAGATGTTTGCTTGAGTGGGTGAGTGGCGTGCTGTTACAAACTAGCGGGGACAAAAAAAAAGTCGCGTATGAGTCTGCCAAAGTTGAAGGCAGGGTATTTCGTAGCTGTGGCTTCCTGAATCTCATCACTATGCATAAGTCGCATGGAGCGGGCAGCATCGCTAATTGAGACGTACGGTAGCAACCTTGTCAAACGTGATCTTTGTGCATTGACGTGGGTGGAGCCGTTGGCCAAGACTAATCGTGGCGCTGCTGTGGGCACCTCACGCGTGCATGAGAACATGAAAGGCAGTATTAGCCGTCTGCGGGGAGTGCGTTACACGGCCTCTGGCCGTCGCATTGACAAAGAGGCCCTGCATTGATATAAGGAGACCCTGCTTGGCAAATTACCATCATGACTCTACATCGTGGAACTAGCTACTAGCTAGAGGAAAGAGCTGCAGGCAGATTATGAAGAATGCTGGATATAGGATCCAGGGAGTCCGGCACAAACTCTGTTGAACAATGAGTGGACACAGCTCGAAGTCGGGCTTGGCAAATATCACACTCTGACACCTATTACTCAGTATAATTTCCTGCAGAAGCGACAGTGGTGGGCGGTTCAGTTGTCCTTTGCTCAAAGCGGCCTAAGGGCGTAGTCTCGTCAACTCTCGCATGGTTTACCTTCGGTGATATCGTCATAGCGGAAGGCAGCCCATTCTTCCCTTCGAAAGCACCTTGGAATTTTTGGCGAACAAAAAAGCTTCTGCTTAATGCGGAGCACTGTTCCATCAGAAGGTGCACTGCCCATTCTATACATTTTCATTGCAGCACTCAACTCCACTGCAAAGGAGTAAAGCGAAACAGAAAAGTCAGCCGTCGTCGTTGTAGGCACCTGGGTGTACTCGGTTGGCACGTCTCTGACGAGATGCAAGAACCAATTATCCCACTGCACCTGGTTACCGAGAACTTTTTTTATTGAGTGTATTGCGTTCAACGTAAGGAACCGGCGCCCTAGCACTTCCACGGCTGCGGAAGGTCTGCTCGGCGGTTCGTTGACCATGAAGGTACGTGCGTGGAACTCCAATCTTGATGCAATCCTCATTATTTGTTTTGCTTGCTGCAAGCCTATGAAACGGTTTTGAAAAATGTTGCGGAGGATAAGAAGCTCACGAGCTAAAAACCGCGGGCACGTCCTACAACGTGGAAAGGGCTCAGAGGAAGGAGGGAGTTTCACAGCTGAATCCAAGAGAGGTAGACGAACAAACGGATGCGCAGCCACTCCTATGTCTATTGTGTTTGCACCAGTCGGTTTTTCTAATAGCATTTTTCTTAGCGTAGCGCAGTGCCCATGTGAAGCAGACGGGTCTTCTTCCTTTTCGTCGTTAACCCCAAGGTCGGTGGAACTGGAAAAGGAGTGAGACGCTTCGCCGATACTAGATGATTCGTCTCCACCAAAAAGCAGCGCTGCGAGATGTGGGTAGTGCGAAACTTTTTCTTTGCTGCCCTCCGTGGAAACCATTTGCACTTGAGTTCCGCTGAATCCCTGTGGGCCGTGTAATTCAGCTCCGTTTGAAAAACCAGCGCCTTGCTCTAAACGCACCGTGAAGCTTCCCCGAGCGTGCAGCTGTTGCTTACTCTGCAACTGCGGCGTGAGCCCCGGATAACTTGAATTCACTTCACGTATATCATGGACAAGAGTGTACTGCGGAGGTTCATTGGCACTGCCTGGGGACGGCGTGTAGGATTCCTCCAAATACAGTTGCAGCTCATATTCTCCTATCTGATTGGCTGGTGCCTGACTCGAATATCCGTCCTCACTTGTAGCATGCTCATCATGTCTTTGCTGGGATACTTCATATGAAGCCATAGTAGACCCCTGCATAGGTAGTTGCTGCTCAGCCTCCGACGAAATAAATAGTGTTTCTTCTGAAGGACTCCTTCCATGTGTGCCATGAGTATCGGTGTACTGCTGAGGCGTGTTGACTTGGTCTGAAGATATTGAAAAGGCTCCGTGCAAAGCCTCTTGTGGTGCAGTTTCGGATTGAAAGGTGGCCTGCATTGTTCTCGGCAATGCCACTTGATCTAAGACATCCTCGTCAAATTGCTGTTGAAACTTTCCAACTGGCTGTGGATACACTGAAGGAGCTCCCCCAACATGCTGGTCTAGCCCAGGTTGGTGTGTGCTGTGCGAGGCTTCTACTTCATACGTGGCATACAAATCAGCGTAGCGCTCAGTTCCGGTGATGTGAGCTGGCCACATTTCAGAGGCGTCTTGCGAAGATGGCTGTAGCTCAGGCGTAAATAACGGCATGAGCTCTTGTTGACCCGATAGTAAGACTTTATCTGCGCAAGGGAGACCACTGGACTGTACAGTATACGTGTGGTGGCACGTTGTTGCTGTAAAGTCTTCAGCAGAGGGATCCAGCAGCAAATGGCCATATAAGTCCGACAGTTGGCTTTCTTGCAGGCCTAGAGATTGATGCACATGCAGTGCTTCTGAGACTTTCAGCACTTTCGCGTCCGGCGCACTAAGCTGATCCCCTTCAATAACTTGAAAGGGCCTCTTTAGACTGGCATCCGCTGCGCCCTTCTGCGTATTTTCATCTAAATATGTTTCCGCATCTAGTTTCCGCATGGAGCCGTCTTCTGGAGACAGCAAGGTGCTGCTCGAACTTTGAGACGTAGCGTCAAAGGTAGTGGGAAGGGTCCACAGTTCTCCTCCCTGTAGCTCCAGGCAGAGACTTAGTAGACCATCCGTATTGGAGCTTGCAAGTCGCCGCGCTCGTAGACTTCCTTGTGCGCCCCCTTTTACAGGAAACCTACAAAAGTATATGATCGCCACTATCCCCAAAGTGTAGGCCAGAATCGCCCAAGACAAGACGAAGGGGGCCTTGAAAGGTGGACGTGCCTTTGCCCAACGAAACTGGAGCCCCGAGGAATAGCCTCTACCGACATGCGGTAGGGGCGTGTTGAGCAGGCTTTGGCGACTCACAGCTGTAGGGCCTTCAGACAATCCATCAGTTAATTGGTAACCACACGGTGCGTCTGCGCTCATTTCAGTAGCTGCGGATGTCTTCAAATCCATCCTCGCCTCAGGAACGGGCGGGATGCTCTGTAATGTATGAAAATAGCGCCTTCTTGCTCAAGTTAAGGCATCTGCAAGCCAGTGTTCCTCTGTAAGACAGTGGGGACGTAACCGTTTTGAAAACCAGCCAAAACCTGCCTAGTGCGGTGTTTAAGAGCTGAACTAGGGAAGATAGTCCTTTAGTTGTGGGGAAGGGATTGGAAATTCTCCAATATTCTACAGTCTGCGAGTTGGCGGTCACGGACCGGCTGTTGTCCTCGCGCGGTAAAATCCAATATCAACCAGCCCTTTTGAGCCAAAGAGAACACCAGACCATCTTCTAGGTGATGTTAGCGAATTACAGTGTTTGTGGCACTCCTAAATGATGGTAGATTCCGCGAATCAACTATTGCTGCATGTCCAGATCATTGCACTCGATTCTGAGATCGAGTTAGGCGAACAACGATGTCTCCTGCTGACAGCCGCTCCCTTATGAGGGGTTAATTCACAATTTCGGTTAATGACAATTCCTTAATTACAATACATTGTGGGGGGTGGAGAACCTTTCACTGGCGGCCCAACATCTTGTGGCACTTCAGAGTTCGCCCCGCGGTGCATCCAGTGACGTGACACGTGATCTGGGCATCAGTTACCCCCCGCACATCCCTTACGTTCGACACTCTCGTGCCATTGAATGAAGCTTTCTTCCTGGTTCCTGAACCACCTAATCATTGCTTATCAAGTGCACGCGGTTGCCGAAACCTCTATGAAACTAGGCACTCCGACCAGAGGGCCAGCTGTACGCCTCAATGTAACCGCCATTACTCTCGGACCAGGATTGTTTGGGTCCACGCCCTGTCCTATCCCGTCTGCCCTTGCCAAAATATTTAGTGAAAGAGACAAGAGTGAACTACAGAAAGGCGGGGTTCTACATGGGGAGAATTTAGCACTTTCCACTGCGCGTAGCCAGAACCAGCGCCTGCCCCATACACTGGCTGGCTACGCTGCTCAGCAGAGCCCAGACAACTAAATCCCGCAAAAACCCCACAAATGCTTGTGTCTCTGCAATATCTAATATTCATTGTCTACGTAGCTTTGCTGCCACGACCAACTCTACTATGCGCAGCTCCTTGCACTCAGCTCCCAGGACCCCAGCGGCACCTGCTCATCTGTGGAGTCCTCTTCCTCTGCACGCTTCAACATTTGAGAAGCTACTGTTTCTCTGATGCCTGCTATGCGACTAGGAGAGGGCCAAAGCTGCTTTGCCGCCTCTTGAAAGTGCTTTGACCGTCGCAGGAGACTAGGTGGACTGCTGCCAGACTGCCGGCAGCATAAGCTGCAGCGAGCCGTAGAGCTGCTCACAGTATGATGGCACTTGGCGTACTATCTTGCACTTAAACGCTTGCCCGTGTTTGCGGCCTGTATTGGCTAGGTCATGAGAGTATGAGTGTTGCTGTTTTTTTTTCCGTACGTGAAGCCTGTTGACTCAGCGTAACTGCTCCGTAGGAATTTGGAGCCGCAACTTTTACCCCTGATCGTCTCTCTTAGCACTTTTCCAGACTCTACTACTGGCAGGTTCGGAGAATCTGTCTGTGTTTTGAGCACAGCCTAGTGAGAGGCACTACGTTACCGTGCGAGTTGTAGGCCATTCCAGTGTCGGCACTGTCATGAAGCTTAGACAAAGAAATGGATAGGAAATTATAAGCATTCATGCTGCATCGCTAGTTCATTTACTCCGTAGACAAGGCACGGCCTGTCGCCGTTGGGAGTAGTGAGCACACAGCGTAGGAAGGTGGTACATTCTAAGCTGTAGTCATAGGACCACGGTTAGACAAACCATGCTAAGCAACGCAGGTGAGTCCATTCGCGCTTTGCAACTAAGACCAGCACGCTCAAACGGAACACCTTGTGCTGCTGCTAATATTACACAGTACTAACCAGCGTTCAGTAGCGAGCTCTTCACCTAGAATCCAGTGGCAAGATTGGTTCACGCTTCCATGCGCATCTCGACAGCTGATTTTTTTCTGTATGCCGAGTTGCACTTCACAGCTAGCTGCTCCGTGTCCGTTAACTCATCTAGAATCACCTTCGTTAACCCATCTAGAATCATCTGGCACTCGAGTACGGCTGTTTGCTTGTGGCTTGTTTCTTCCCGCACGATGTATTCTTCTTTACCACCATTCATCTTGCCCCTAGCCATAAACATCTCGTTTTTTCCAATGTTTCGACGTACCGGTTTAAACATCACATTGCTCTTTTCTTTAAGAGTTTCACCGCGATCCCTTCGCAGGTCCTCAGTAGGTTCATGAGCGTACTGTCCTACAGATTATACAAGCTTCCCAGTTCTCTCTCTACTTTGCTTATCCCGTGAAGGTCATCCACTCATACCTCTGCACTTCGAACAAGTGCAGCCGCGCTCCGCAATGCGCTTGTCTCTGCTCTCCCGAATTTTGGTGCCTGTGCGCATTCTGTGTGACCACTTGGTTGTGCTGCCAATTGAACCAACGTTCAGTCCCGTGCCTGAAAGTGGGATGCCAGTTGCCCTGGTGCTACACCGTAAGCCTGAACCAATATTACAAGACCCCCCTATATACTCTGTGGGATTTCCACTCAATTAAATTTCAATCAAATGCGCCACCACTACCTCCCAAGATGTCCCACAAAGTAAGGCGCTCGTATACTCCTTCATGGGCCATCGAGATGGTGCCTTACCGGCTTCGGAATGGAGTGTGTCTAATCGTTTACGTGGACTAAGTAAAAAAACGTGCTCAGCGTTCGGTCACTTGAAGAAGACAACTTTCAGACTGTTGTTCCTGTGTCGCTATCTCGGCGGCACTACCATGGCTTGGAATGTGAATGCCCGAACGGGGAGAGGTCCCGTGGTCCTGGGTCTGTTCACCATGCTCCCTTGGCCTTTAAGTTTATTATGGGTTTCTTGTACGCCCATCTTATACTATGTATAGGAATTGTATTTTTCATGCAGTCCCACTCGTCATCTGTGCCACAACCCCACTCTTCCTGTACCTAGGGACTGGAACAGTCCGCAACCATCGTTGCCGCTTGCGTTGGTCTGCGTGTGTCTGGCTCTATCTATGAGTTTCGAGATGCATAGTATTGAAATGCGCGCTCTAAATAGAAGCTTGTCACTTGCAAAGATCAAAGAGCACTTCTCAACTACAGTGAACCACAGCTGCTCAGTTCCTGCAGCTGCTCAGTTCCTGCGTGTCCTCTCCAGCAAATTCCAGCGCGTCTGTACGCATGCGTGGACTGTGAATAAAACTTGAAACAATACTTGCACCAGATTGCTTTTAGATACTTCATGCAGAATGTTCCACCCCCGCAACGCATCGTGAGGACTGCGCAGCAGACATGGTATATGCAGTTGCGCTGACTGGAGCTGGACAGTCCCAGAACCCATGTCTTTTGTTGCACTGGCTACCTATCTTGCCACGACTATCTATTCCACTGATGCATCTTGAGCTTCTGCAATGATCCTCTGCCCTTCTGTAGGGCGCAGGAGAACTCTTACAGTTGGTTGGCTAGGAGGAGTGCTGCGTTCTGCGAAGGAAACTGAGCCCAGACATGCCTTGAAAAGGCCATAATCATTCAGAAATTTGCTTTGGTACACTTTTACATTGGAAATGAGTGGAAGCAACCAGAGCGCATTGCATGACGACGAGTGCGCGACCACCATAGCCTCGGAATCCACCACAACCCCCTATGTAGATCTGCTTTGTGCACTGGCGTCAACGTATATGAAGAACAAAAATGAATGCAAAATTACAAAGAAAACAGCCTCCCCACGTTGATAACGATTGCGCACACGAATAGTTCGCTTAGAGTGCAATTTGGGTGAGGTCGTGTGCTCAGTGCGCGCGTTGCGGGGAACACCCGCAGTATAGTAGTCCTACGAGTCAACAGTTAGCGCAGATGGGAATTTCTAGGTTGCTTCTGATTAGTAACAAAATGGAATAGAAAAAAATATGATAGTTTATGCTATGAGAACACCGTATTCTTATCACATTCGTCCGCAACACTGCGGGGCGAGCGAGACGAACTGCTAGGCTGTCCCTGCATCCGCACTGCGTTGGCAGGCTGTAAAGAGACGAGCGCTGTGGTCCCTGCATTGGCTTTTGGACAAATACTACAATTGTTTGTTTACAGGAGTGCAGTGATTACGAATTCTTTTCGAGTTAGGGCGTCTAACGGTTGTAGCTACTTGCGCTTCCAGTGTTCGCCCCGTACTGCAAAGCGTGCGAGGTGCTACGGTGTCCCATCCACGTGCTGCAAGCTGTTTGCTCCGGGTGGCTATGCTCTTCGTGCCTACGCTGCTTCCCTGCCCTCCGTCACATCAGTTTAGCTGCAGATCTCCACAGGAGATGTTCAATTAAATTTATTTACATTTTGTTGCAGAACAGCAGCAAATTCCCCCAGCATTGTGTATTCATATCTCGTGGGGAGTGGCTGCCCCACCGTGGCGCCCTGCAGTTTGGCATGTTTTTTCTTGGCGGAGGTCTACGGCGGGGTTAGTGGTTTGATCTTGTTGCGTTTTTCCGGTGCAGGGCTTGTGGGTGTTTCATATCTGGCCTGCATTCGTTTAGCTTGAGGGTAGCAGGCTTGTGCCTGTTCGTCGGGCTCGAGAAAATGGAGAAGATCGATGCAAATGCCAAAAAGGAGGTGGACGCTCTTGGTGATGTCCCCCCCTCTCGTTTCACCCCCAGGAGCTGCTGCTTGCCAGCCCCTGCCCAGTTTGTGTTAGTGGCTGTGCTCGGCTCTTTCCAGTTCGGCTACAGCTTTTCTGCTCTTAACACATCCAAGGCAGTCATTATCGCTGACTTCGACTGGTGCAAGGGCGACCCGAACCACTTCATCGATTGCAGCAATGGCGTGCTCTACGGGTCTCTAATTACCACCGCGGTCTTCATAGGCTTGACTTTCGGTTGTCTACTTGCAGGGCCTGTAACGAATTTCGGGCGCCGCGTGGCACTGATTTTGACGAATTTGCTCTTCCTTGTGTCCAGCGCCCTGGCAGCCGCAGCAGATGGGGTCGCTTCTCTTTTCTTGGCCCGTCTTTACCAGGGACTGGCTGTCGGTCTAGCCACTGTATGCGTGCCCATGTACATTTCTGAGTTCACGCCGGATAGCTCTCGTGGTTTCTACGGCACGCTGCATCAGCTGCTGATTACCATTGGTATTCTGGTGGCGACTCTGTTGGGTCTGGCCTTCGGTTCCCCACCGACGGACACGGATTTCACGTACAAGGTTTCCCTGTTCCAGCAGTGCTGGTGGCGGTTCATGCTGGCCTTCCCCGCAGCGGTGTCGATTGTCGCCATTCTTTTGCTGTGGTTGGTGTACACCACAGAGAGCCCTCACTTCCTGATGCATCAGGGGCGCAAGAACACGGCGACGGCGCTGTTAAGAGAGATTTTGGGGAAGGAAGATGTCTCTCAGGAGGTGCAGACAATCGACGTTGCAATCTGCCAGCAGAAGGTGCTTGAGGCCGAGAGTCTCTCTCTGGGCAAGGCGATGACATTCCCGATCTACCGCCACGTGCTCCTTTTGGCCTTTTTCCTGTCCGCCTTCCAGCAGTTCACTGGCATCAACATTCTGGTCGCCAACAGCAACAAGCTCTACACCTCTTTGGACATCGATGCTTCCCTGGTCACGGGTCTCTCCGTTATCTTTGGATTTGTTAACGTGCTCATGACTGTGCCGGCCATCTTCCTGATGGACCGCCTTGGACGCAGAACGCTGCTCCTGTCGGGCTGCTTCGGGCAGGCTGCCTCTACCATTATCGCCCTTATTGCAAACCTGGTCGACCGCCACAACACTGGCGTGCAGTGGCTGACAGTGGCTTGCATCTACGTGTTCGTCATTTCCTTTGCAGTTGGCTACGGCCCCGTGCTTTGGGTCTACCTGCACGAGATTTTCCCGCCAGAGATCAAGCAGACTGGTGCATCTGTCGCCTCTGCGGTTAACGCTGTGGCTACCATTATTGTTGTTTTGCCTTCTGACTTCGTGCTCACATCTGACATGAGGGTCATGTTGGGCATCTGCGGCGGAACTTCCCTCATCGCCTTCATTGTTTCCTTCATCTTCATGAAGGAGACAGCAGGCCTTTCCATTGACGAGTCTCCTTACTTCAAAGGGAAGAGGAGGGTTATGAGCAAGTACTTCGATGTAACAGGTCTTAACAACGCAGGGCAGCCAGTGCCCTCGCTTGCTTCTGGTCATTTTTCGGCTACCCAGCTTGCTCCTGCCCAGGCGCCTTCCTTCACTGGGAAGGAGCTCACTGTCTAAGCAGCCGCGAGGACAGCATCACCATCAGGGGGACATTGGCAGCACGTTTGCTGAAATGGCAGCTCCGCGGCCTTTTGGGGGCTGAGCTTAGCAGGGCCACTGGAGTTATTGCTGTCCTTTCCCGGTTAGGTATGGTATATGTACAGCTGAGGATCGCGCGAGCGCTCTACATGGGTTCAACGTGATCAGCAGCCGTGAAGAGGCCCTTGCTTTAGTGTCTTTGATACATGTTTGGATGTGTGTCAGCCAACCTGCTTCACAGTATGTGCACGTCTACACACGTATCGAGCCAGCTCTTTTTCGGGTTTTTATGTAACGCCACACGCGAGGTTCCTGTGGGGCCTTCAGGGTCTGCACCAGCTCGCTGTACGTTGGCTGCACTAAAGGGCAGCAGAGAAGTGCCTCAGCCAGCAGCGACTGCTGTAGCACGTGCAGCAGCTGCTGCAATCGTGCGACCATGCCTACCATGGAGCGACCGCGAGTGTCAATCCGCGCGTCGCGGTGGCATTTCTGTTTCGTCTCACCGGTCGGCTAGCTAGGTAGCTAGCCATATCTCACCACCACTCTAGTGTTGCGGCTTTGGGGGAGGCGCATGCCGCGCTGTTTGCCGTTATATAGCTCGGGTGCGTGGTCTATTTTTTATTTGTTTTTGTGATGCCATGCAGCTAGGGAATTAGTGCTTGCTGCACGGCCTCAGGCCACCTTTCCGCATGCCGAACGCATGCTGCGTCTGCTTATCTATAGAGGCATGAGCAGATAACGCCTTTCGTACATTTGCTGTAGCACTCGAGGGTGCATTATTTGTTTTCATGGACATGTGTATTATGTACGTACGCGCATGATGTGAATTTATTGATGCGCATGTATAGATACGCACAGATATGTCTATCAACCGACTAGAGTATCCGTACATGTGTATTTGTCTATCTATGCCTGCGTCGGGTGTACCAGACGCTACAGCATGCAAGGCTTTGCGGTGGCTGCATTTTTGAGACATACTGTTGGACGAGAGAACGCTTTCTCTCGTCCTTTGCTGTTCATTGCCAGCTTATCCAGGTTTAGTCTTGTAAGTTAGTGTTTCGTAGGCATGCGCCATGGCCGGATGGGTTGTAGGATAGGATGTTGTAGGTCTCTATCGGGCATTGGATTGTGGGGAGGTTCGGAGGGGTTATTTTCTAGGTGTAATCCTAAAGTAGTAGTAGTGCAGTGGGGAAGCCGTGCAGTAGTGGGCACTTCGTGGTGTCGAATTAGGTGTTTTGGAGCCTTTGTAGGTGTAATCCTAAAGGAGTAGTAGTGCAGTGGGGAAGCCGTGCAGTAGAGGGCGCTTCGTGGTGTCGAATTAGGTGTTTTGTTGCCCTCCAGAGCTGTTCAGACATGGGCGTCCATCTAGTTTGCCTTCAGTAGTGGTATTTGTTTTACTAGGTCTTTTGGTGCCCTCTTGTTCCGTGTAGCAGGTCATGACGTTTAGGGGTTCGTGTGGTTTGCCTGTAGTAGTGGCGTCCGGCGGAAATCTAAGTGACCTCCTGTTGCGCAGGGCGGCGGCAAAACGTTTGGAATGGCATACTAAAACCGTCCTTCAAAGGTTTCATCGGGGAGTCCCTGGTGAACCCGTTGCGTTTTGTTCAAATGGGGATAGCCAGTGGGTACGGGCACCCACCGATGTGTGAACTATAGATGTGGCGAGTGTTTCTTTGAAGTAGCTGGCACTCGTCCTGTGAGTGCCTGCTAGTGGTTGGTCCAGGGCAAAGCGCATTGGCTGTGTGTGCCTGCTCCGCTGCTCATTTGGCTCTTAGTGACCCCTCAGGCCACGAAAGGCTGTTGCCGCTATCATCGCAGTTCCTGTTGCTGCTACTGCCGTTGGCTGCGCTTATGTCCCTCGTCAGCACCTCCAAAAGACTCAGCCCAGTGCGCGCACATCTCCACCCCGTGACGAAGTCGAAGTACTGGGCACCGCTGCAGCCGACAAACTCACCAGATGCATGCATACCTTGAGCAATGAAATCTGTACACAACGCTGCGCGGTAGCCTGCTTACGTGTGACCCTGTCGCTGCCTCCTGATCGTAAACCCTAGACCCCACTGGTGCAGTAGCCAGAATGAAACCTTGACCATAAAATCTCCCCATTGTACCTTTACAGTAGACGGCGTGTACATACAGCACTTACCTCCGGGGTGAGGCGTACCAAATCTGCCTCGTAACGTAGTGCTTGTTAAGAACCAAAGTTAAGCCGCTCTCGCACACTACTTTGAGTACGCCATCCTGACGCAGCGACGGCAAAAACAGCAGCGGCGGGGCCGCAGACAATCAAGTAGTGGCCGCTGTACTAGCAAGCAGCGCAGCGGCAGCTGCCGTAACGTACTCAGCAAAATCGCGGGTCCAGAAACAACATGTCCTAGTGATCAGCGCTTAATGTTTTAGTTTTGGGGTTTACTCGGCAGTCAACGTCATCAATGCCCTCGGCATCTTGCCTCTCCTGCAGCTGTTCGGCCAGCCCACTCAACAGAGCATCCGCAGCTGCTTGGTAATGGATATCCGCAGCTGTGCCTGTGTCATCTACCTCCCCAAAGGCCCCTAAAGACCCCGCGCTTGAGGCAGATGCCTCCTTTGCTGCCCCTACTGCAGGTTCTGTTACGTCTTGGGCGCCACTTTGTGTTGCCGCGGCGTCTTGGGGCGCCGCCCCGCAGCGTGCCGTAGATGAACCACTGAGGCAGCGCAGCAGAGGCGCCCTAAAGGAGCCCGCTTCAAACAAAAGGGCCCCTTGAAGCTCATGGGGGAGACTTGAGAAGCGGAGCCAGTGCTCCTGAGGCTTTTCAGAAAACCTGTGGGTACGTATGGGCCCCTGCTGTGCAGGGAGGCACACCGTTGAGGCAAATACGGAGAAAAATGCGTGTTGTTTAGCTGACGCGAAAAAACGTCCAGCAGCCCCTAAAAGGCCGCCCATAATGGTAGCCATTTAGGCAGCCTCTACCGGCTGTAGGAGCCCGCCCCGCAAGCAATAGGAGGGTGAAGAAGTGCCTGTTGTCCTTGAAAGCTTTTGACGCTAGGAATGGAAGAAAGCTAGCGTTGACCAAGATCTGTTCCTTCTGTTAGCACTACTGCCCCTACTTGTGCTGCTCCTTTTGCTCTTGGTCATAGGGCTTGCCGGAAAATACTACCTCTCTTCGCCGATATTGCTTCAGCCGCCAGATTTGAACCCGTCAGGTAGAAGAAGACTCTTTATGCTGCTGGAGATATTTGTGCTGATGTCGCCGTCGCAATGTCACCTGTTTTGTTGCCGCCGTGCTACTGCTCATGCGAGTTGTGTTAGAGCAGTCCATGGTCTGTTTTACTGAGCTTCCTGTAACGTGCTTGATGACCTCAAACATAGCAAAATACGTACGTCATGACGAAGTTTTAGGACTGAAATCCTATGTGTAGAACTGGTATTACTTACCGTGTGCTTCATTTATCTCGTAGGTTCGGAGCAGGGGCTGTTGCTGCATGCAGTTCAGGCTGCGCCGCAACAAGAAGTGAATAAAGGCTTGGGCGAGCATTTCATTAGTTCTTCCATTTTTAAGCTTGAAAAGTATTGAAGGATCGTCTCGCTTTTCTTGTCTCTTTCTCCTGTCCATCGTTCTCGCCTATCTCGCATGCGGGAGCGCTGGCGATGTTCTGTCCTGCTCCGTGGTGATTTATCTGCGTTGATAATATATCTAATTGCTGAACCGAATTGCAAAAGAATTAATCTCGCTCTCGAGTCAAAGCCATCTCTTTCTGTGGGGCCTCAGTCGGCCACTGTCTTGAACTAGTTGCGGTGGTCCTCTGCTGTGTCTCTGAGGCAATCGTGGGCGCCGGCAACTGGATCGCTTGATCCCCGAGTACACGCTCTGCCCTCTCTTATTACGTTCTAGGGAATCTTAGTTGGTGTCCCCGTCATTCCCTCCGTTTTTCTCTCACCACTTGGTCAGATTCGTCTGCTATCGCCAGGTGCTAGGATATCTCACATACATAAGCCCAATAAACTAAAGGGACTGCACTCACGATTTTCAGAGGATGTCCTCGGCTGAGGAATGGGACTCCTTCGCCCGCGCCACCCGGAACATCTTCCTCGATAGCCCCACAAAGGTAAGTTCTAAAGCACTCCTCAGGGCACTGATCAGACAGATGGCCTATTCACCTCCGCTGCTTGCTCATTTCTTTATAGCTTGAGGTCTGGGTTTGCCGTGGGATGCGTTTGACAGACTCGCTTCTGCATGAAGTACCGCAGGAGTGATTGCCTGCTCAAGGCCAAAGTGACGAATGACGTCTCTGTAAGCAAAGATTTGCGTTTCTGCGCGTGCAGAGTGTCCTGACAGCTCTTCATTAGCCCCTACTTGGCTGGCAATTTTGTGTGTCTTATCGTCCATTGGTTTGTTTATGAATTTTTGTGCTGGCCATTCTCTCTGGATTTCTCTCATTCGCTTGCTTTTTGGCTGGACCAGTTGCCGGTTGGTTTTCTTCTTACGTCCCCGCTAATAAACTTCGCGTTTTTTTAGGTGTGGTCCCTTTGCCTTCATCCTTTTTGCCTCGATTGCATTCAGCCCTCGATTGCATTCAGCCGACTCGGGGTCTCGGTGTTTGCTGTGGCTGATCATGTCACACTTGCTGCCTCTACTGCCTTTGCGGCTTCTGCTTCTGCTGCTTCTGCTGCTGCTCAGTGCGTGAAGTACAGGGCCCGCTCTGTCTCTGAGGTGACCCAGCTGGAGCGGCTCGCCGCGGCCTTCATGTTTTGGGCATCTCACCCCAAACACCAACTGGGGGATGCTGACTTGTCTTTGGAAGGGATTACTCGAGGCAAGAAAGCTGCAGCTTAAATCCAGATTCCTAGCTATCTGCTAAACACTCTTACTTAGATCTGGAACCCCAACACCCGTAGATGCTAACGCAGCGAGTTTCTTTCGCCATTCAGGGCCTCAGCGACGTGCGCTTGGGCCGTTTCGCATGTGTTGCAGTCCAACTGTATTGCCCGTTAGTAGATTTTTTGGATTTTGTGTGGGTGCGCGCAGCAACAGCAAATGCCGATAGCGGAGCGGCCCAGTCCCGTGCTAAGCGCCAGCAGCAACGGAGGCAGCAGCAGCAGCAACATCTGGGCTGAAGGTTAAAGGAACAACAAGGGGAGAACGCCGGCTCCTTTTCATTTGCATGCACTTTATGGAGTCTTTTGCGGTGTTCTCTTGCTTCAGCTTCCTCGATGGTCAGATACAGGGCTCCAATGAGCCTGGGGGCATATAGAAAGGAACTGAGTAGGCCCTGAGGGGCCTCATAGCCGAAGAGTTCCCCTACAGTGGGCCCACAGAGCTTCTTTTGGTGTGTCCCGTGGATAAGCAGGTGCCTGCTGGGTTCCGCGCACCTCCTGCCAACTGTTTAAGTGCGTAGTGCTCCCATTTTGTTCCATGCACTACTTGACTTGTTTAGGGGCTTAGTCAGTGCCCTTCTCTGGGCCTGGCGAAGTCATCTGGGAACCCCAAGGCTTTTAGCTTATAAGAAACTAATACTGTGGAGCGCTTCTAGAGTGCTTTGAACCTCTGGTGATGTTTCCTGCAGTGCAGACAGGTAGTTCGGCAGTTGCTGCACGGCCTGCGTAGAGGACCAACCACCCTCTTTAGTTCTGAAGGTGGACCTTTTAGTTTGTCTGGAGCTCTTTGTAGCTCGAACGGAGGCCCACTGCATGAAGATGTAAACAGCGACCGGGAGGCAAGACTTCGCTGACATGGACCCCAGTGGCAGTTTTAGAACAGTGTAAATGAAACAGAGGAACCCACCAGATGACCAGGAGCCTCAAGTTTGGAACCCGCGTACACGAGTTTAGCTACGCAGTTGACGTCTATCACACTGGAAACAGAGCCAGCGAACCGTGGGGAGCCAGGCTCGTGTGACTGCACGCGCAGCGGCAACAGCACGCGTGGCGGCAACAGCAGCTACTCCTGCACGTGGCTGGTAAAGATATTCGATGCCGTTACACTATTTGGTATTCAATTTCAGACGATCTGGCTGTTGGCTCTTTCAGTTTTTGTTGGATTTACGGGCCAGCTATGTGACAGTCAGGAAGAACCTGGAAGCTTGCTCCTGCCTCCATAGGCAGAACGGAGCCTGTCGTCCGTCTCAGAAGGACCGTTGCATGCATGAAAGAAATGCACAGCAAACTGGGGTCTCAAATAGGAGATTCTACTTGTGCTGCATGTGGCTTCTGCTTCTACGCCTGCCTGGTTGGTTGTTTTTTTTTTGAGCTGTCTTAATACTTTTGTCACCTGTTCTTGCCACAGTAAACTCAACCATTAAGTAGGGCAGCGTGTCCGTGTGTGAACCGAGTATCTACCGCTACTTTTTTGCGGGCCTGCCTTTATCTGGCGGCCTCACCGGGTACACAACTCCATCGCATGTACTCTGAGCCCTCTTGGGCAATGGAGTTTCTGGAACTTTAGAGGCTTCCAAGGGACTCGACAGGCTTGATTCCGTCAAATGCAAAGTTGGGTGTCGTGGAGACTTTGTGGATAGCCGGATGACTGTCCTCTTGTCAGGCTCTCCGGACTCCCTCGCGGGGCTAGGCCTCTCATCAGAGAGGCTCGGTAGTTGTGATTAAGGAGGGTTTTCGTCAGGCTTCGTCTCTGTCTGGTTGCTGCGGGCGGGGCTGCTTTGGTCTTGCACCGCCTTCGCCGATTCTAGGAAGTACTCCGCCAGCTCGGCGGGGGATAATAGAGCTGAAGCCTCCTCCGCTGTATAAACAGGAGGAGCTGGCAATGGGGACCCCTTCAGGGCTGGGGAGAAGGGAAGGTCATCGGGAAACACCTGAGGTGTCGTCAGAGCAAGGGAGCCCTTACTCAACCTATACAACTGGAAGGAAATTAGAATGTGAGTAGTTAGAAAAGAGGGCAGGAACACATAAAAGGCGAAACACGAGAAGACGAAAGCACGTAAACAGCTCAGGTACAAGGAGAGGCACAAACAGTGAACGAAAAAGAACAAGGGCAGGTAAGATCAACAGAGGGAAAGCAAAGTGGAGCAATGAAAGATCAGCGATAATACAGCCAAAAAATAAACTGTTTGGGAGGTATGGCCCCTGACGCTTGGCAAGTGTCAAAATACAATGATTCGTCAACAGCTACTATAGGCCTCCCACCTTAGTCGCTTCTTCTGTGCCCTTGTCTCGTAGCTCAGGGTCAGGCTGGAGGGCTTCCCACAAAGCAGCGAAGCCAGACCTGATGCCCCTAATGATGGCTGTTCGTTCTGCTGTCAGTTTCTGCGTCTCCTTCTCGGAGCCCCCCACAGCAACCGCCAACGCATGGGCTGTGGGGACCCCCACAGACGAGGCCGGGGCTGCAGGCATCCCTCCCTGTTTGGGGGATACTGCTGCAGGCCTTCCTGAAATGAGGGTGTTCAAGTCGTTCGTAGCAGCGTTTAGGCGCAGCATATCGCGCATGTAAATCTCCCTGTGGCCTCTGCGCCTCATGAAGTCGTAGACGGGACGAAGGCCGCTGTGCTTCCGCAGAAAGAAACGCCGGGCCATTTGCATTTCCATCTAATGGCCACACAGAGATAAGGAAATAAGACGGAAACAGAGCGGCAGGTTAAACCAGGTAGGAAAATACAAACAAAGAGCCATACAGACAGAAGAGAAAGAGACAAAATAGAAGGCTTCGACTAACATACATCAGAGAGGCTTGCGACTAAGAAGCCGAATTAATACATAAAAAACACGCATTCACAGGCAGTAAAAACAGATGCAAACGGAAAGAATGGCAGAGAAGAACACCTATACACAAGAGGGTAGGGCAACGGAAAAAAGAATTCGCAGCAAAGTTACAGCCCGCATATGCCTATAAGCAACTTCAGCAGGAGTGGATCTTGTTCAGAATATAAGAATGACAACGGCTAGCAGAAGCAAACGCATCATTATACGTAGTAGAAACAAACAAATGGGCAACTTGCAAGAAACCACACAAACTGACAAACGAGCAAACAAACACGCAAATAAACTGACACAAGAAACGGCATGGCACAGCCAAAGACCTGCAGAAAGAAAAGGGCATACAGGCTATGAGACAGCGCGAGCCGTTTTGGTGTGGCAGTGCGGGCACACCAGCCTTCAACAGTCTGTCTGTCGACTCACTGCCGCCTCTATGCCTCTTAGACGCGTAACGGGGGCCTTATCGGGGCGGCTACGGAGGACCAGGACGTGAGAGGCCCCTTGCGCGATGGCACTTCGGTAGGGCACAGCCTCAAAAAGCAGTGCGTCCGCCAGAGGCTCCGTCACAAAGGCCTTGGGAGCCTCCGCAGCGAAACGGGGCAGGGATGAGGACGCGACCATCGGCAGGAAGTCCCCCAGCGGCCTACGGGTGGGGCCCCCTGGAGGAGGATCCCACAAGGGCAGGTGGACTACAGGTCCAGTCAAGCCCGGCAGCAACATTGACGCACGCAGGCACTCCGACAGCGAGGCCATGTCCTTTATGTTGCCGCCAGAGCTGTCTAGAGTCACAGATTTTAAGCTCAGCAGCCCGGAGGCTATCACCTGGAGGCACACAAGCCCTACGCGCTAAACTTGTTAGCAAAACACAGCAACCCTGCTAGGTTCTCGCAATACGTTGGTTTCCTTGAACTGCCAACGACTCTTTGCTGCCCAGGGCTTGACATCAAAATTTTGGGTTGTACGGCCCTGGAACTAGGGCCTGGAGTGGAGTGCGTGGTGCAGCGCTAAGCGTTACGATTGCATCGGCGTACTTTGAGGGGCTGTTTCTTGTCATTCCTTTCAAACTGCCACCAGTTGAAGGGCTGTCGCTTCTGCAGAACCTCCACGAGGAGAGCGTCCAGGTTGACGAGCGGTCGACCCAAGCGGCTGCTGAGAAAGTCGCGAAGGTCGCCATCCAGCAGACAGCCCAGACCAAGTGCGCGACCGATTCGGCGCGTGTCGATGAAACGTCGCCCTAAGAATGGTAGCCAGTCAGTGTAGACTGCACTGCCTTCGTAAGCGAGTTGTCGAGATACCACGAACGCACCAATCAAAGCCCCTGCGCTGCTCCCGTATACCGCGTCAATGCTGTCCGTGAAGCCCAGATGCTGCAGGCCCACTGCCATGCCCGCACACACGCACGCACGCATCGCACCCCCCTCTATTGCCAAAGCCAGCACTTTTCCGTCCCTAGGGCTCTTCACTGGGCTCTCTGTTCCTTGGGAAGAGGCCCGGGAGACCCCAGGGCGACCCCCAACACCTTGCACACTCCACAGGCGAGGGCCTCCGGCAGTGGGCCCACAGGAAGGAACCCCCTCGAACGGTCCACCCCCAAATAGGCGGCGCCGGTACAGCAGCAGTGCCACAGGGTGTACATGCTGCCGCAGCAAAGTGCTGCACTGCTGCAGCAACAATGAGCCTCCTTTTTTGAAGGCCCCTGGGTCTTCACTGCGTCCGCAAAGCCAACGAGTTAATTCAGAATGCGCAGCGTTACTGCTTCGGACACCGCTGCCGCCGCTACTACTCAGCAACTGCTGCAGCAAGTGTTCCAGGCGCAGCAGCAGCACTGGATTGAAGGGGGGCCGAGGGCAGTGAAGGTCGCCACACACTTCCATCGATCTGCGAAACACAAAACCATAGATGTCAGTTCTACACCCTAAATCCTGAACTGTGGATGTGAGAGCTGCTGGAGCTACACTGAAATGAAAGTTTTTCTGGCTGAGTCATCCCAGGCTGGATTTAGCTGGGAAGAGGATCTAAGGTTAGGACTTGTGGAAGAAACTTAAGCAAATAAACGCCAACGGCTTAGATTTCAGAGTTCAGGCTTAGGGTTTATGGCTTGCTAACGCCAGCGGCACCCCTCTTGCGAGGGCTTTGTCCATTTGTTCTTCGCTGTGTATTTTTATTCTCTTCCTCCCAAACAAGGCACCCCTCAACCCGCTCAGAGCAGCTTGGGGGGCCCTCATCAGAGGGCTTCGCGGGGTATGGAGAACCCCTGTCATTGGCCTTTTCTGGGTCTGGCTGCTTCTTAAGGCTTTCTCAACAAAGTGGGTCGGCCACTGCTTTTGAAGTGAAATAGCTGCATCAAAGGGCCCCGACACGCAGTCATGCGGCAGTCTGTGAGACACAAAGGCAAACCGCCTTGGGTTTACCACATGATTCTGCTGCAGTCGCTGGTGCGGCTGCTGCTGCGGCTTTGGCTCTTGCTGGAGGCACGGGGAAAAGGACAGCGCTGCTGCACCCCCGCCTGCTGCTTGCAGAAGCAGCCACAGCTGCAGCAGCAGCAGAGACTCCCATGCCAGCAGAAGTGATCCTGCACGGCGTACAACTGAGCTTCCGCGCATTGCCGGTGGCTGTTGCTGTTCTTGCTGCTGCTGCTGCTGCGGTGGCAGTTTCTCCTCGTGTAGCGCACCAGGTGAAAGGATCATACGCTCCACTGGGGGTTTCCATAAGCGTTTTTGCGCCATGACTGAGAAAGCAGCTGCTGTACTGCTGCTGTAGCCGCAGGCGCTACTGCTGCCACTGTTGCTGTTGCTGCCGCTGCTGCTCCCGCCCGTGCTGCAGCATTCTCATAGCAGAGAACACCACTGTCCCTCCAGCACATACCGCAGAGAGACACGGAGTTTGCTTCTGAGACAGTTGCTACTGCTTCCCCTTTAGTTGCTGCTGCCGGTTTCGCTGCCCTTGGTGTCCTGGTGCAGCCGTTCTCGCCGTTGCTGTCTCTGATAGCTAGACGCTACGGTGATCTGAAGCCGAAGACACGCTGCGAGCCGCGATGGTAGCCGCTGTAGGAAAGCCTTCACAAGGTTACCTCGCCCTACTTGTGCTGCCGGCGGTGCTGCTGGGGGTGCAGCGGCGGCAGCGGAGCTGCTAGAGCGGTGGGTCCTCAAAACGAAGCAGTCGATGGTTGCCTGCTGCCTTCCCTGGAAGAACTCTTATGTACGTGCAGTTCGTGAGTCAAGCGCTTCTGGGCTGTTTTTGCTGCTGCTGGTGCTGCTATTGCTGCTGCTGGCGACAGAAGCCCCAACGAAATACGGCGAAGGCAGGGGAGCAGCAGCTGCCACGCACAAAGTTGCTGTTGCTGCTGCTTTTAATCTTACAGTTGATCAGACGGTGGTCGAGAGCAGCAGCGCTACAGCCGATGCTATGTCAGACATCCCGTTGCTGCTGGGCGTCGGCAGCAGCACGGGGAGCTGCAGAAAGGTCAACGACTGTGCAGCAGCAGCACTAGTAGGAATGACATTCTTCCTGCCGGAAGCTCCTAAAAGTGCTAAAGGCCGCATTAGCGGCAAAAAAAAAACAGAGACTTACCAGAGGTGGAAGAGCAACCATCACGCAGGCCCCACGCTGCTGCCAGTAGCAGTAGCAGCAGAAACCAGTCCCCTTTGCTGGCTGCTGCTCGGCGGCACCAGCAACTTCTACAGTGTATCTAGAGTTCAGTGCAGCAGAGGCCTCAATTGAGATTTAAACGTCATAGTGGCCGCCAGTTGCACATTTATCGCCGTTGACAGCAGCACACAACACGAGCAGCAGCAGCAGCAGCAGCAGCAGCAGCGGCAGGAGCAGCAGCAGCCAGCTGCGGCAACAGCAAGACAGTTAATCCCAGTATCCGCTGCAACAGCGTTATCTTCGATAAAATTATATTGTCACTATCTCCCGTTGCTGCATAAACCGGAACTACTGCTGTACAGACAGCAGCAGGAGCAGCAGCTCCTGCAGCTCCTGCTGTTGCTCGGATGGTCCATCGGCACGTGAAGCCCTACCCGCTCTTCGGAGCAGCAACGAAGCCTCTGCGCAAGCAGTGGCTCCTGTAGAGACCGATCCTTGTAGTAGCTGCAGCAGCAGCAGCGGCGGCAGCAATGGTCGGCAAAAGGGAGGCGGCGCCGAATGCGCCACCACCTTCTCAGGCATCCCAGTCAGAGCAGCAGCGACAGAAGAAACACCAGCAGCTGCTGCAGCGGCAGTGGGAGCAACAACAACATCGTCAACAGCAACATCGGCAACAGCAGCAGCGGCATCATCTGCCACAACGGCAGCATCCGCCGCTGCCGCAGCATCCGCCGCAGCAGCAGCATCAGCCACCACCACAGCAGCTGCAGCAGCAGCCGCATCCACAGCAGCAGCACCAGGATCTGCTCGCGTTTCAACCCTTCTCTTTCCTTATAGAGGTCTCGTTCTGGCGTTTGCTGTCTGAGCGGAAACTGAAGGAATGGAGGCTGAACACTCCGTGGGTGCCCCTTATCGCTACGTACAGCTGCACAGCAGCGAAGCCGCTACAACAGCAGCAGCATAATCTGCAACACGTGCAGCAAGGAGGGCATCATGCTGCTGGTCCTTGCAGGGTGCGCATTGACGCGGAAGCACTGGATATCGTGCATCACCTTCTGCGGGAGCAGCAGCAGGAGCAAGTGGAACAGCAATTTGAGCAGCAGCAGCATCACCAGCAACCACTGGGGCAAGAACAGGAGGAGGAGCAGCAGCTGCTGCTGCTCCAGGAATGGCTGGACGGGGGCGATGGCTCCTCGCCTTTGCCATCTCCTGAAGCTGCTGAGGCGGAAGCTGCAGCAGCAGCTGCTGCAGGCGCAGCAGCAGGGGCACCCCCTCCCCCTGGAGCAGCAGCAGCAGGGACCTCTAGGCGTTCCGCGTTGATGTCTCTACCCCCATTTGCTGCGCGGTGCCTTAAGAGTGGCACTCGACCCCTTGTGGGGCTTCTGCGTGTTTACAACAACATGGAGGATCTCGTTGCTGCAGTGCGCAGCAGAGCTGCTGCGCAGCGCTGCCTGCTGCGGCTAGAGGAGTCTATCTGTTGCTGTAGCAGGTGCAGCCGCAACCGCCAGCAGCACGAGCACCAGCAGCAAAACCAACAGGAGGCTCAGCATGAGCTTCAGCAAGAGTTAGATCTTGAGCAGCAGCAGCAAGTCATGCACCTACCTGTCAACGACCCCGCGCTGTGGACGCTGCGTCTATGCTGCCGTGACCAGCAACAGCAGCAGCAGCAGCAGGACACTGATTCTTGCACAGCACCATCATCTCCCTTCGCATGGGCAGTGGAAGGGTTTGCTTCCCCAGGCACGGCAGCAGCAGCAGGCGCAGCAGACGCGGACGGGGACTCAACAGAGGTCGCAGCTGAAGCCGCTGGAGCAGCAGCAGGAGCTGTCTCTGGCTCAACGGAGGAGGGAGAAGTCTGCGCCTGCCGCGTGGTGTACGGACAGTTACCAGCGACTGCTTGGCCATGCCGGTTTGTTTTGGAGTCATTTATAGATCTCAAGAGACAGCGCGCTGTCTACTCTATTTGCACACCAGCCTTGAGGCCGGCAGCAGACATACGGCAACTGCAGCAGCCGGTCCGGGCAGCGCCCCCCGTCACGCTTAGGGAACTTGTCGCGGATTTGGAGTCTAATATGCGCGATGACCGTTCCCAGCAGCAGCAGCAGCAGCACTTGCAAAGGGAGGCATTTACTGCTGCGGAGCTTTCAGCAATTTCGCGGAGGATTCGTTCTCTGGACAGCAACACCTCCCCTTTTCTCGCAGGGGGATGCTTCCTTCTTCTCAAAGACAGCAGCAGCAACCGCAACAGCAGCAGCAACGGCAACAGCAAAGGCGCGGGTGGCAAAATGAAAAGCAACACAGGCATTAGCGGCTGCTGCAGCGCAGGTGTCGCCTCTGAATCGCTTCAGCTGCTGCCTCTGGAGCAGCTTGAAAAGCTGCGACACCTCTTACCAGCTTCACAACAGGAGCACCAGAGGGAGCAGCAGCACGAAGAGCAAGAGCTGTACTTATGCGTAATGGACCCGTCGTCAAACCCTGGAGCATTGGGGTGGCCTCTGCGGTGTCTGCTGCCGGCGCTGAGTGAAGGTTTCGAGCTGTTCGGCCGACGCCTCAATGTTTTGTCTTTCAGGGACTGGCTGCTCGACCTGCGGGTGGAGAGTGCCGCTGCTGCAGCAGCTGCAGCAGAAGCCACCGCAGCTACTGCTGCCCACGAGGCAGCGGAGGCCGCCGCAAATGCTGCGGCACACTCGTCACCAGAAAATGCTGTGGCAGCTCCACAAGCTGCAGCAAATGCTGCTGCGGCAGCGAGGAGGGCAGCAGCAACTGCAGCGGCGGCTGCGGCTGCGTGGGGTCAGGTAGTGGAGCCTCTCTCGCGCATTTTTGTTGTGCGTCTGCCAACGGCAGCAGAACTTTTGGGGGCCTTCACGCCTGCGCCTGCAGCAGTACCAACAGAAGCGCCAGCAGCAGCAGCAGCACCAGCACCAGCAACACCGACACCGGCAACCCCTCCGGAAAGTGGAGCAGCAGCATTACCACCACGCAAGGCATCCATGGTGCTCGGGCGGCTGAAGCGCGTAGTACCGGGGGGTGTTCCTGGGCATTCTTCAAAGATAGAGCATCTTTTTCATGTCGATTTGGGGCGTTTTCTTGACCCACGAGTGATGCAACAGGAGGCGGACAACCTTAACATACAGCTCATCAGGCAAGCTAGGCCATTCCCACAGGGCTCTTGAGTGTGCCTGCTGAGGGTTTGAAAAGTAGGGCTTGTGTCACAGCTATCTTGGGGCTCGCAACTTTGGGGCTGTACTCTGGTGGTTGGCTGCACAGTTCAAGGCCCCGAAGATTTGGGCCAAGGAATCAGCTTTTGTGGTCTATTGTGACGGGCTTGTGCTTGCGTGAAGGTGGAGAGTGCTGCCGTCCTTCGTCCCCGAGTCTCTGCAGTCACTGCGGGTTTTGGCAATTGGCGCGGGCACCTTAGGCTGCGGAGTAGCGAGGCTGCTGGCCTCTTGGGGTGTCAGGTAAGCCGTAGCTCCTAATCAGTAGCTAGCATGCAGTCAAAGCTCCCCCCCAGACTGTGGCACTTTCTGTAGCCTGTGGCTTCCTTTCTATCTCTACCGACGCTTGCCTGTCTCTGTGTTTCCGTTTGTTTCCAAAGCGCTGCAACTCTCTTCATTTTCCGTGCTAGCCCTCTTTTCTTCAGTTTCTGCCCATCTTTGCCGAACTGAGGCAGCAACAGAGAATTGGGGCAGAGACAGTGACCTGCCCCTATGTGCCTCGCCTACTCTCTCTGCAATCGAGGGTGTCCTTTATCCCGTATCTAAGGGTGTACACTTAAACGGCTGGTCTATGAGGCTCATACAAAGTGCTGCTGGCCTGTCATAAAATTCTGAAGCTACGTTGTAATCCCTTATTGATGATCAGGGCCATAACGTTTGTAGACGGGGGTCGGGTGGCCCTCAACAACCCCTCTCGGCAGAACCTCTTTACCCACCAAGACGCCGCGGCTGACGTCCGTACACCTTAGGACAAGGTTACGGCTCTGTATAGACACTAAAGCCTGCACTTAATCAAAGCCAAGAGCTGCTCCAGGATAGCTGCTAATAGCACCATGAGCCCGCCGCCCCCAAACACTGAACTTGCTTGACCGTCGGTTAAGTATATAGGAGTAATTAAAGCCTGTAGTTTAGTGTTTGGCGTACCATTATGGGCTGGAACTACAGCCAGCGTTTGTGTTCAGGGAGGCTTGGGACGCCTGAAGGCCGAGGCTGCGCGCGACGGTATTCTCGCAGTCAGGCCCAGCATGGAGTGCAACGCGGTCGTCCTCGACGTCCCCATGCCTGGTTCGGCAACAAACACATCCTAACTAGTCAAATAGATAGCTAGCTGCGCGGCTAGCTGGGCGGCCAGCTAGCTACGTTGTCACTGCGGCAGACGTAGTCATTCCTGTTTTGCACTCGAAAACGATGCAACTAATTTTGGAATGGCTTTGCCGGCTGTTCGTAGCGTATCTTTTAGCTGCCTGCATGGTATCGTGAACAGAGAACTGTCTAAGATGTTAGCTGGATAGGCAGCTGGGTAAGTAAGTAGCGGTAGCTGGGCACGGCTTCCCTTTTCGCGTGCCGTGTATACCTGCGTAGGTCACCCCCGTTTCCTCCTAGGAGATCTTCTGGAGAAGGGAACGGCCACTTTAGAGCGGCTTATTGACTCGCACAATGTTGTGCTACTTCTAACTGACAGCAGGGAGTCGCGCTGGCTGCCCTCGCTCATTGTTGCGGAAAGGTCTGGACCTCTTTTGACACCGTAACACCGTAGTCAGTTGTTGTCTGCATAGTTGTTTGTGTAATTTCCTCTTTAACGGTTGCATGTGTTATACTTTTGTGGAAGCTGCCTCTATGCCTCTGTGTGTCTATGCATATTGCATGCATGTTTTAGTTCATATGTGCATGCACATGCATGTTTTTGTTCGCGCGAACGCAGTCTATGCACAGGTCTGTAAGTATGCTTTTATATGCATATGGCTCAAGCACTGTTTCGCGCTAAAATATGCTTTTACATAGACCACGAATTAGCATGTGCATGCGAGCATGCACAAGCTTACGTCCACGTCTTACTTGTATGGGCTAGCATGCGACTGCTTATGTACATTTTACGTGCGTAATCTCAATGTATAAGCATCAGCGTGCACCTGTACAAGCAAAGGTTCAAGAGTGTTCCATCTGTATAGGTTTTGTTTTCATGCCTCTACTCCTTTGCGTGGAACCACAAAGCATCTGCATGTTGAACTACATACTCACATGCATGTTACGCGTGCACGCTTAGATACACGTGCATTTTCCCTGTTTGCCCGTACTTCCTCATACGTCTTCCGATTTTTTTGTTTATGCACACCTTCCTATGTTCAAGCGACACATAACTCTTGTAGATGTGTAGATACATGGAGGACGTGTCATATCCGTTTACCTACAAATGAGTGAAAGCATGTTTGGTATACTTGCTCATACGCACACATGCACATACACGAAGTCCATGGACATGTTTATAGGTGGTAGTGAAATTGTGCATGGGCATTGTTGTTTCTCTCAGACAAAATCGATATGCTGCGGGATTGCTTCGTGGCAGCCTGGGCCCTCCTTTGGCTGTGACGGTGGCCCTTGGATTTGACTCGATGCTGGTAATGCGCCACGGCTTTGGAGGCAACAAACTCGGCTGCTACTTTTGCCACGCCGTCAATGGCCCCGCAGATTCCATTTCTCACAGGTTGGTTCATACATAGACAAATGCGGTCGCAATAGTTGCTGCTGCAGCTTCTGGTACAAATAATGTGATTGCGAAGAAGGGATATAATCACAGTTACTGGCTCTGTGATTCGTAGTGGCGCTGCGCTGTATGTGCTGCTGCCTTTTCTGGTCTTGATGAAGCGACATTTGCGTATTATGGCTCAGCTGCTGCTGCTGACACTGCTGCTGCTCTAAGAGAATCTGCTGGTTTACCATTGCCTATTGACCTGTGGCGCTGGTGTCTACAGCTATGTTTCTGGAAACTGCTGGTACTTTGGATGCTACCTCAATTGTTCGTAGTGCTGGTATTTTGGTGGTGGTGCTACTGCTGCTTTCAGGACATTAGATGAGCAGTGCACAGTGACTCGGCCAGGTGTTGGGGCTCTGGCCTGTTCTGTAGCCGTGGAGCTCCTTGCTGCTCTGACGCAACATCCCCAGGGCTTTGCTGCGCCCCACACTGAGACTGATCCGCTAGCAGGAGGGAGTGCTGCCGCTGCCGCCGGTTTGCAACGGCAAAAGCAGGGAGGCTTTTCTTGTTTGGGCGCCACACCACATATGATCAGAGCCAACTTCGCAGGTTAGAATTGAAAACTACACTTGCTGCATTGCTACTTCTGATTCTGCCGCCACATCCGTTGCTTCAGTTCAGACGGTTGCTTATCATGTTGTGACGGTCTTACTTGGCCACTGACTGCCCCTGGAATGGTTATCCCGTGCCCGCCTGCTTTTGTCAGTCTGTATTTGCCTTTGAGCCGCAAGTATATATGCTGACATGCATTGCTTTTGCGTACATCCGATCACATATGCATGCATTTAGCCCTTATATATGTAGCCATGGGAGTTGTGTATTTGTCTTTTGTTCAGACTTTAGTTTGATGAAGGAGCACCAGCCGCAGTGCCCGACTTGCTCGTGCTGCTCTCCAGGTATAGTGTCTGCCTATCGATCCCAGGGCCTGAGCTTCCTGCGGGAAGCCACGAGTTGCGCCTCGCGGTTGGAAGAGTATTCAGGCCTAGCTGCCTTCAAGAAGGGCCTGCAGCAGCGAGCCCTCGAAGTGATTAATCTTTCAGACTCGGAATAAACTAACAACGGACAAACAAACGAATCTTATAGAAAATACGAATGAAAAATTTCATAGATGAGTAACGAAATTAGTAGTTAGGATAGGTGCATGAACGGACTCTGGAATTACCTTACAGGTCTCGTGTTTGCCCACAGTCACATGCTTGCATGTAGGCTTTACAACTCGGCTCTTTCCAACTCTCCCCCCAGCATGTATTATTATTCACAGAGGAGGATAGCTGACCGCGCATTGAATGCACTAGTACATAGAAAAAAACACAAATCACATGGAGCATTGGGCACCTAAACAAAAAATGCATGCTCAATTGAATATAAGGCAGCAGTGAATACAAGAAAACCGGTAAGCATGCAGGCATTCAAGTGAAAAGTACGAACGAAGCCGACAGCATGTGCACACAAATATAAATTAAAATTGCCTAAGCCACAGAGACAGAAACTGCGTGAGCACAAAACGCAGACAAATCAACAGAGCACGTGCACAGCGAATACTTCAGCGAAGAGAGCAACAGGCTGTCTGAGCTTGTGTATGGCCGGCCCCTGAAACGGCTCTAGTGAAGACAACTCATCAGGGGGGCTTCTACTAGAAGAAAGCAGTTCCAGGTTCTACTCTGTAGCAACCATCCCTCTGGGCTGCCCCTAAACAACATCGTCAGGCCTCTAGCTTGTTTGCTAGTTGGTGAATAGCCATTCAGTGGGTGGCCTCTAGGCAAGCTCCGGTAAAGGACCTACATGAAAACTGAGACTGCGAGCAGAGAGTGACGGATGAGGAAGAATGAATCGGGTATGACAGAGGTGCTGTTCGATAGGGATGGAAACCATGTGTGCTTTGCAGTGTGCTGGTCTCCAACATTAACACAACATGTCTGGAAAGACACATCCATGGATGTCTATAATATTGCATTCGTAAGTCCTTAAAGGTTGAACCGGTCCGTACACGAAAACTGTCAGAAAGGGTGAAATCATGAAGGTAATTGCCTACAAAGTTCTAACTAGTATAGTTTTTGGTTAAACTGCGCCGAGCCTCATATTGCAACTCGGCATTCATATACACCTAGTTTCCTTCTGAATCCACTGCTTAACAGGAAAGTAGGTGTATATGAATGCCGAGTTGCACAGGCAACTCCTAATGACAGAGAGTAAATGCTGGCCGCCACTAGCGATAGCGATCGAACTGGAAAGTTATTGAATTCACGCGGTCCCCCCGTTCGTTTATGTTTCGTTCTCGGCGTCGATCCTATGTCTATCTCTTTAATCTTTCATGGCTATTACTGTTCTTGTCTTTGTTGCTTGTTCCGCCTGTTGGTGCCTGTCTCATTTTTACATCCGCTTAGAGGTTATGCCCATAACCTCTGCTTTCGTGCTTTTTCCCGAGTCCCTCCATTTGTGTATGGGCCTGTCTACAGACGGACAGATAAAGCGTCGCCATTTATGAAAAATTAAAAATAAAACTATGTCGTAACAGTCACGAGGGTCCCCTCTATCCTGACTGTGGTCCTTGGAATGGGCTGTCAAAGCCCCCAAGGCGCTGAACACACTGTCAGCTGAATGACAACCAAACGGCCACACGGAAAAGCCATACAACGGGCCATGGCACAAACGCTACCGTGACTGCAGGCCCTGAAGGCTCTCAAGCTCCTGCTGTACATCGGGAGCCTCAGGTCAGCCCGCAGATTTATAGGAAACCCCGATTACACTGGGGGGGCAAGCACATAGTCAATGACGAGCATTATTATGTCCAAACATAACTATGTATTCACGAGCCTCTATAGTTATTCTGTGATGCTTTCATATACGTGTTCCGTTTAACTAGTGTATAATGTTTTCACATAACGAATACAGAAATCTGTACGTATAAAATCCACACTAAACGCTCCGACTTAGGTGTACATCATGCACACCTACCCATAAAAAACAATATGTTTATCTATTGATTTACTTATTGAGAGGCAACGCTTCATCGCTTGCACAGCTCACAGCTCTGTACATAAAATTAGACTTAACTGGGAGATAGCATTCCACCTCCTGCACGGCTCTGTACATACAATTGAGCAACTCAGCAAAAATGCTACTGAGATATCCTCCAAAAGGCTCTCACTAAAGCTTATTAAACAGTTAGCAACCGACGGGTCAGCTCGGCCAGATTTTGCAGAGATGCCTCCCCTCCAGCAGGATCCCCCTCACTACTGCGTTGGGGGACCCCATCCTTGCCTGAATCGCAGGCTGCTGTGCGGCGTCGCTCAGCCCTGGAAAGTTCTCTGCAGCAGCACACAGCAAAGCACAATGGATCACGTTTCAGCCCACAGCACCGATTTCTTGAACCATAGCCCTGGAGCCCGGGGCCCAAGCCTCCAATTACATTTCTCTGTGTAGTTTAGAGGCTAGAGTAGCCTGTGCTTGCATCTGTCTTGCTGTCCTTTTGCCCGTGTATCTACACTGCACATGTGTCAGTCTTCTACGCATGCATTGTGGGCTACATCACCCCCCACCTTTGCAGTTTCTTTGCCTTTTTCAGTTCCGCCCGCTCCTTTTTAGTCATCCTTCCTTTTTTTGCCAACTGCTCCCGCTGCTGCTGCTTTTCTTGCTGCTGGGTCGAGCTTCCTGCCTTGGCATCAGCTGCAGCACTCTCGCCACCCCGAGCAACAGCAGCAGCCGCAGAAGCAGCAACAGCGGCGGCAGCATCTGGCCCTGCTTCTACCTCGACGACGGAGACTTCGCCTCCTGCTCCTGTTGTTGTCACTTTGAAACACGGCGAACCTGTTGCTGCTGCTGTTGCTGCTGCTGCTGCTGCCTCACCAGTAAGCCACAATCGAGCACAAGGCAGCAAGCGGATACGCAGTGAAGGAAGAGAGACCGCCCTCCTGCTGCTGCCGGTGCCTTTAATACTGCTACTCGTGCCGTTACTACTGCTGGCGTTGCTGGGCTGCAGCAATGGGGCGCGTTCTATTCTCAGTAGTGTGGGGCCCGCCCACACCCTGCATGGCAGCAAGACCTCTTTCGCTGCTACTACAGCTCCTTCTGGTGCCCCTGCTCCCTTTACCCTTGTTGCTTCTGCTGCTGCGTCTGCTGCAGTTGCTTCTGCCGTTGTTGCTGCTGCACCCTCTACTGGCTCGGCTCCATCGTTTCCGCCTGTTGCGGGCTGAGACAGGTCTTCCGGTGTTGCTGGAGCTTCTGTCGCTGCTGCTGGTGGCGCTGCCCTTGTATGCGCGGCTTCCAATGCTTCTGCTGCTGCTGCAGCTGTTGTAGTTAAGGGCGCCCTCCTGCGGCGAGGCGAAGGCGAAGCTGCGGCGGATTCTGCAGGTACTGCTGGCGCTGCTGGCGGAGGGTTCGTGCAGTTGTGGAGGCGCAAGCTGATGGAGTCGATGGAGAAAAGGCCATCTAAAGCAGCGCCGACACTGCCCGTACTGCCGTTGCCACTGTCTATCAGATTTCGGTGCAAGTAGACCTCAGAGGTGTTGCTGCTGCCTGGTGGCGGCTGCAGCACGGCCATTAACACGTTGGGGTGCGAGGCCCCGTCTTTAGGTGGCCCCCTACCATCGCCGTTGACTCCCTCAGAGTCTGCCTTGCTGCTCTCGTTGCTGCTGTCAGTGCTGCTAGTGCTGCTTCTGGAATCAGTAGAGGTGGCGACTCGCTGGCGCCTGCGGGGCCAGATGGCTGCGAGGCAGCTCCGGCCTCTGTGGCGAAGGGAATAGTTGGCCCTCAAGCGTGCTGCGCTCTGGCGGCTCTTGACGGGCTTCTCCTCTACCTCTTGTGCAGCTTCTGCTGCTAGAGGCGCATAGCGAAAAAGAGAGGGGCCGCCGAGGGGCCCCCACGAGTTCAGCTGCGCCGTTAGGGCCCCCCGCCGCCACGCAGCTCGACAGCAAGCAGCACAGGCCGGGCACAGGGGGCCCATGTTGGTCAGAGATGCCACTGCCCGGAGGGCCTCCAACATTTTGTCCGGCGGGAGGCCCACGTATCTGCTGCTGCTGCAGCTGCTGCTGTTGATGGTTGCGCTGGGTTCATTTGCTGCTAGCTCCTGCAGTACTGCCGCCTCGTTTAATTGGAGTGTCTGTTCTATTGGGGGCCCTTCCTTTGTTGAGACTACTGAATTTTCTTGAGGGACGCCGTCTTCTCCCTGACCCTCCCAGCTGTCGCTATGGGCCTGCAGCTGCTGCAGCGTTAAAGTGCTGGGGGCCCCCTCGGGGGCCCCTTGCATCCTTAAGGAGTTGTAGTGCTGCATGTCAGGATGAAAAGCGAGTTGCAGACAGACTGCGGAAGGCCCAAAGTTCTGCATTTTCCATATGTCCCATTTGGGGGCCCCTCCGTCGTCTTGGGCGGCGTCCGCAGCCCCCCGTTCTCGCCGTGCGGCGGCAGAGGCCCCCGTCTTGCCCTTGCCGCTGCGGTGGGCCCCTCCTCCTTCTCCCCAGCCCTCTTCGGGAGCCACGTAAATGAGCAAGTTGACTTTGTAGGCAAGAGAAATGGCCTGCAGCTCCAGCTGCCCACCCCAAGTGCCGTCTGTGGCCATGCGCTTCAAGTACTTGTTGAAGGGCTCCTCTTCAGTGTCTATGAAGCCTGAAAAGGATGATTCATGGCTCGACATGTAAGATACGGCAGCTGCCCTCACTGCTCGGTGCTGTGTCTGCTGACCATACAACTGGTCAGCAGCAGCACGAAACAGGCAGTTGCCGTCGGGCACAATGTGACGAAGAGATAAGCCAGCCGCCTTCAGGGCAGCAGAGAATGACATATCAGAGGACACAGGGGGCCCGCGGGGCTTGCGGTTGCCCCGAGACCCGCGAGACGGGCCCCTTAAATCCCCGCTGCGTCCCCATTCCCCGTCATCCGGCCCTGCCCCCGAGCCCTCTCCACAGCGCCGGAGAGAAAAGCTCGCTTTTTGTTTCTTCTTCCCCATTGCCTCTGAAGCAACGGAAGAGAGAGAGAGAGGAACAGCGAGAAGAGAGAGAAAGAAACGAAGGGAGAGGAGAGACAACCGACTAAAGGGGAAGCACGGACAGCCTCTAGGGCTCGAAAGGAACAGCTTGAATGAAAGATGACTCAAATTGTGGTCGAAGGTCTGCAGCTTCGAAAATTGGTTTTGAAGTCTAGATCTCAGGAAAGTGAGCCTCAGCGCTTGCAGCGCAGAGCACCCGCTTGCCTGGCTTGCCTTCCCAGGCGTATCGAGAATGGAAATGCAAAGCCCAGAGAAGCTCTTGCGGCCTTCCATACGAATAAATTTATATAAGAGCTCAAAAAAACATATCAGACAAAAAAGCAGCGGCGCCTTTCTCTTCAGTCAGCGCCCCTACAGTTGGGGGCCCCCTAGCGGCTATCGGTTCTGAAGGGGGCCCCTTTGTCCCGCGCCCAGCGGCACTTCTTGCCTTATGAAGCTTTGTACACCCACATGCATTACTAGTTGGCCTCTTACAAATGCAAAAGGCCTTCTTCGAGTGGACGCTAAGCAGGGACCCCATCTTTTTATCGCTGGCGACCCACAGCAAGGGGCCTCAAGCCGGAAGAGAAGTCCTCGGGTGTTCTGCTTGGCCAGGCTTATTTAAGAAGCTCAGGGCCGTTTTCAGGGCACAGTTACCCACAGAGCACCAGCAAGAATAGGAACAGCAACGGCAGCAGCAAGCCTTCAGGGACGGCGGCCCCTCTATTGTATATTGTAATTCCCGCTTGCATCCACCTGAACGGCTTTACATGAGGCCCCCAGTAGCCTCTGGAGGAGGTGGTCCAGGGCCTCCGGGGCCCCAGGTCCCCTCCTTGGCAGCTGCAGTAGCAGCTGCTGGGCCGCAGCCGACCGCTTCCTCACCAGGGGCACCCCATTTGCCGTCCAGTGCGTCTTCAAGCGGCCGCTTATCTTTTGGGTCTCCCCATATTGTCATCTCTGCCTCTCCTTCGCCGAACTCTTCTCCCTCTCTCTCCGCCTTGCCCAACCCCTCAAACGCAGGCAGCGCAGGGGCACCAAGCGCATGCAGCTCCCCGTTGCCTCCACAACACAGGCCAGGAGCTCCTTCTGTGGGAAGGCCTTTGCAAGACTCTTCGAGAGAAACAAAAGGGTCATTTCCCGGGGCGCCATCAGGGCCCCAACAGGAGGGTAGGGGGCTCTCCGATGGAGGATCGCTGGCTGCATATAAAGTACCCCTCTACAAAGATGGGTCTCTTGGTGAGGGCCTGTGGATAGTTGCGGGGGCCCTTCCAGCCACTGTGGCTGCCAGGGGGACCCTTCTCAAGTCGGTTCGCAAGCTCGTAGAGGGCACGCGGAGGGCTAAGGGGGGCCCCAGAGGGGGCCCCCAAGCCCTCGCCGCAGCCAAGGCTGATGCCCTTATGAGAAGACTTGATGCTCTCGCTGCACAAGAAGGGTAAGTCCCACGAGGATGGCCTGGAGTTTAGTCTCGGGCGAATTGCAGTGCTTGAAACTTCGGCTGTGGCCTAGGGTTCACTCACGTCTCAGGCTTACGCCTTCGGTTTTACAACTGAGCTCTCAGAAGTGAACTCTGCTGCGGTTTAGAGTTTGGGGTATATGCACTGAGGCTCACAGCCTGTAATGGAGGGCTTTTTTGCGGCCGCAGGGATGCACCGAAGCGCTCAAGAGCCCCCCGCAAGTCCGCAGCATCTGCTGCTGCTGCTGCTGCCACTCAGTCGCCGCAGCCGTCTGAGGGGGCATCCTCAGGGACTTCTGCCTCATCCGCAGCTGCAGGAGAAGATAATCGCTCAGGCGGGGGAGGAGGTGCCCAACAGGGTCGCAAGGATTTGGGTGCCCTTGACTTTTCTTTGGAGGCCTCAGAGTCTTTTGAGGAGCCCTTGCTGTTTTCCGTACCTCGCTTGGCTCCCTTGCAGAGGCAAATGCGGAAAGAGGAAGCCCAACCCAGCTTCAACTCCCAAGTTAGGCATGCACTTACAGCGGTGAGCTAGCGACAAACAGAAATGGCTAGCCACCAGCAAGGTTAGGTAGCTACAGACATGGCTAATTAGCTGCTGGCCAGGCTAGCTAGCGACAGGCAGCCTGATATATGCCCAAAAAGACGGAAAGACGCATGTGCAGTTGGATAGGAAGAGCTATTCCTGGCTATCCAGAGAAAAGACAGGCTAGCGAGGCACATGAAGGCTTCCTTTGCTATCTGTGGGCTCTTTGCTGCCTACATGGTCTCTAGCTTTCCAGCTGCAGCTGCGGATAGATTCTTAGCCTGCTCTTGATTGGTCATTTGGCTAGGTCGAGGGGCTTAGTTTGCTGCCTGGTAGGAAAGGAGCCGTGCAAGAACATCGCTCTTTTGCTTATTCAAGCTGCTGCTGTTGTTGCTGCTGCGGTTTTCTCTGCTGTTGCTTCTGCAGCAACTATGTCAGTCGGCGATGTGTCTCTTCGGGTCTGCGGACTCTCTCTTGGAGGAGCAGTCTAACCCCTGTTGGTCGAGGTCCCTCACTCCCGAAAGCCGCGGTGTGTGGCCCTCTGCCTCTTTCGACTTTCCTGGTTTCGTTTTATTGAACACAACCTTCACATAAATGTGCTGTGGGTCATCGCGAGGGTTTCCAGGGAATGGGAGCCATTTGCGCTTCAGGTATGGTGGGTTAGGTGTTTTCTGTTCTGTGTGCAGCAGCAGAGGTGCAGCGCCTCCTCAGTCGCTGTCTGTTCATGACGGGTCCCCCGACTTTTCTTCTTGAGCCTCCAAAGTCCCAAGAATGGGAGGACCCCCTAGCCTCACCAGAAACCACTCCTGCCCTGCCTGGGGAGGCTTCCCGTGTTCCACTCTCTGTTCTTCTCCAACAGGAACCCTTCAGGTCCAGGCTGAGAGAAGATGTATATCTGTCGGTCGGTTCTAGCTCGGAGAACCAGCAGCATCAGCAGCCGCAGCACAAGAAGCAGCAGCAGTCTCAAACACAGCAGCAGCAGCAGCAGCAAGTAAAGCCTGCAGGCAGCACTTCAGCTGCTGGCGACGGCAACAAAGGCGCAGTAGAGGGAGAGGCTTGCGAGAAGAAGACGGAAGCCACGGCCGCCTCGCCCGCTTCAGAAAGCCCCGCAAAGCCCGACACACAGCCGACTGCCTATGAGGCCCTCTCAAACTGGTGCTCCTCAGACGAAGACGAAATGGGGGGCGGCTTGCCGTTTGGGGAGGCGGACAGTTACGCTGCGCTATATGCCCACCGTGGATTTTTCTCCTGGAGCCCCCCCACAGCCAGAGACCCTCTGGGCTTGGGCTTGGGGGCCTCGAAATTGCGCAGCGGGGGCTCTCCTGGGGAGCCGTCTGGCTTGGAGGAGCATATGGATTTGCTGCTGGCTGCGCCTGAAGAACTGTCTGTTGCTGCTGCTGGTGACTGGCTGAGGAGGGCCCTGCGAGCCAGGAGACGCAGAGAGAGGCGACAGATGGCCCTCAGGGCCCTCACGCTAGACAGAGCAGCGGCAGCTGCTGAGGGACCGTCTGTTGCAGCAGCGCTGCAGCAACTCAGACCCCATGAGGTCATCGAGCTCAAGAGACTGCGCCAGATGCTGCAGCAGCAGCGCGCAATGGAAACTGCCAGGAAAAGGCACAGGCTGGCGGAGGCAGAGCAACAGCAGCAACAACGTCAGCATCAACAGAAGCAAGTGCGGCAACAACAGCAACAAGAACAGCAACACCAGTCTCAGCCTGAAGAGCAAGCCAAGCAACAGGAGCAAGCTCAGCAGTGGAAGGTCCCTGATGAAGAAGCACAGGTTCAGCAGCGGCACGTGGACCTCCAGATTCGGCAGCAGATGCAGCAACAACAGCTTCAACAGCAGCAGCAAGAGCAGAGCTCTCCTCAAGGCAAAAACCACCTTCAGCAACAGAAGCATCGCATCCAGCAAGAAGAAAAACAGCAACCTCAGCGTCCGCTACACCTGCAGCAGCAGGCACAACAGCAGCACACGTCTCAGCAAAATGCCTCGCAGCACCAGTTTAAGCAGCAGCAGATACAGCAGCAGCAGCTGCAACAGCAGCAAATACAACCGCAGCAACTGCACCAGCAGCAGGTGAAACAGCAGCAGATGCAGCAGCAGCAACAACAGCAGCAACTGCAGCAGCAGGTGCAGCAACAGCAGCTGCAGCAGCAGGTGCAGCAACAGCAACTGCAGCAGCAGGTGCAGCAACAGCAGCTGCAGCAGCAGGTGCAGCAACAGCAACTGCAGCATCAGGTGCAGCAACAGCAGCAGCAGCAGCAGGTGCAGCAACAGCAACTGCAGCATCAGGTGCAGCAACAGCAGCTGCAGCAGCCGGTGCAGCAACAGCAGCTGCAGCAGCAGGCACAGAAACAGCAACTACAGCAGCAGCAGCAACAACAAAATAAGCTGCAGCAGCAGGTGCAGCAGCAGCAGTTGCAGCAGCAGCAGCAGCAACAGCAGCTGCAGCAGCAGCAGTTGCAGCAGCAGCAGCTGCAGCAGCAGCAGTTGCAGCAGCAGCGGATGCAGCAGCAGCAGTTGCAACAGCAGCAGGTGCAGCAACAGCAGTTGCAGCAGCAGCGGATGCAACAGCAGCAGTTGCAACAGCAGCAGATGCAGCAGCAGCAGATGCAGCAGCAAGAGGTGCAACAGCAGCAACAGCAGATGCAGCATCAGCAGATGCAGCAACAGCAGCTGCTTTTACAGCAGCAAATTGCGCGGCAGAATGCACAACAACCGCAGCACCATTCACCGCAACAGCAACTACTGCAAGCGCCGCAGCATCAACCAAGCCAGCAGGAGCAACATCTTTCGGAGCAGCACGATCAACAACGGCAGCAGCAACTGCAGATCCATTCACACCAACAGCACTTCATGCAGCGCGAAGAGCACTTGATGCACCACCAGCAACAGCTCTCGCAGCAGCAGCAGCAGCAGCTCGTGCAGCATCTGCTGCAGCAGCCGCCGCAACAGCAACTGCAGCAATAGCAGCTGCTTTTGGAGCAGCAACTAGAGCAATTGCAGAGAATACGTAGTAGTTCAAATGGCATTGGCAGAAGCAGCTGAAGCGGCAGAAGCCGTAGCAGTCGCAGCTGCAAAGAGATTTTGCCCGTAGGGTGGGCAGGAGGGGCAAGACAGTGGCCACATGACCTTCAGAATACGCGAGGGAAAGAGCAACAGCCGCGCGTCTCCCCTGCTGCTGGATCTGCACTGGATAACGCTTTGGTGGCAGCAGCAACAGCTGGGCCTGCAGCTGCAGCAGCAAACAAGGCATGGTTACTGCACTGCTATTTCAGCAGGTGCATATCTGGAGGGAACCGTAGCTGTCCGTAAGGTGCTCTTGTGCGCTGTGCATAGCTAATCAGCTGGATACAAAGCCAGTTAGGTAATGACTGGCAAGCATGTCGCCGGTGGTTTTGCTGCTCATTTTATTTTCAGATGTTTCTGTTTTATGTTCACTGTCTCTATATTTGCTTTTTCTTCGACGGGACAACAAATAGACGTGAGCTGACGCTGGTAAGGTGCCAGCTTCGTAGGTATTTTGGGCTCCAATTTTTCGGGCCCTTCCCGCAGCCCCCGCCTCCCCTAGAGGCCTCTGCATGCACAGCGGCTCTCTTTGTTCAGGAGCTTTGCTAGCATGCATTAGCTGAAAGGCAGACGGGACAGAGGCAAGCCAGCTGCCCCGCCATCTCTCCCCAGAATTGCGCGCTGCCCTGGGCCCTGTAGGATCCTATAGTGTTTGCTAAGAAGTGAGTATTCTTCTAAGGGGCCTCTCTGATGGTCACCAGCGCCTACGCGTTTCAAAAGAGATGTGTCCTGCCCCGGCCTCAAGGCTAGAGCAGCAGCAAGCTCCGAACGACTGCAATCTGAAGACCAATAAGAAGCATCTATTTGCTATGTGCCAAACTAAGGAGGCTCCAAGAGGGCCTCTCTAAAGGGTTTTTCGCTGCCCTCATTAGCGTCCTTAAAAACTCACTGTCAGCTTATTGACAGACATGTGACTGAACTATAGGGAGTAGCACTGAACTGCAGGGTGTGCAGCACAGATGTCCAGGCTCTGAGGGCTCTTCACTCTGTAAGCTCCAAGCTCGCCATACCTTCCGTGGCCCACAGAGAAGACACAAACAGCTTTCTCGTAGACTGCTTTCCACACTAGTGAATTTGTTATTCAGTCGAGCAGCGTGTTGTTCAAAAGAATGAATTTAATCAGTTTTAGCTAAAGAGTTCGCTTTCCCTCAATGCCGCAGGTGGTAGTGCAGGTGTACAGGCACGCACAGACGGAGCCCCTTGTTCCGGGCACCAGCTTGCAGGCACCACTTCCGTGCAACAGCCCTAGCTTCTAGAACGCCGCTGCCAGCAATCTTCCCCTCTGCGATCAAGTAGGCTTAGCAGGCCCCTTCCCTAGCCTTCTAGCGAGCATACTCTTGTTTGCAGCCAGAGGGCCAAGGGGTCTAGCTCTCGCGGAGCCATCTGATCTCCACGAAAGTAGAAACAGATTCATGTAGCCTTTCCAGGCCACTTCCGAAGCCCCCAGCTACCGCCCATCAAAGGCCCCTCAATTGTCATAGAAACGGGTGGAGCTCTTCATGGTGGACGAGATACTGCAGGGGCCCCCGAGTAGCGGTTCCTCTGCTTTCCAGTCCCCATTGGGCTGCAATGTATACGCTGGGGCCCCTTCTCCCATCGATTTCATGAGTTGAACTGAAGGGCCGTCGTACTTGGCCCACGCTGCCTTTCCCGCGCGGGTACGGTAAGGTCCTTTTTCATCTCGTCTGGGGCTGCCAATAAGGGTCGGGGAGCTCCCACTGCCGTCCTTTTTACCTTTGGGGGCGTTGAAGGACCCCGAAGACCCACAAAAAAGCCAGAAACCAATGGCCCCCAGGCAGGCAACGAGAGAAAACACCAGCAAGGGAGGAGCTGCCATCTCGCTAAACCCTGGGGCTGCTTCTTCTCCATCATCGTCCAGCCCAGTTGTTACTCTCTGGGATGTCCGCACACCCGAGCTGTTAAGCACCACTAGCAGCCTCGACCCGCCAGAAGGGTTTTCAATTACCACTTCGGTGCGCACAGGGGCTCTCCAATTCAAGATAATTGCCTGCCTGCTGGCGTCTGCTGCATCACCTGCAGCAACAGCAGCTGCTGCGCTGCCTTCAAGGCTTGGGCTGAGACGCAGTGTAAGCAGGGGACCCTGGCGGTGCATCTCGAGAGCAAAGGAGTTGTCAGATATCCGCACCGTCGGCACATTTACGCCCAAAACAGGGAACACGTGCAGCTCCAATGGCCACTTGCTGCTGGCGCCGCTGCTGCTGCTGCTGCTGCTGACCGAGGGAATGGCCACAAGACGACCGCCGCTGCTACTGGCCACAGCTTTGAAAGCCAGTTTCTGCACTGCCGGCTTTATGCGAATCGTGGCGTCTACGGACGGGTCGGTAGTAACAAATTGCCCTGGGTAATCTTCGTTCTCTAATAGCCGAAGAGGAATAGCGATCGGCCAGCGCACACAGTGGGTCCAGAACACTTCCTGCTGATGCTGCTGTTGCCGCTGCTGCTCCTGCCGTAGGGCTAGAGCCGAGGACGGGCCGCTAAGTGAAACCAGCAGCGCCACAGGCCTGATTTCTGCCCCGACCTGATCTGCAGAACCATCTTGCTGCTGGTTTTTAATTCTAACTTGGTGCAGTGCCTCGCACTGTGCAGTGGCAGCTGGCAAGGTAGTTGAGTCAAGCCTCGCCATCTTTTCCGAAGTGTACGTCCACCGCGTAGCCTCTCTCTGCTGCAGCACACGCTGCACTTCCTGGACGCTTAAGCGCTGCCTCTCCCTCACAATGCACAGAGGCTCCGCCGAGGGGCTCCAGCCAACTGGAGCCCCTGATGGCCTCTCAATAACGGGCCTCGACAGACCTTCTACTGTGTACAGACGGGACAGGAGGCGGTCCGATAGCCGACAGTGGACAGACAGCCGGGAATGAAATGCTGGAGACACAAATGGGGTGTCCTGCCATTCTCGCTTCTGCTGTTCGTGATAATGGCGTGTGGCGATTCCTCCTACAGCGGTAAGGGCTTGCATGCGGAAAAAGAGAAATAAAGAACCCCCTGTATTCCCTGTAAGGCAGCGCGGCAGCTCCAAGTTCTCGGCGTCGACCCACTGCTGCTGCTGCTGCTTCTCCTGCTGCTGCCAAACAGACTCCCCAGCATCACACGAAGCTTGGGCAAGAAGTCTAAATGGCCGGACGAAGCCAGCAGCTGCTGCTGTCGCTGAAACGTTGATGATCTCTGCTGCAGCAGTCGTCGTCCCTTGCTGCACCAGCTGCACCACTGGGGCAGGTCTCGCGGCAACCGCAGCAACTGGGCCTCCAATCCCCGACATGCAATTTGCTAGCCCCATAATAACCAGGGAAGAGGGGTCTGAAGATCTCAAGGTTCCCATCCTGCGGCAACTCTTGCTGCTGCCGCTTCTGATTGACAAGCCTCCAAAGCCATTCTCCCATGAAAGGAAGGCAGCAAGGGGAAAGCTCCAAGAGGGGCAGCAGCTGCCTGCACCTGAAACTCGAGGGCCAAGGAGAACAGATGCTGCGTGCTGGGCCTTTTGCCAGTCCCGCGCCAGGCCCATCCACAGCTGCTGCAGCAGCAGCAGCACGCCATCCACTCTCCACGCAGAAGGAAGTGAATCCAGTGTTGCTGCTTCAACTTCTAAAGAAATGGGCGCTGCTGCTGCTGCCTGCACTGTTCTGCCGACCGCCAGCTGCCTGGACACTGCTGCCGCTGCTGCAGTGGGCAGGTTAGGAATTCTGATGCCGGCTACAACAACAAAGGCTCCCTCTCCCGCCTCTGCTGCAGCTGCTTCGTCAGTAGCGCAGAAGAAAAACGAGTTCGTGGCCCCAACGTCACTTTCTGCTGCTGCTGCTGCTGCAGGGTTTTGGTGCAGTCTAAGGCTGTGCACCTCGACAGCAACCGGAGGCAGCGAGTTGTCTTGAGGCATCTCGTCAGCAGGCATTAGGGCCTCCACAAGAAGGCGCCTCACCTCCGTCGATAAGGGTGTGTGCAATCGGCGCAACAGCGCAGCAGCTGCCTCCTGAGACATGCACGTGGGCGCCCACTCTGCTGCTTCTGCAGCGGCGTCACTTGCTGCTGCTGCTGCTGCTGCTGCCGTTGCTGCCCCCCCTCCTGCGTCGCCGCGTGCGGGGCCTCGCCAGGCGCGCAGCGCGTGAAGTAGCGGCGGAGCCCTGAACGCAACTTGAAAGTGCAGGGCCGCCGAGGGCGGCAGAAGAGCTGGCGGAAGGCGAGCGCCCTGCAGGAGAGGAAGAGACGCACCTGGCAAAACGGCGAGCGGAGGCGGTTCCAGCAGGCCGTCAGTGATGTCCACACATGTGCGATAGGCAGCCCCCGGCCGCCCCCGTTGTTGCGCGTCTCTGCCGCTTTCCGCCGCCGCCCAATATACCCACACAGCAGCGCAGCCCCGCTGCAGCCCCTTTACGCGCACAGCAGGGGGCCCCAGGGGCCCATCTGGTCCCGTCACTACAGACGCCGAAACCACAGAGGGGTGAGACGACAGAACATCGAGCCTAAACAACGTCAGCGACAAACAGCAAGCAGCAAATTCGCACTGCAACGAAGAAGTGAAAGGAAAAAGGCACAGGAAGGAAGCAGCCGGCAATGAATATTCAGCGGCAAAGATACCAAGACAAAACCCATATAGCAAGACGCAGCAACACTGTTGAACAGAATAAAAAGAGCTAGATCAAGCGCCACATGGAGCAGGATTTGTTTGACCCCTGCAGTTGACTGACAGGATTGAAGATGGGGTGGCAATGATACGTCCTCTTTGATCTCTCAAAATCACTGTGAAGTCTTCTGTTTCTCCAGCTTGGAGGAGATGGGGGAAGCCAGCTACTTGCAGTGTCTGCACTTCGGCCGTCTCCACAGCCACCAAAGCGCTGTTGCTGTTAGTGCGGCTGCTAATGCCGCTGGTGCTAGTGGACCACTGGTCATTCCCCGCAGAACTGCTCTCAGAGGAGAGCCTTAAGATTCCCTGTTGTCCTCGCAAAGGAGACGCTATGAAGCCTTTGGAGCCCGACAAAATGAACACTGCAGAATTTGCCGCTGCTGCTGCTGCAGCTGCTCTTGGCGACCACTCGCAGCAGTCGGCAGCCAAGCCTTCGCAGCATGCTGCTGCTGCTGCAGTCGCTGCTGCTGCTGCTTCTGTTTCCTTGCTGTTGCCCGCCATTGCCGCTGCAGCGGCGCAACAGGCCTCGCGAGCCTCTTGCTCTGTGGTAGCCACGGGACCTTCGCCCTTCGTTCCCGCAACTGCTGCTGCTGGTGCTGGCTGTTCGTGCTGCAGCTGCTGGACGCTGCAACTTGGCAGCAGGTAGACAGCGTCAGTCGCCAGCAGCGGAGCCAAGACAGGTGCAGCAAGGAAAGGCGAGAGCGAGGAGATGAATCCGCTGAAGCCCCCAGCCGCACGTGGGGCCAACAGAGCCGGCAAAGGGGACGGCAGTACGCGCACTCGCAGCTGCAGTAACAGCCAGAAAAAAACTATAGATGGCAACGGTGAGCAGCCATGCTAAGTTGCAAACACACAAGTCTTTGGAGCCAATGAGAGACGGAGAGAAAGGAATCGACAACAATAGCACGAAAGGAAAACGAAGATCCCAAGTAAGCAGGCGAAAAGGGGTCGGACAAAGAGTTGCAAGCATGCACGAGAAAAAGCCTCCTAATACGGAAAAGCAGAAACAGATTAAAGGGGAGCACAAGGCGACAGAGCTGTCCAGCGAGACAATCAGAAGAAAAAGGCTGTACCTCAGGTGCAGTGACGGACGCAACAACTCGACCTCGCCTGGAGCAAGTCACTGCAAGGCCTATCAGCGCCTCGCCTGCCCCGACTCCCAGTAAATAGACCTCAGACAGGCCGCGGGACTGCAGCCGTCTTTGCCCCTTCAAGCCCCTCCAAGATAGTGCCCCCTCAAGCTCCTCTCGAGCCCCTCCTGGTGCAGCCGGGAGTCTTGCTGCTGCTGCTGAATGGGGGGCGGGAGCTCCATCAGGCGCATCAAAAGGGGACAGCAGAAGCACCCCAGAGCCGCTACGCACCTCCCAGGTGTATACGCAGTGGACTGCCTCTGCGGGCGGCAGTGAGGCGAGTGCACCTGAACAGCAGCAAACGGCGGGCACAGCAGCAAAACCATCAGAAAAACAGCAGCAGTAGCAGCAGCGCGTTAGTGTAGCAAGCAGCAGGTACAAGGAGTTGACCGGCAATTAGGTGCTGAGAGCCAATGCTGGGAGCTGCTGTGAGCCAGAAGCTCGCAGTGGCGCCGTCATGTTCTTTAGATTCTTTCTTAACGAATTTTGGAGTCTCAGCTATTGGCTCAAGTGTCTCCTCTATCTCTGTCTGCCGCAAATTGTTTGGCCTTCGATATGTCTCTTAGCCCCTTTCTGCATATTTGTCCCTTTCTTTCTTCTTTGTGGCTATTATCCCATCTTTGTTTGCTTCTCCTATAATGGCAGTCCGTCTCTGCTTGTCTCCACTCCATTGTCTCTACGCATCTTTATCTGTCTGCCTCTTCTGCGTTCCTCGTGCGTCTCTGCTGCATCTCTCGCTCGTTTTGCCACAAACGCCCCCCAATTCTGCCAGGGCCACCTCACCGAATTCTCTCTGCCTTTTTTCCTCTTCGCCCTCAGCAAGTCGAAAGACCTCCAATGGCCCCGAAGGCATCAGCAAATGAGGCGGGCTGAACGGTCGGCCCTGGTCATCAGCTAACGCTGCATGCAGTCGCGCCGCGTGCTCTGCGTATACTGTAATGGAGCCTTGATCTTCAACCCCTGCTGCTGCTGCTGCTGCTGCTGCGGCACGGCCGTAGCCCATACGCGCGGCCTGAGAAGGCAGCGCCGCTTGATGCATCTCCCTCACTTGCCTCTGGGAGCCGCTCCTCCTGCTTTTCGGGTGTGCATACACCCCGTGCTGGATTGTCACTGAGCTTGGAAGCGCCACCACGACTCGCATGCTTGCTTCTGCCACTGTCCTTCCTGCTTCCCCGTGCTGCAGCACAGCAGAAACTCGCGTCTCACCCTCTTCCCCCGTTAGCAGCAAACCTGCAAATGTTCCGGAGAGCCGTGCCACGCCTTCGTTTTCTACTGTGAACCGTTTTCTGTGGCCTCCCTGGCTGCTCGCGTTGCTGCTTGTGCTTCTGCTGCCGCTGCTGCTGCTGCTAGGGTCTGCTTCCAGATGAGCCTCCTCCGGACCTCCATGCAGCGTCAGCTCAAACGAATGGCCTCCCGGTAGAAGCACCAACTCCGGTGGATTCAGCTCAAGTGGCGGATGAATGCGTACCGTCAGCCGCGTTGACACTATCGCTGCTGCTGCAGCTGCATGTGGGGAATCCGAGAGAGCCTCTGCATGCAGCACGAAAGATCCGCGAATATCTGTGGCGGCAAGGAAGAAGTGGAAGCAGTCAGAGTCCGCAGCTGGCAGAGCAGACAACGAACTCCAGCCCTCAGGAGCTCCGAAGTCTGCGGCTCCCTCAGCAGATCCTGCCGCTGCAGCTGAGCCATATGATGCTACTGCTAGAGGGGAACTGATATCCCCTTCCTCCGATAAGTAAGGCGCCAGTGGCTCTCCGCGGCCAAACAGGCCATATGTGTCGGCCGCTTGCTGCTGCTCCTCCTGCTGCTGTGGGCTGGCACGCGGCTGCTTTTGTGACGCTACTGGCTTGAGGAACACCCTGCCCCTCCCGCCCACTCTGCTGCTGCCGCTGCTGCTGCTTGTGCTGCTGCCATCGTCTGCTGCTGTGGCGACGACGGAGAGGCGCATGGCTGCAAAGAAGCGGGGGTCTATTGGCAGTTCGTCGTCGCCCGTAGCCTCCACTCTGAGCCCGTATATCTTCCCAGCCTCAATTTCTGTCAACGTTTGCTGCTGCTGCTGCTGCTGCGAGGCAGGGCAGAAAGAACCCCCCTCTTCTTTTGCCCACGTTTCTGCGCTTGACGCAGCACTTCCTGTCACAGGCCACCCTCTTTCCAGGTTTGTCGAAATGGCCGACGGCAGCAGCACCAGGCGCAGCGAGCGCAGGCGCACAAACTGCAGCTCCGCAACTAGCTGAGGCCCATTACTGCTGCTCGTGCTGATAGTGCTGCTGCTGGAGGGGTTTCTTGGTCTCCAGGGGCTGAGAAGCCTTTGATCCCACGCCTCGAGGTGAAGTAACGGCAGCCGCTGCTGCTGCTGCTGCAAAAGTGGGTCCGTTTCACGAGAAGCTGCGAAGAAGGGAGGAGGAACAAATATTTCTCGCGAGCTCAGGGGACAACTACGCGTAAAGGGATTGGCAGAAAAGGAAAAGGGGACAGGCAACGGCAGAGCAGACACGTCCTCCTGGGATGCAGCCAGCCCAACGCATGCAGCATCAGTCGCTATCTGCGAGTCGCCCGCTGCTCTTCTTGCTGCTGCTGCTGCTGCTGCTGCAGAGTCTCCCGCCTGCGCCAACGCGTACCGCGTCGACGCCTCGGCCGTCGAAAGACACAGCAGGAGAGGAGCATGCGGAGACGTGAGCAGCTCTCCGTGTGCAAGAGCAGCAGCAGGTGTTGTTGGTTTTTCTGAGCTGTGCAGGCGCAGCATGCGTATTGCCTCTGTGTCTGGACTGCCAAACTGCAGCACCATACGGGACGCCACCCCAGGAAGCAGCGGAAGCCGCACCGTCTGGAAATTTTCCTGCTGCTGCTCATTGCCTTGTGCTGCTGGTTGGCCTGGAGCTTGTGCTGCTCCGGAGGCAATGAGGGGCGCGGGGAATGGCAGAAGCCTAAGCGGGGGAGACATAAACAGCAGCAGCCGGTCCCGCAGCTCTCCCTTTTCCCAGAGGGGTAGCAGCTGTTGTTCCCGCTCTGCTGCTGCAGCTGCCCTCCACTCCCCAAGCGAACTCTGTAGCAGCTGCAGCTGCTGCCTGCCGAGGGCGGCCTCTAAGAAGGCTGGAGCACCTTTTGGGGGTTCAACTGTGGCTTGTAGAGCAAAAGCACCGCAGCAAAGAGACGGCAACACCGTTAGCAATGCCACGGAGTAGCCGTTGCCTGCTGTTGCTGCCGCTGCTGCTGCTCGAGGCAGCACTTGCAGCATTGGAAGATTCGCCTGGTTTGGCTGCTGGTTGTGCTGTCCGTGGTGTGGAGTGGCCGGCGTCAGTGACCAACGCGTGGGCAGACTAGCAAGGCCGTGCAAAGGCCTCAAGGCGGAGTCATAGGCAAAGAGAGCAAAGGCGTGTTCAGCTCCACACTGAACATAAAGCCCTTCCTCAGACCCCTGAAGCCCGTCGACGCCCTCTGCATCCCAGCTACTCGACACGGTTGTTGTTTTGGCAGCAGCCAAAGTAGCAGAAGCCACAGGCAGGCCCCCAAGGGCCTCCATCAATGTGCCCTTACTCGCCCTATCTGCATACGACCCGTAGGGCACCGCAGCAGCGCGAGATAGAGACGGCAAAGGCCGCACCTCGATGAGCTCCGGATAGGCACAAGATATCAACAAGGAGGTGACCTCCTCGCGGTGGGAACTGCGTCGACAAGCAAAAACAGAAGCGTAGGTTTCTGCTGAATTGTGCAAGCCAACAAGCACGAGTTTGCACAGGACTGAAGCAGTAGCAACAGCTGGCGTTTCAGCAGCCACAAACGCTGCAGCAGCATAAGCCACGGAGCCTAGAGCCAACGCTTCAGCTGCAGCAAAACAAATGTTGAAGAATGGCGAAGAAGGGCTTAGCAATAGCAAAACAACTCATTGCAGCCAGCAACAACTAAGGAGCCGCCATAGCAGGAGCTATTTTGTTTCTGGCCTCGCCACAGGAGCAGCAACAGCAGCAGCAGAGAGTTCAAACAATAACAGCAGCAGCAACGAAGGCGGCAGCCACAGCAAATGCTCACGTGACTTGTGGGTCCTTGGGAGCGTAAGAGCTTTTAATCTGAACAGAAACTGGAGAGCGGCTGGGGCGAAGACAAACAAAGCGCTGCACAGCGCCGCTGCCCTCCGGTAGAATAGCCACGGATGCTGCCTCATCGTCAGTCTCGCTGTCGTCTGCTGCTGTTGCCGCTGGCACTTCTGCAGAACTGTGAGAAAGTGCAGTAGCAGTGACGCTATGTCTGTACGCCTCTGGGCGAGGTGGAGGCCCTTCCTTGAGAAACACTGTGATATGTCCGCCTACCGTCAACGTAATCTCTCCTGCCACACCCCGAAGGCTGCCAGTGCTGCTGCTGTTGATTGCAGCAATTGGTGCGCCATAGAGCAAAAGGTCTGCAGAGTCACCAGCGGGAGGAGCTGGAGCGTGGAGGTCAAGCTGCTGCAGCAGCGCCGTGGCTAGCGCCCCTCCCAGTGCTGTGGTGCTGCTGCTGTTGGGGTCCTGGGTGAGGCGCTGCAGCAAAGGCGCTGTCCTGCTGCTGCTGAGGCGCACGGGAGGAGGCAGAGGCAATGCAACGGAGCTCATCGAGGCCCACAACTCCACGGGGAGGTAAACATCAACTCGAGCCGAAGCTTGCAGCCTCTGCTGGTGCTGCTGTTGCGGCACAGTGGCTGTAACTCGAGAAGAGCCCTTTCGAAGTCCCCTCAAGGAGACAATGCCGCAAGTGAACGGGATAGCACCACCAGCCTGCAGCAGCAATAGCACGCGAAAGAAGTAGCTAAGAAAAGAGAAACAAATTATATTCGGCTGGAGCCATCGCAGCGAGACACGCACAGAGATTCCTCATGGAAAGGCGTCAGCTCTCACCGCACATGCATTAGCAGCAGCACACACCGCAGCACCACCACCAACGGCAGTAGCAAGATACGCAGCAGCAGCAACAGCCCGGAATCTGCAGCGTTCGCTTTGGGCTTGGTGACTCACACGAGTGGTAATGGCAACAGCAGACCCCTCGACAGCAAAGCGGGCGTCGGGGCAGCTCGCAAGCTGACTGCGGTGAACCCAGAAAGGATGAAGCACATCGGTCTCAGTCCCTGCTGCTGCACCGGAGGCAGCTTGAAGCCTTTCCTCTATTCCTATTGTTCCCTCTCGCGGCCTCGCAGCAGCATCAGAGGCCAGCAAGTGCTCTCGGGCGTCCTCCACAGTCTGCGGCCACTGACTGTTCGGGACACAGCCCACAGAGTCGCCCTCAGCCAACAGCCATCGGCGAGAGGCCTCGGGGAGGAGCGGCAGGAAATCTGTCAAGTCTGCCAGTGCTATCAAAACCCCCTGAAGAGACAGAGCAGCAGCACGCACGTGCTGGACCCGGTCATGCAGGTGGACGAAAAATACCGCAAGCATAAGTGCAGGCAAACGAGACACCAGAAAGCCATACCAAAGAGAGGCACAAAGTACACAGTCGCACGAATATCACACAGAGTTCTCGCAGTAGCAGGGCAAGAGTCAAGGATAATCTGAAGGGGAGAAGCTCAAAGTCTTGATCCCGAATGCCTGTGGGCGCTTCTTGTGTATTTGCTGACGAACCGTGGCCTCTTCTGCTCTATCTGCCGCTTTAATTGCTGTCTTAATGTCTCCTCTGGCAACTGGCAGCAGCAGATGCTGCATTCTCAGCTCTATGGTCACTGGGGGAGCCACAACGACTGAGAGCAGCACCGCGTTCTGCGGCTGTCTTTTGTCTCTCAGCAGCAAAGTCGCTACCCCTGGGGCGATGCCCTCCACAGTGAAGACTTCCGTAGGATCCACAGGGGCCCCTGCAACCACTAGTCCAGAGGAGGACAGACGACCCGCGCGAGATGGCACAGCATATACCACAGCGCAGATTGACGGGTCCGAAGAAGACAAAACGAACTCTCCTGTGAAGCAGCAGCACACACACACAACTGGTTCTGCCTGGATCTTTACTCTCAGTCTCAGTTCATACGCCGAAGACGCGAGCTCAAAGCCAACGTTGGGGAGCTTGGGAAACCCACAAACGAACACATTCGGAAGGAGAATCGGCTGCATTCAGGATAGACTGAGGGCTTTGAGTTTTGAACTTAGTGACTAATTATTCAAATTTGCGTACCAGATCCTCCCTGCGGCTCTAGGGGGAAGCGCGAGCCAGGCGCGAAGACCAGAGGAGCTGTGAGTCTTCGCATGGGCGCTGAAGGGACCCCCAAGCCCCCTGCTCCTGCAGCTGTGTCAACAGTGTAGTGAGTGCTCAGCAAACGAAACGAAACAGGAGGAACGACGCGCACAGGCAGCGAGATGGACAGGGGCCCCTCTGACATCCAAACAGGCCCCGGAGGGGAGCCCACTTGCAGAAGCGAGACACGCACAGAACCTGATCCTAGGGAATCCGCTCTCAGCAAGGCAAATGCCTGGTACGAGACACACAGACCTCACACCTTGGACCCTAGACAAGGAAGCCCTAAGTCTAAACAACCCTACGCAAGACTATGCAATCTGAAGCCTCCATGGCTAGCATCTAGAGCCCGAAGGCCTCTACAGTGTGCCTAGCACTGAATTGAATGTAGCACCTGCTGGGAAGGCACGGCTTTTTGGAGAGGGCTAAGACCCGTCCCTTCCTGTTCCTCTGCTGGTTTTGAGGCCCCTTCGCAGGTCCAGTGAACCACCGCATTGGACGGCAGCAGCATTCTACGCGGTCCAAGACCATCCTGTGCGTTGACCCCAGGCAGCTGTTGGCTCGAGAGAAGCTCCACCTTGAAAAGATACTCCCGGCCCCGCACCAAGTACAGCATGGGGTCTGTTCCCTCAAGGCCCCTCTCTTCTTTCCCAGCCAAAGACAAGCGCAGGGGGGGCAGGGCTGAGAGCACCGCTTCCTCAGAGCTGCCCATGCCGCTGGCCACAGCCTCCTCAGCAAGAAGAAGCTGGCGCAGCAGCACGGCCTTCTCGACAGCTGCCGCTGCTGCTGTTTTGCGACCGCTGGTCTGGGCGGCAGCTGCTGCAGCTGCCGCTGCGTTCTTCCAGAGAATCTGTGTGGACAAGACCTCGGTGTCTTCATAGAGCAGTCTCAGGGCTGTGGGTAGCAACACAGTGACATCTGCCTGCTGTTTTTCCCCTATGCGCTTATCTAGACAAACCACGAGAGCCCTGCCAGTGAGTAGGTCGGGACCCTCCGTCGCTTGCTGCGGAGAAGCCACTGTCACCACGCCGCCGTCTGTCACCTGCAGCAGTGTAGAGGAGGCAGTAGAGGCCGTTGAGGATAGAGCAGACCCCGAAAGAGAGGAGAAGACCGATATGTCTTCGGCACTCCAGCCGAAATGTGCATTTGGTAAAGACAACGCCTCCTGGCGGCCATCCTCCTGCAGCAGGAGCAGAAACCGAGACATCAGGAATACTGAGTGATACTACCGGCTGCTGGCAGCAGCAGCGGCTTCCAGCAGCAGCCTAAGCAGCTGCAGAAGACAGATAAAGGAGGGCGGAGCCTCCAGAGATTAGCAGAGAGGAGCTAGCAGAAAATACAGTCTTGTATTCACAGGACAAGTAGACCCCATGCCACCATCAGAGACGCAAAGACAGCAGACCCGCAGTAGAAAGACAGGCAGCTCAACCGAGGCAAAAGCCACAGGGTTAGCAGCAGAGCAAAAGAATTCCGGTAGCGGCTGCTGTCATGGCGGCCGCAGCAAATCAAAAGTGGCAGCGGAGAAGCAGCAAACGGAAACAAAGGGCGACAATATATGAAAGCCGACAACAGATCCAGTAAGGAAAAGTGAGACATGAACAAGGGCCCAAAGTGAGACTGCTGCAAAGACCGTGACAAAGAGTGCGAGAAATACAGAGCCAGCATTAGACAGCAAGACAGACAAAAGGTGAGAAGCAAGGTAACAGAAAGTGTCGGGCTCAAGGAGAGCAAATGAGGACGGCCTCCTGCGTACCCAAAGCTTGTGCAGTTTGAGTGCAAAAACAGCTGCGGGGGGCACAAGCAGCGCGGCTGGGCTCAGCGCGACCAACTCGTGCACCAAGAAGGCGACTTCGGCGGGTGGCACGTCTCTGTACTGTTCCATGGCCAGCCGGGCCCGGATGATTGCCCTGCCAGTGCTTTTCCCCCTCAATACGATTGCGTCTGAGCGCCACCGGGGGCCGTTTCGGCGCTGCTGCTCCTGGGCACCCATTTCCTCGACACGGCGGCGAGCGACGGTGCCCGCGACAGCGTCCGTCTCTACTGGCTCAACTACAACGACCTCGTCCTCGCCCTGGACTTCCCAGAGAAAGGGGATGCCCTCGAGGGAGGAGAAGACGTTGCCTTCAGCGTCATAGCCCAGCAGGCTCACGTCCCCTAGCTGGCCGATGGCCAGCCGTTTGTCTCGCGTTGAGAAAGACAAACGCACTATGGGGGCCACTAACACCTGCGCCCGGAACCCTCTTCGAGACGCAGACAAAGCTGAAAAGGCCTCTGATGGGGGCCCAGAGGGCCCTTCAGCGCTGAACTCTTTTTCTGCAGACGCGAAAATCCAAGAAGACGCCCGACGGCCGACCCCCTGGGGCACAGCCTCGACGAGCACTCGCGAGAAACACGAATGCGAACCCCCTGAGCTCGGAGCCCCGGCTGCTGCCCACGAGCCGCCGCTACTCCCATCCAGTCGGCACTGAGCTGCAGGCTGCACAGAGGAGCAGTCGGGGTGCAAGAGGGACAGTACCTGAGGGTTCTGGATAGCCCAGTAGAAGCAGACGTCGCCTCCGCCCGCACTCCCCTTGTGGCCCTCTAATTGCAACTGCGCTCGCACTGCAGGGAACTGTGCAGCGTGAGACGGAGGCACCCACGGCAGCAGCACCTGAGATGGGCCAATGGAAAGACCTTCAGGCAAGCCGATCGCCAATGCCCCCTGAGGCTTGGATAAGCCAACAGAAAGCAGGAGGGGCAGCACCAACGCCGAAAGCCGCATCCCTGAAGCAGCAAAAACTGAAGCGACGCTGCCACCCTCAACGCACTTTCCAAATGCAGCAGTTAACACCGAGGCGAACACACCCAAAAGCTGCAGCCCAGTTTGGCATCGTGTCCGCCGCATTCTGTCTCCTCCATTTGCTGCTGCCCAGCGGGTTTCCATGGTCGCCTGTCGATATGCTGTACCGCTGTGAACCAACTAAAAGAGTCCAGGTCCGTAATCACACATGCTGCAAAGGGCGCGCGCACGACCACGTATGTGACAGCAGCGAAAGGCGAGCCGTGGACCCTTAGATGAAGCGTTGGGCCCCAAAGAAGGAGAAGAGGCCGTTCGAATGCAGTCAAATTTCCGCCCACTTGAAGGGCATTAACGAACCCTCAGAGTGTGGCAGATGACCCCGTCAAAGGAGGGTCTGGCCCTGGGGACACTACCTTGAGTTACAGTGGATCGTCGTTTTCCGAGGTGGAAGGTGCTTCTTTTGTCCATAACATCCCCAATGTGCTGTGTAGAGACAAAGAAAGGTTGCAAATCACAGAAGACGTCATTAGAGATCTCGCCGCTGCTCCCTGAGGGCCTGCACTTTTCGTTGCCTTTCAAAATTGCCTCATTTTGCGCTCACACAAAAACCCCTCACACGGCTATTCCTTATTCTGCCGTATTTGTATGTGCAACATCTCAATAATTTGCAGCTGCTAAGAGGGATCGTCTGCAGCGCTTCTAGATCATGCTAAAATTGCATGCGTCTGTAGGGGGCCACCCCACAACGGGTGGATTACAATTACCACTTTCCTTCATAATGAGAGTTACACATTCTGAAAATAATGTCCACTTATCCAATGACAGCTTGTGAAGCAGCTGTATGCTGTGCTCACTCCTTGACTCTCTCGGGCAGCAGGGTTGGATGCTTAGTACTCGATCACCACCGCTTATCACAGGCTGTGTCGCCTGCAGCTTTCCTAAGGCGTTAATGTGTAGCTAAAACTTAGCTGTGAAAGCTGCATCCAGATTTTCTCTGTGCGCAGGCGCAATACCGGCCAAGAATCTGGGGTCAACAACTGTTCCGGAATTGCAAAAGCTTCGGTTGAGGAATGGAGCGCCCTATAACAAAGCTCTGTAACAGCACGTAGACAAGGCTAGCAATTAGCGTCAATTTAGTTTCCCATAAGTGCCACTATTGCTGCCATGAAACGATGTTCTCGTTTCCGTAGAAGCTGCTCTTCAGAGCCGCTGTCGTGCTGGAATTTCGGTACATTTCGGCTTGTAGCGGCTGTCCTGCTGATGACAAAATAGGCATTACAGTGACCACAACAATATGGGGGCGTTTCGGTGCAGCGTTTTAGCGCCAAGCCCAGGACAGAAGATTAACTCTGCAAGAAGAGGGCACCTTTTTGGCTAGCAATGGTTGCTAAAGGGCGCAATCAACAGAATTAGGGGCAGCGCTAATGCACACGATATGCAACTCAAAGTATAGATGGTGTCCTTGCCTCCAGCAGATGACTCCGTGGCGTTGGATGAGACTCTAGAGTGGCATATCACTCTGCTCATACACAAGTGATCCTGCACCAACGCCGTGCTGCCTTCCTGTTAAACGTGTGTCTGCACTTGCGTGGAGACGAGCGCTCTTCGTGACTTCTGGGCTCTGCTCATCAACTGTAGGCGTGCCAAAGGCTGCCAGTGTGGCTGTTTGTTTGAATTCCAAATCGTACAAATATCGTAAGTGTCATTCAAGGCCTATCTCCCCGCGCTAGCTAGAAATATATGTAGCTCTTTGCAGCATTTCTCTTGTCCGTTAGCCCTGCTCTAGGATTCGTCGTTGAAATCAGACGCCTTCAGCATGAGACGCACTGCTTACTTATAAGGACAAACATACATCGGATAAGCCTCTTCAGGGAAGGACTAACCCTTAGTGCCGCCGTTGGAAACTCTCCACAGTACCTGGAAAGCTACATGTGTTACAGGTGATCTGACTGCTTCATGAACTGAAACGCGAGCATTTGCTACTTCTTATCTCCGCACTCCAGGGTGCAAAGGTTGCTAACTCACTAAATGTTCTACAAAGCGAACCATATTTTCAAAAGATAGCACTTCCTGTTCTCCTTGTAATTTACAAGATGTTTGGTAAGTTGGAATGCACGGATGTCAATCGTTCTACTTGTAAAACAGCAAACAACAGTAATGAGCTGCCCTGTTTCCTTTGGTAGTTTATTAAAAACTTGAAGCTCGGAGCTGAGCCTACTGCCATTCGTGTGAGTCTCACGAGACACTGCATTCTTAGCTTGCACGATCGCTTTCCATGCTCCTCAGATGCTCCTCGTTAATGAAGAGCTTGACAAAGACTTATAAGCAAGCGCCTATTTGCTTCTCGCACTGTCTTCAAACAGCTTGAAACTGCGCTCATTTCTCCATGCCCCTTTTAGGATAAGCCGAATCTGAACGCTGAGGTTTCACCACCAGCTCCGAATTTCAAGTTTTTAAATAGCTATAGGAGCTCAGTGCGCTTTATTACTTATATTTGCCGTATTTCACATAGAATGACTGACGTTTGTATATTTCAGCTGAAACGCTGCTTTGCTTCACACAGCATGCGTATGTTTGGCTCTAATTTGCTACTATTCGAATCGTGGCAGTTTCGCGCTCGTCTTGCATCACGTGAAGGCATCAAATTGCTTTGACAAGACGCCAATACTCGTCGCCTCATTCGCGAAAGATCATTCGTCTTCAACTTTGTAAACGATTGAACTCGCAAGCTGCTCATGATTGGACTGGAGAAAAGCTGCATCACCAGCGTTCTGGATTGACGCGGGGTCTTGCTCGGGCTGGCAGTGCTGGAGCCTTTCCTACGGCTCTATAAGGGTCGTTTTCTTTGATAATGATCCTTGAGTGACTTTTTCTAGCGTTCTGAAGGAAAAACAACTTGATTTATTCATCTCTGGCTGAGCGAGTGGGCAATAGTTGCGGCGTGGTACTAGCATTCAGCTACACGGTTGGAATCTGCACGAACTCGTGCTCATCTGGAGTAATTCGACAAAGTAATCTGAACGACTTGATTCCCAAAATTTCTTCAGGCATTCATTTCACTTGTGAAAGGTCAAATGTTCTTGCCAAGCAAGATAATAATTTGCTTTCTAGATGTTCACGGTGTTCGCCTAAAGGCGAAGATCCACAGCTTCTGGCCGAGGTGTGGGACCCAAGAGCTTGCTGAGACAAAATGGTGAACATGAGACAACGCGCCAAAATAGTGGGGATATCGTGGAATTGTGTACCTTGCTTCCTTGATTGACTGTTCAACACGAGTGGTGGTGAAGTAGAACATCAGGAAGACTCCAACCATGATGAGTGCAGCAAAGAAGGCAATGGCGCGACGATCTCCCCGGAATCTGTCGGAAACACTATAATGCAAATGAAATACTCAGAAAAATTGTGTGTTACGCGTACTTTTCCTCAGATTCTTCCAAGCGTGCGAGCTCAGCTGTCAGAGTTGCAACGTCAACCGGAGCGGGAACGTCGACGAAAGCGGTATTGGAATCCTTGCTCTGCCAGGCCTTTATTCAGATCAAGGGAACACCGAGACATACAATTTCATTTCTTACAATAGGAGTGGCCAGAGAAGATTTGACCTCTGCGGCGTACGCCAGTTTGGCTTCATCTACCCATTTTGGGACACTTTGGATGCAGTCCGCGCCAATAACAGATAGCGCTGCAACAGCAACCGCTGTGCACAAAAAAACCGCAGACTTCATTTTTATAGAAAATGTTCTGCAAATGTGACCCAATTTGTGGCAAAATATGAATTTTTGAGTGCCGCGTAAGTCAAGAACCTCAGGTGCCAGCGCTAGGTGTATGGACAGCACTCCGACGTTGCCAACAGATCAGTTAGTGTCACTTTTTCTAATTTGGAGTTTTCTGCACGAAGACCCGACCCCCTCCGTGCAATGAGCAGAAAAAAATGTATCGCTGCCTTCATGGTTTTTCGAGCACTATACGAAGGATGGATAGTACCAGTGGTCGCCATTAGGACCCACGAAAAACAGACCCAAGTGGGCAGCATCCTTTGGCTTTCTTACAGCAAGAACCCATGTAGATGCCAATAGATGGCACGCGGCATAAGCGACGTGGCTGACCAGATGAGATTTGGTGTTACTGGACTGGTAGGATGCAGTTGCCCCATCGACAATTTTCATTGAAAAAATTCAACAAAACAGACAGTTGAAGTTGATCCCGCCGATGAAGATGAAGATGACAGTACTGTCTCTGGTTCAATTTCTCCAAAAGTGCAATTATACACAACTACGCTCACCCAGCCTTTCCTGGGACTGGGCTATGGTCTTACGACTCACTCCTGGGCTCACCGACCACGATGCACCCAGAAGTAAGAGGGCACTTTCTTCACCTGCATATCTAATTCCCTTATTTTGTAATAGGACATGACCGCTACTGAGGTGAAACTAGCTAATCCCGATTGCAACATGCTCTTACACAGATGTGCAACTTAGGCAAACATATTCACACCACAAGAGATGCCTACAAGCTTGCAAGTGAGTTGTGTAGGACACTGTACCATTGTAGCTATATGTAATATAAGGCGATTCTACATTTGGGAACACAGCAGTTGTCGCCTAACGCGCTTCGCTTTCTTCAAGAATTGCCCTGACGTAACTGTGGCTTCTCAAAATTTGCGAAAGGTGTGCGGGCTCTTCGCACACGTGAACTTCAGCTAAACGAATTTGCATGAACCCTATACTCAGTTAGCTGCATGCTTGCTGCGTAACTTGCTGTGAGGTCGCAATCCAAGGATAACTGGCGTCTCCACTGACCAAATTCCTATTGGCATATCGGGCAAAGCGCCAACGACCTTGAGAAGTTTTCTATCGATGAAAGCAGATCAAGCTGAGTACTTTCACGTTCATAATTTGCTCCACGTGGATGTCCACAGGCTGCCGGCTACTGTCACTCTAAGTCCCACCCAACACGACTACAGAACTCGCGGTCAGTTTTTGTGCCACTACACGAACTTTCGTGTGGTGTGGTCTAGACCTGTCAAAAGCTGCATTGCGCAGAAAAAAAACAGCTTTCGTCTGCGCGTAAAGACATGACTGTCCTCAAAGCTGTTGAAATTTGAGTTTGTGCTCTGCAGCAAAGCAAACTGAATGCGTGGCCATTAGACTAAGACGCGCATTTGCACACAAACCCAAACTACGTTCGGAGCGTCTAAAACAATTTCCTCAGCGCTCTATCAAGATAATCCATGCTGATCAGCGTAATCATTGCATGGGGTGCAATTCGCATGTAGTATGTAGGGTATCCTGTATAGAATGCAGTTATGCCTTCTGTCCGAGTGATTTTCACAGCAGCATCAAACACGCCTTTGTACGGCAGCTCTCCTGTTAGAGGATCTGGCCGCATTTTTTGCAGCCTGGAGCACACAGAATTCACCAGCACAATAACTGCGTGGATGCGTGGAATATTCGGGCTGTGCTGCATGCCCGCCCAGCGGAATGATGTTATGAAACTACAGCCAGATTTGACAAATTATACCTTGTTTTCAAAAAGTCGAATGGGAGAGAGAACGTCACCGCAAAGAAACCTGAGATAGCACTTGCCGTAAGTGTTGTTGTCCATCCGTTCCCCAGGGTCGGAGCAAGCATCTCCTTGCACTGGTCATTTGTAGCTAACATGCCTGCAGTCACTCCCTTACACAGCGCTCACACTGAATTCTGCGCGAAGCGTCACGACAAAATGTGTGCTATCTGACAAGGCACGTAACGACTTATGTATCGCCTGCGCGCACCCATATTCAGCGACATTGCTCGAAGGACCGTTGGGAAGCTGCCCCTCCAAAGGCCTAATATGCCTTCTTCCTTGACAATTCGTGAAATTGCGTTCAAAACGCCTGTATAGTTTCGTCGGGATTCAGGTGGAAGAGTTGCATCCGCCTACACGCCATGTTCACATCACCAAAGCATGTTTGTGTCCAAACGATCTATCGATCAAGGATGTTTTTTTACTAGGCACTGTGTCATGGAACTGTGCGTGATGAGGCATCACTGACTGCCTACCTGCATACGAATCAGGGAGAGGTCTGCGGGGTTTCCAAAAGCTGCAGCAATGCCACCAGCAGCCAAGCCCGCTGCCGCCTTCTTCCAAAGAGGGAGAGGGGGAGGAGGTGCTGTTGGGTCTGAACCTTTCGACATTTCCTTCAGCCTATCGCTGAAAACCCTGAATAGCCCAAGACGGGCTGTAGAATACGTAAGCTGCACAGACGCAGCGCCGCACATCCATGGGAAAGGGCTGGTATGGCGGGTAGCAACAGTGCACATCAGCTTATTAATCAGCAGATGGCCGTCGAATGAACATGAAAACCATTGCTCATGTCAGGGCGCCTTTACACTCACCTGGCGAATTATGCCTGCATCTAGGCCCTTATACAAGGCGAGGGCGCCCTCATTCTTCAGGACGTTTCTGAAAACATAAATTGGACTGGTGGAACCTTTTGCGCCTCCTTCTCCCACCAGCTGCAATCGAACCTTAACCATATCCACAGGTTGGATGCAGCATGTCGCAATACACCCGGAAAGACCTCCAACAACAAAGGGTTTCGCCCGGCTAAGAAAAGAAGGCCCAGGCTTCGTCGCGCTCGGGCCCCGCGTGTCCGTACCCTGGGTAGTGGCCATTACGGAAAAACTAAGTCAGCAGCTGAGAGCGAGCCGGATCAGATGTTAAAAAAAACAAAGCGCTGACCAAGGTATTACTTCTACCAAAAAAAATCAGAGGCGGTCATAGAGAGAACACCCTTGCTGCATGCGCTCGCGCTGCGGCGACAATGCGCCCACGTATACAAATCCGTCCTCTCGAAAGACTCTGAAGCAGGCAGGCAAGACAGAATTCAGCTGAGCATTTAATTTGAACATACCTTAAGCTGCTTTGTAACCTGGTGCAAAATTGGTGTAGGGCGCTCTCCTTACTTGCGTGACTAGAGCGTGTTTCCACCTACTCGATTCGGGTCGGCTCCTGCGTTTCGACGTTTCGCAGACTCCAAAGGGCAGGATCCTTATGTTTTACTTTTTCTAGCCATTACAAACTAAGATACATCTGACACAGTAGCTGTTTAGAGGGAGTACTACAGAGGTGTATCGCCGTGTGAGGCCCATGATTAACTCGAGTCCAAGAGGGCCACCAGGTTCTGAACCTGCGGCGCTCTAATGGCCGCCGCATTAAGTGCCTCAATGCCGGCATACTAGCCCCGTGAATGACCGCACAGCCTCAAAAGCAGGTGAAGCTTCATTCAGGGCAGTTGCCGTCTATCGGGCAGAGCAGGTCGCGCGGAGCTGGCTGTGTCTTTACACAGATTGCCTGCCTTAGCTCTCATCCAACGTGCTGTGTACCGCAGCAGATTGGAACCGTTGCGCAACGTCAGACCCCACAGGGCCTCGCTAAAGATGGAGAATGCAAGCGGAAACAAAAAGGTGGAATCAACATCAGCCGAAGGCGCCTCCACTGTCTTGGGGTTTGAGAAGAACGGGGCAACTAAGAATGCTTCTGAGGAAACATGGAGAAATTTACTTAAATCATGGCGCCGAGATGCCAGCCTTTCCTCCAGGATGGAGGGGGGAACCCGTAAGCCGGTTCTTCTGCGCCGTGCCGTGCTAACCCGGACTGAATGCCTCCCCTACATGTAGTCCCCGTTAGCCCTTGTTCTGGTGTTTCTGTAAAGCGGTGAGTAGCAAACGCGAATGTGCTGTAATGCACTGGGAGGCACTCTTGCCTTTAGTGGTTCCGCAATGCTTGTCGTTTGTGGCTTGATGTTCGCCGCAGGAGATGAAGACCGCAGTACGCATTCACTTGAATGACGTGTCCTAGCAATATAAAGCGCGCTGTAGGCATTTCCTTTTGTTTTCAGGGGCTACTTTGCATGTTCTTGGGCTCTCTGGGTGAGTCGCTACGCTAAGTTGGTTGTGCCTGGCTATCTGTTTTCTTTGTCAGTTTTCTTCCAGTTGGATGTCGCCGCCGCAACTGCATTTCAGCACTCTTCGCCGGACAGTGTTTTGAAACGTCCTCTTCAGCTGCAGCAACAAGGGCAACTGGCTGCCTCTGGGGGAAGAAACCCCCCCATAGTCACGCCTTCGTCCCTCGCTGCGGCTGAGGCAGCGAAGGGGAATTCGATGGCCCCAATGGTGCGGCTGTATGGGGTGACTGCTTCTGGGTTGTCTGTGATGTGCAACGTGCACGGTTTCTACCCCTACTGCTACTGCGAATGTCCGGCGGCCCTGGCGGCGGCCATGCGGCAGGCCGCATCCGCAGGCAGCGGTTCCTGGCAGCAGAATGCAGTCACTGAGGCTTTGCGCTCTGTGGTGGATGTAAGCGGCTCCTCCCTTATTGAGAGCAATCGCCAGTAGTGCCTTGCATCTCTTCACCGCGCGCTAATGCTGCTGCTTCTTCGCGCGCCGCTGCCCCGCGACTCCTCGTTGTAATATCCTGTCTGGTTCTGTTACTGTTGCCTCCACAGGACTACGTTCTCAAATCGCACGCCCAGGGGAAGACGTACGACAAACGAATTTTAGATGTCCGCTGCGAAGAGAAGGAAGTAAGGCACACTTAAAATTCTTTGTGTTAGGTTTAATTCTGTGGAGACACTTGTTCTTTTAGGCCGACTCCCGTCCCGTGGTCGTTAATAAGAAAGCCATGTTCACTACTGATTCACTTGAATGCGCTCACAGAAGTTTACACTATAGGAAGTACGGCAATCAGCGCCTATGTGTATCTCTTGCGTCAGTCTCTGATGTATTATTCGCCTTCGAAAGCCGGACAGTTGTTCTTCCGGATCACTGCTGCATCTCCGCAAATGATATCCGGGATTAGAGGCTTCATAGAGAGTGGTATTTGGCTACGAATTCCAGATGGCTTCGGAAAGCTCAGCGGTCAGCAAGTGGCGCTGCCGGAGACAGCCTACGAGGCCAACATTCCTTTCGTGCTGCGTTATATGGTGGACTCTGATATTACAGGCTGTTGCTGGATTCGCGGTGAGCGTGTTAGCAGCGGCGTAATCTGTACCTCACTGCCCGGACTATTCGCTGATCCTCTTTAACGAAGCTCAACAAAACCTAATTTGCCCTCGTTAGTCATCCAAGTTGCTTTGTGACGATGGGCAATCGGGATTTGTCAGCTTCAGTTCCACTGCAGATGGGCTTTAAATCGCCTGCAGAACACCCTTGCAGACGATCGGCGAGTTCTGCTGGCTCCTTTAATGTCTCCACTGATCAGCTTTATTTCTTAGGCTCCTACATTTCGTTCCATTTCTGTAGAAGCGCCGTGTGCTGGTTGGACTTTGTGCAGTGAAGAAAGGACGCTATTCCATTCGCCCAGCGTCTTTACGAGAGAGTCGGTGCCAGGAAGAGTTCGACGTGCACTATGCAGACATTGAGGCATTACCGCTGCGAGGCGAATGGCAGTCGCTGCCTCCGTTGCGCATGTTATCTTTTGGTGAGATCCTGGAGCTCGTCCGGGCATTCTGCAGCTCACCACTGTCTCATGCCTCTCTTCGTAACGTTGCATTATGCTGGTAGTTCAGGAAGGGCAACACGAGAACTATGTTACAGGGGGGACTGCCTTCGTTGTGATCCTTATCTGCGACAGATATTGAGTGCGTCAAAAATAATGGGCAGGGCTTTCCCGAGGCGCAGGAAGATCCCGTAATCCAAATTTCCTCCATTGTTGAAGAACAAAGGGCAGGCCGCAGCCACAACAAGGCCGCCTCGGACGGCTCTGATGAGACACTATGCCGCGTTATTTTTACCCTCCACGAATGTGCACCAATCGCTGGTGCACTGGTCGTTTGGTTCGACGACGAGTCGGAAATGCTGAAGAAGTGGGCGGAGTTCGTGCGCGAGGTCAGTGCCGGCCTCGCCCTGCGGCAACCCGATATCGCAGCATAGACAGTAGAATTTGTCTGCAGTGCTGTGAGCATCGCTTAGTTTTAACATTATTTTGTGACTATGTAAAGCAGACGCAAACGAAGTCTGGGCCTGCATTGTGGCTAAGATTGTTTCAGGTGGATCCCGATTTCTTGACTGGGTACAACTGCATCAACTTTGACTTATGTTATCTTTTGACGCGAGCCGCAGCGCTGAAGGCAGAAGGTGTAGCATCACTCTCTCGACTGAAGTCCATGGAGTCGCGCATTTCCGATACGCGGTTTAGTTCAAGGTGAGGCAGTGGCTAACTGTGGTTCGGCTGCAGCGCCCAAGACCGCCATCTCTCCTGTTGCGCGTTATTCATGGAAATGCGCAGGCACGGGGTTGCCTTTTAGAATTGTCCACTTCGGTCTCTAGGGCATGTGCCTGTCGTTTGCCTTTTAGAGCGCTTGGGACCCATGACAATAAGGAAATCCCTGTGGAGGGCCGCGTGCAATTCGACTTGCTGGAGCTTATCCGTCGTGACCACAAGCTGAAAAGTTATTCTCTCAACTACGTCTCTTCGGAGTTCCTTAAAGAGCAGAAAGTAAACAGCCATCATGTTCTATTCAGAGTTTAGTTGCAGGCCTTTATTCCAGAGAAGGCCTGTCTCTTTACCGCAGTTTTGGGCTGCGCATGTGAACATCCCCATTAAGTGAATAAAGAATTTTTCTTTCAGAAAGAACGCAGCATTTTTGGGTTTGCTGTGGACCTCAGGAAGACGTGCACTATAGCATGATTGGAGATTTATTCCGGGGATCTCCAACGACACGCCGGCGCATTGCGGTGTATTGTCTCAAAGATGCGCTGCTGCCTTTGCGGCTCCTCAACAAATTATTGTTTCTATTTAATTACGTCGAAATGAGCAGGGTCACTGGCACGCCACTGACTTATCTGCTAACACGGTACCTGACCGGAGCCCCCAGCACCCGAAACGTGTTTCTTAGAATGGGAATGCACACCTAAAGGCCGCCGCATGACAGCGTTCGTTTCGTGCGGAATGCTTTTTAGGGGTCAACAAATTAAAGTCACAGCGCAGCTTCTTCGGAAATGCCGTCAGCTGCAATACGTTGTGCCTTCTGTCAAAGTGAGTGGGCCAGACATAGCATACCACGGCAGAGTACACGATGGATGGGTGGTGCGGTGATACTGGCGTGACCACCCGTTCAAGGACATCGTGTTGTACTTGCGACGAAGCACGCTAGGATTAGTGCGCCTATGAAATTGTCCACCCTAATGGCCATCCAACGAATTTGACCAAAGTTGGAGTTGGCTGAACTGCTTCTTCTGCTCAGCGCGTTGGCGGAGACCGTGACGACAAATATGAAGGCGCTACAGTGCTTGAGCCTGTGAAGGGGTTTTACGATGCGCCAATTGCCACTCTCGACTTCGCGTCTTTGTACCCTTCGATTATGATGGCCCACAACATTTGTTACAGCACACTTGTCAAGGGAAACGATATCAACGCTGTGGACCCCGCCAACGTAAGCTCCGGTCGCACTGTGCACGTCCAGGCTGTGTCCTTCTCATGACAGCAGCCAATCAGCCGGGCCCGTTGTAATTTGTCTGAATCCTGTTAATTAACGTAGCCACTGCCACTCGCGTTGCTGTGTTGGATGCCGCTGTCTACTTCTTTTTGCAACAGTTGACAACCACCACTAGCAACCCCAGACACACGTTTGTTAAGGCAGGAGTACGACGTGGCGTTTTGCCGATGATTGTAGAGGAATTGATCGCCGCACGAAAAGTGGCAAAGAAGGAAATGAGCGAAGCAGAGGACAAATTCACCAAAAGTGTGCTCAATGGCCGTCAATTGGCTCTCAAAATCACGGCTAACAGCGTTTACGGCTACACAGGAGCAACAGTAAGTGGCGTACCAAAAATTTGGCATGCTTAAAATTAGCAACACTGCGTTCCGCTCTTCTTTTTGCGTGCACTTCACGCTTCCGTGCACTCTTCGCGCTGCCGCTTGACACACTTCCTCACAGGTTGGTGGGCAGTTGCCCTGCCTGGAGGTGGCCACGTCTATCACCTGCTTTGGTCGCGACATGATTGAGTACACAAAGCGCCGCGTAGAGGAGCTGTACACCAGGGAGAACGGCTACGCAAACAATGCTGCTGTTGTCTACGGCGACACGGACTCTGTGATGGTTCGCTTTGGGACAAGTTCCATCGAGGACGCGATGAAACTGGGTAAATTTATCATCATAGTTTGTCCTTTTGAGCTATTATGTGGGAGAGTTACGGGCTGATGAGACGTTTACGACGCCTTCAACATTGCCTCAGGTCGGGAAGCAGCGGAGAGAATAAGCTCGGAGTTCATAAGACCTATCAAACTGGAGTTTGAAAAGGTCTACTGCCCATTCTTGCTGATGAACAAAAAACGTTATGCTGGTTTGCTGTATACGAATCCGACGAAGTTCGACAAAATTGACTCAAAGGGGATTGAGGTTAGCTCAGTGCATGCCACCCCAGTCCACGCCTTGCCTTGTGAATAGCCATATTCTTGATAGTAGCACTTCTTATCGACTCCTGAGGGTGCAGGTTAGCCGCTTCTCGTCTGTCTCCATCTTTGATGACTTGCAGACAGTGAGACGCGACTTTTCTATGCTAGTGCAAATAATGGTGGACACGGTCTTGAAGAAAATGCTAATCGAACGGGACGTCGAGAATGCGAAGGCATACACGCGCACGAAAATATCGGAGCTTCTGCAGGTCAGAGAAGCATGATGAACTGCAGCAGAAAACTTCCTTCGTTTCTACTTCGGAAATGCTCTAAGAGCCTTCCCGACAACTGTTGCTACGAGCGACATATTGCTGCTACAGAACAAGATCGACATGAGCCTGCTGGTACAAACCAAGAGCCTGGGCAAGCTCGACTACGACACGAAGCTTCCTCACGTCGAACTTGCAAAGAAGCTTCGAAAACGTGGTGAGTGTGGCATTTCATAGTGTTGGTACACTTTGTTTAGCCTCGATAATTATCTCATGCCTACTTGTTCAAAGCAGCCGTATTACTGCTTGCTTTAAGCAATTGTGCCTCCTATTTTGTGTAGATCTTGTTCGTTCGTGTCATCCATTAGATCCATGCTCTTTGCAGATTCCGTTCGAGTCTTCTTCAGATCCAGGGACGGCTCCCAACGTTGGAGACCGCGTCTCGTATGTTGTTATCCAAGGGTCTAAGGGACAGGCGCAGTATGAACGGGCTGAGGATCCGCTGTACGTGTTGGAGCACAACTTGCCTATTGATACGCAGCATTACCTTGAAACGCTTAAAGGCCCTCTAATGCGCATCTTTGAGGGGGTGATGAGCAATCCAGAGAGCCTTTTCAGTGAGTTTGGCATACGGGGTAGCACGCGTATATAGTTTCCCCTACGCCACTTCCTCATCCTCGTCTTCGTCGATCTATTGTTTATTGACTTTGCATTGCAAATTTTCTGCTCTAGGTGGGGGCCACACTCTAAAGAAAACAGTTATGGTCTCGACGCAAGGCGCCTTGTCTAAGTTCATCAAGCGTGGCATTCAGTGTGTTGGTTGCCGCGCCACGATTCCTGAAGGAGCTCTGTGCAAACACTGTCAGTCCAAGGAAGGGACGGTAGGTCAATGCGCATTTTTCCGTCATCAGCGCTCACTCTCTGCGTCTAGCCCTGTATTTTGGAAATGCTCAAGAGCATTTCGCTATTCTCTGATTTTCGAGGAGACCCGGCCGTGCTGTTCCTGCAGATTGCAGCAGCAAAAGCTCTAGAGATGCAAGCACTGGAAAAGGAACACAGCGCCCTGTGGACTGAGTGCCAGCGGTGAGTTCTAGTGGCAAATTTGGCTACGCTACCCGATTCGAATATCTCATGAGAAAACAACGTTTGTACTTCTCTTCCCAACGGTTAATCTTTTTCTATGTGTTTCTGCTTTGCCTTGGCTTCTTGGAACGACCAGGTGTCAAGGTTCTCTCCTTCAAGATGTGATTTGCGTGAACCGGGATTGCCCAATATTCTATAGGCGTGCAAAAGTAAAGAAGGAAATTGCCGCGCTAGAGGAAACTCTGGAGCGACTTCACGCTACAAATGACTGGTAGCTCAGTGGATTCGCTTCCCAAAAAAATAAAGGGACACTACACCGCACGTTGAGAGGATTGTCTTTGGCCCGGCATTAAGACAGGTGCTGGGAAGTCATCATCTACTTTGATGTGCCTTCCTGGGGACATGGCAGCAGCGTAGTGCGAGATACAGCCCCATCGGTCCTTGTTGCCCGTGCTCGGTTCTTTCAATAACTATATTCCGAGGTGCGGCTGATATTTAAGATTAAAGATATACATTTATTTGATAGCCATCCGAGCTGCGCCTGACACTCGAAGTTACTCAGAGTTTTTCCGCGAGAGCTCTCTTGGTGGCATTTGACAGTGCCTTCCCTTTGCGCAACGTTTACCCCTGGCAGACCAAATAGCGGGTACTCTTCTTTGACCGAAAACTTGAATATTTTCTGTACACTGTGCCCGCACATGGTGCTGTTTCTGGCAACTGAAAGCGATACGTCACCCCAAGGTGCCAAACACTACAGAATGAACTTCGAGTGATCGAATTTTTCTCGCAGACAGCTCACGCTCTCCAGTACGTGCTGTCTATCGATGACGACACTGCGTAGGGCAATCCACAGCACACTGTGTTGGTCGTAAGTGTCCTGAGAATTATAGGCCAGGCTACTAATCGAAAAGAATTCTGTGGGCAGCTCACGTGGCTCCGGGAGCGTGGAGCGAAGCATTCAAATTGATGTCGTCCAAGACCCTGAGCAGTGTAAATGGAACAAATGCAGCCATGTTAGGTTGTCGTCAGTGGACACTGTAGGAGGTCAACACATCCCAAGGACACGAACACATCACAAGATATCAATCAGTACGCCTGCTTAGCGCAGGTTGAACTTCACCAATGGCCAACCACGGGAGCCATTATAGAGGCTTACTTTTCGATGACTGTGTGGAGACGACGGGCTCCGATGTTTTCAACTTGGGAATTTATTTCCCACGCCACTGCACGCAAAGCGCAACTGTCCCTGTCAAGGGCTGCCAGTCTGCTATAGCAACACACTACGCTGCAGACCTTGCAAGCAAAACTCACCACGAGCCACCTCTGATATCGCGTCATCTCTGAAATCTAGAACAATGCCCTCCGTCGCTAGCAACGCTGAGCAAGCACAATAGCACCGAAATCACGAATCTCTAGCAACGCGAACATGCAGCAAGTTGTAGAATCAGGGCTTCACGGCAGCGCAGGTCTTACCTTTGTGCTGCTCAATCAAATTGTGCCTTGTCCTCGTCAAAATCTGGCGAAAATCATGCTCAGACAAAGGGTTCAAAGTGACGCGCACAGGGAGGCGTCCTTGGAGCTCCGCGAGCATGTCGCTTGGCCGGACCGAATGAAAAGCACCTGTGGAGTAGACATTTGAGTGCCTTAGCTGCTTCTTGTTGGCGACCAAAAAGATTCTCCCTGTTTGCTGTCTGCAAGCTCACCTGAAGCGATAAACAATATGTAGTCCGTCCTGATGTCGCCGTAACGAGTTGTCACGGTGGACCCTTCTAGTAGAGGCAACAAGTCCCTCTGCACGCCTTCATCAGATGCGTCTGGGCCGTGATATCCACCACTTCCCTGCACACCAGCCACTGCACATTAGCATTTCCCTTACTTGCAAATAAGGTGGTGCACTAGCCCTCTGGAAATGCTTCGATTACTTCTCTGGGGCTCTCACGCTTTTGGAACAAATTTTATCTATCTCGTCGATAAACACAATGCCTTCCTGTTCCACTGCTTCCACCGCCTGCTGAATCACCATATCCTGACATCCACAATCGAACAACAGCGGCTACTCAAGTCAAGTTCTCATTAGACAACTGAATCCTGCACCTAAGCTTTTTGCTTGACTTACTTTTGTGATCATGGTGTCGAGTTCCACCTGCGTTAAGTGCGAAAGGGCCTCTTTGATTGTTACATATCGTCGTTCGATCACGCGGAAATCTGTTGAGGACATCCACCGGCTCAGCTATATCATGTTTCCTTTCTCACTTCCAACTAGCAACCATAAATAGGCTTAACAGTTGTGAACAAAGTGAAGAGCTATTGAATGTTCGAGAAAGACCTGATAGGCAGCGCACCGCTGGTAAATAGTGGCGGCATTCTCGAGTCCTTTGCATCTCTCATAGCACTTTCTATATCCGATAGAACTGCAAGGCAACAGGGCAAAGACTACAAACAGCATTGCCTTGACTCCAATGGTTTACATCTCTTCCATTGCCACTTTGGGGATTTGCGCACCGCCTTGATGACTGGCAGATGGTACCATGGGCATGTCAATCTGAATGCGCCTATTATCAAGCGAGCCTCTTCGCAGGTGCCGCAGCCACATCGAGTACTCTTCAGCCTGCATGCATGCGCAAAATCGCTCTCACCAGGCAGCTCTGTGAACAACCCTCAGTCTGTCTGGCATCAAAATTGTGTGTCTTCGCCGCGTAGCCAACTTACTGGCATTTTTCCAGCCAGTGCCTCCAGAACTTTTGCTTCAGCCTTTTCCTTAGCTGCAAGCCTCAGCTGGGACTCGAGGATTGTCCTTTTCTGCTTTACTGCAACCTCGACGAGGTCCCTGTTTGCCCAAGCAAACGTTAGGCAGAAGCCCCGATGCAATGAAGTACAAGCAGAACTCGAATGATCTTTTATGCATATTCCAGTCAAGCAACCGACGTGTGCTACCACCATCCCGACTTACTTGATAATCTGATCGACATCCCTGCCGTGAAACCCAACTTCCGTGTATTTGGTAGCCTCAACCTGCGCATGTTTCCATTGTGTTATACTTCGGTTGAAAGCACACTCTATTATTTCTCTTCATCTGCAGCGTTTATGCAAGACATTCGGGCTTGTGTCAAGTGCAATAAACACATTAGGAAGTTTTGTACACATTAATCTTAGTGTAAGAGGCTGTTCGAGAGACACCTTGACGAAAGGAGCATCCAGATGCTTTGCTAGGCGCCTTGCGATTTCTGTCTTGCCGACCCCGGTGGGCCCTATCAGTAGAATATTTTTCGGCGTGATGTCGGCCCTCATTTCGGGGTCGGCAACCTGGCATATAAGAAAAGTAAACACAGAAATGCAGTAAGAGACGAATTTGCACGCCCACCAGAATGTATGAAGAGTAACAAGCGCATCGGATGCCGCCCTGATTGACTCCTTCAGAAGAGCACGCCCACCCCCCTGAAGTTTAACAAAAGTCTCCACTCTGAAAAAACATTGTTGCCGTTTCCGTGTGGCATTTCATTCGTTGGAGCTCCACCGTGGCTGGGCGCACACGAGTTACCCACCTGCCGGCGCCTCCAGCGCTGACGCAACGCGACTGCAACTGCCCTTTTGGCTTGTGTCTGTCCCACAATATAGTTGTCAAGGTATTTAACAAGAGCCTGAGGGGAACGTGACATATCTCTGAGCGAGGCGACAGAATTTCCAGTTTCTATTTGTAGGGGCGGTTCGTTGTCAAAGGCTGACTGGGGCACAGGCTGAAATGCACCTTGTGAGCCCCTCCACCTGGAACGGGGACCATCCTGTGGCTGATTCACAGCGTTACTTTGCAGAGCAAGTATATGCCTGCCCCGTCGAGCCTCTTTCGGCCATAGGTCACAGCAACCACATGGCTTCCTTTCTTGACACTGCGACGTGCACGCAGCAGTGGTGCAGCCCCTTATGCATCCGCTACTGCAGCCACTCTTGTAAACTGCAAAGGCGAGCTTTTCATTGCCGCATCTGCTCAACACATTAGGGGACGGGGAACAGACAGACGGCACCCGCCTCGGAATCGACCGAAGCTGTGCAGGCGCCGCCCACCTCGCCAGCATTTGGGTGCCGGAAAAAGTTACTGCAGGACGGATGCAAAATGCCTTGGAAGACACATTTATGCAAAAGCGAAGGCAGAAGCGGCGCGCTGTGCAGCTTTTCAGTGCGCAGCGACCAGTCGGCAGCTCTTGGGGGGTCGCTCTTTAAGTGACTCCGTTGGAAGAGCAAGAGGGACGGCAAAACACACCCCAACGAATCACAAAAGCCAATGAAGGTGTATCTATGCATTAAAAATTGACTTACACATCTCACAAATCTCCATACCCGCACTTGCGCATAGACAGTGGAATCAGTTCCTGGACCTGCCTACCGGTGCCACCGAAAGGTACTCCCTGATGTACTTCCGCTTGTCAAATATTTATCGCCGTAGTCTCATCCTTGTTCATATCAGGTATTCAGTTTTGTTGTGAAATCTATTTTATGGTATCTTCGATCGATCCATTAGGCTGTCGCGCCCTCCCAGCCGCACCTGTTGGGTGACCAGCGCTCACCTCGACACATGAACACATTTCTTCTACGAAAACAAGTGAGGAGAAATTTGTCCAAGCCAAAAGTGGGCATTACCTTATCCAGATTGGGGCGTCATGTTTAGGTTCAGGCTAAAACTCCATTCGTACCAGTGGGCCAAGAGTGACTTCCTGTACTTCGTTTCCGCGTAGATTTGCATTAACAAGCTGTAGCTCACTAAGACGCTCCTCAGACTACATCAAAGTGATTCTACTTTAAGAAGTAACACTTTTATGGAGATATAATGTAGGCGAGCCGTGTAAGTAGGCTTGGCTGCCTAAAATGGATGTATTCAAGAAGAATGTGTTGTCTGCAGTCGGAGTCGCCCTTCACTGTTCATCTTGCTTTATTTGGAATGAAACTTAAATTTGTCATATAGCTTATTTTTCCTCAAGTAATGCGAACTGAATGCACAATTTCAGCGCGAAAATTGGAGAGGGCGTTCAGAAGGTATTCCACCTGGTCTTTCGAGAAGTGCAATTCCACCTTGTCTTTCGAGAAATGCTAACATCCGCTGCCTCTCTCTGGGGATCTCTGTTCGTGTCTCTCAGTCCATGAAACGGTCTATGTTTTCATTAGCTGTGTTCCAAAAGCACATCTAAGTTTCGGCCACGGAATATGAGACAACAGCAACAGAGTTTAAACGGATTAACGAGACATGAACTAAACGCACAAAGTCCATTCACGCTATACTGCAAGCCTTGGAATATGGGCCCATTCATAGTGGTTTATTCCGTTTAGGGCGACAATGCAAGAAGAGTCTAATTTCTGTCGACGGCTATGGGCAGCTCTGAAGTATGCCACAACAACAAGGGTGTTGCTGTTACTTGCCCCCAGCTAAAGACCCCCCCACACCCATAAGCTAAGCAGTCCACCTGTAGGGCTTCATACAGATCTTTTCAGTTGTATTCCAAAGGTTGGACACAAGACACCCGTTTTGTGGAAGCTGAGAAGCCTTGATATGAGACTAAAAGAGTGCGGGTACACATGCGCGATTTACGAACTGGTTATTCACTCCATGTTATGCGCTCCAAAGAGAACAACGTTATACTCACTACTGAAGGCCCCGGAGCTTTGAACTCGTCTCGCGGGCACAGCAAAAGCATTGGAGTAAATAAAGCGACGGCAAATGGAGCGCAATAATAAACAAATAGCGAGTAAGCAATTACAAAATGCCATTTCGTTATCCAACTCAAGGTACAAAGGAGAAAAAAAAAACTGTTCTTTGAATATACTATGATCAAGCAGTAGGGACAGCCAGACACCCTTTACCTTCTATGTTTAGTTTGATAGAACCGAGTCTGCCATCGAGCACTTCAGCAAACCCTAGCGTGCCTCGTAAGAGTTTGGCATTAATGAACGTGAGTGGAAGAGTATCAGTGCCAAAGAGCGCCAAGACCGCGGCCTAAAAGCTCTGAGCAGCCCTTGTGCGTGAAACATTGCTGTCACCTTCTTACGCCCAAAAGTTTCAGCATGGGGCTTTGGATTTCACGGTTTATCCTTTTTAGGTCCATGAGCTCATAGTAGCGCTTATAGGCACCACGTGTAAATGCAGGCTGCTTAGGTGTAGTCGTTCACGCACAGCAGCAACTGAAGTTAATTAAAGACAAGAAATGCTGTCACTGAAATGCAGACAGTTCATAAGGAACCCATTTGCCACAGGGCTCCGCTATAGCCCTGGACAGCGCCAAAGCTGCACTTGCGGAGTTGAGCATGCAGCGCCAATGCCTTGTTTTTCCCTGTGATAGTTATGCAAGCTTTTCCTACAGGCCCTGTCACCCTTTCGTCACCTCATCATCTGCGGGGGAAACTCCGTACTAGATTTCCAGGAAATTCGCTTCTACGCAGAGAGCTAGTCGTCTTTAAGCCTTTCTACTGCAGTACCCTATGGGCAGTATACATCTACTTTGCCATCGAAGTTGAAAACGAATTATGAACGTAGGCGATAAATAACCGCAAGAGGAGATCGCCATGCCGTTGCTGTTCTTTATAGGAGTGAAGGGAGGAAATGTATGATCAGGCAAGACCTTTGCAAGCAAAAAGAGCAGCAAGCCCGTAATCTGCAGAAAAGATACGTATGATCAACATTCGAGTCGGAGCCGTCTGCGAAAATATGAAACGGGTTGCGTTTGTACACATTCAAGATTTACCCGTAGAGTGACTGCCATCTCTATATTGCTGCAGCACAGATGCTTAGTGAGCTGCACTAACGAATGGCGGGTTGTGATGCCTCAAATAGTGGGTAACTTGGGTACTTTGTCAATCATCCGGTTTCCGCCGTGGGAGTGAATGCTTGAGCGTAAATCGATTCAAACAAAAATCTGCATGAATAAAGAGAACAAGCATAAGTAACATTGAAGTACGCAAGCATGCCTTGCGGCTTCACATGTCGCTCCACATGCTTCCAAATGGCAAGGACGACCAAAAGTTCCACGACATGGCAAAGTATTATGCTCCCTATTTAGCCATTATGCTATTAGAAGCTTTTTAAACATGCGAGCAAAATATGAGGAGTGGGGTACAAAACGCTGTTGACATTCGTGTTCGTGCGGAGGTCACTTGTGTGTCTTGTGTGGTGAACTGCAGATTTCGCTCGAAAGACGCTCCATCTGAAACACATATTAATTTAAGTTGCTCATCAATTGGAACGTGAGTAACCTCTGAGAACTACCCTCTGCCTCCCAAACACTTTGTTCCGAGGTCACCGTTGCAGGGACCTCCAGCCAGCCCCATCCTCAAGTGAGGTCTTCTCTGCTGTCACTGCGAGTGAATGCAAACGAATACCTAAAATGCAAAAACTAGAGGATAAATTAACCAAATAATTGTACAGTCCCCATATTTTTCCAAAGGTTTGGCTGTCCAATGCGCAGCCGTAAGCTGAGGTTCTCTCACCATGGCAGCAGCAAGCGCGCTGCCCCTTGAGGGGATTTGCGCTGGCTCCCCACAGCCCAACGCCATTGAATATGCTACAAAAACAGCCGATGGAATCACATCACCTCGCCCATCTACAGCAGGACCCGTCGCCTCACAGGCAGCACGAGCAGCAAGAGACGTCTCTCTAGAAACACAGCCGGTTGTACTGGAGCCCGTAAAGGCACCAGCTGCAGCGGTGCGTTCCTTTCTCTCCACAGAAGCAGCGCTCGCTGCCTCTCGCAAGCCTCTATTTCTCACCAACACCCTTTTGTGCGCAACCGACGCAGCAGCGCTGCTGCAGCAGGAAAACCCCATGCACCTGGCTAGGCAGCTGGACAGGCTCTTACAGCTACAGGAATTCGTTGTACAGCTTCGTGAGTCTACGGCTGCAATTCCGCCACATAGCTCGTCAAACGGCGGCAACAGAGACCAAAGCAATAGCAGTGGGAATCACAAGTTGGGCGATCCACCAGAAGAAAGCCGTGCAAGGGATGCTGCAGCAGTCCGTAACAACGGCAGCAGCAGTAACACGAAAAACAGCAGCAACAGTAATAGCAACAGCAGAAGGTCCAGTCTGACTGCCCCAGTAAGGGTATCTATAGTAGGCGTAGACAGGCACGAGGATGCAGGAGCTCGCCCGCAGGCTGTTGCTGCCGCTGACAGTTCTCAGTTGGCTGCTGGCTCCCTGACGAATCAGCATACGGTGGAGCAGATAAAGCAGCAGGGTATATACCAACAGCGGCGACAGCAGGAGATGCAGCAGCAACACGAGGATCAAGAAGCCGCAGCAGCCCACTGCGTGGCGCTGGAGTATTTCCTGTCTGCCGTCGCTTTCTGCCGGCTGAACAGCTTTTCCCCGCGTGCCGTTTCTACATTCCTGGCTCTTCTGATTTCTGTATACAGACAATCAGTGCAGCAGCGGCTTTCTCCTTCCGCGTCTTTCGACGTTTTTAAGTCTCAGCTACTACGACACTCCATACAGAGACCTCCATGGGCCACAGCTGTCTTTTCCTTCACACAACTACACCCCGCCACTGAATTTTTCTTAAACCATTTCCTACGGCTGCTGCCTCAGCTGCAGCAGCTGCATTCCCGACACAGCCCGCGGAGCAATCAGCACAGAAGCAGCGGTAGTCAGGGCGCTGGCTGCAGCAGCTTCTTCACCGGCAATTAGGCGGAATCTCAGATCTACTCCAAATGCTGCCCTAGTTTCTGAACGCCCTTAACTGTAAATAGCTTGAATTCTACTCTTACTACTGTCTTTTTTGCTGTAGTTGCTTTTTATGATCAAGAGTAGTAGCTGGTTGCCAAAGAACTCCTGGGATAACATTGTCAGTCTCGAGAACCCTATATCTGCATTTTTGCCGTCAAATTAAAGACAGATTACATGCCAACTGTTCCTTTTGCCCCTTCGATAACGACAACCTGCCCCTAAACGGTGTTACTGCAACAGCTTCTGGTGCCGCTGCAGGCCCTTACAACTCCCCACACTCTGTAATAGTGATATCCACCTTAGGCATGCCTTGGGCATCCGTCGACACGTGCTCTATTTTCCGAAGCACCTGCAGCAACAGAACGCACAGTGAAACCACAACTGCAATTCATACACAGCAGCCGTGAGCACATCAAGAGCATATACGGTACCAGCACTGCGAGGAGATACAGAAGCAACCCTCGATGTTAGCCTGAGCAGTAGCAGCAATAGAAACAACCGCTCGATATTATGGCAGACCTGATATGAGTCTCTGCCAATAACCTGCCCAAAGACATCATTGCGTCCATCCAGCCACAGGCAAGAACCACAGGTGATGAAGAATTGACAGCCGTTTGTACCGCTTCTCTGTTGCTGCTGCTTCGGGTCCTGGGGGTGCTGCTGTTGCTTGCTGCTAGATGCTGCGCTGTTAGCCATGCACAAAAGGCCTGCGCGAAAGTGCGGCACAGAGCCAGCTGCAATCGCTTTTGCTGCAGCAGCTGTTGCAGCAGCGCCCGACAAACCCTGGATCGCTTCGGGCGGAGGAGGCGCCTCCAACGGGAAACTGCTGCCGTATATGCTCAAACTGCCCGTTCCATCACCTTTCACAAAATCTCCACCCTGCAGTGGAAACAGCACTGACACAAAAAACAGTGAGAGGTTGAAGATCTGTCACAGCAAAGGCAAAGCGAGTGTTATCTGATGAGACGGCCAGCAGCACCACCGGCAGCAAAAAGCTGAAGCGAAATAAGAAATGCCGCCAAATTCAAAGAAAAGGGCTCACATGAATCATAAAGCCCTTAAGTACTCTGTGAAATTTGACATTTTTGTAGCCAACGGGAACAGAGTTCATCTTGTGTTCTCCTGAAGCGCACGGGTTGCAAACTGAAAACCTTGAAACCTGAGACTTGGCGCTTAACACAGCGAACCTCAAGCCAACAGCGGCGTAATTGTGCTGTTACACCTTCCAAGTAGAGACAGACACCGCGCAGTCCCTGCCCGTGCAGTTGCAGCCGCGTCAAGCCAGCAAAGAAATGACCACTCCAGCAGGCACATTAACTGCAGCAGCACAGCAGCAGAAGCATCCTCCGCAATAGCAGCAGCGGGATGCTGTTACCCGTGCAGAATTGCCTGAAGTTCTCGGCGCATTTGGGCATAAGGTGTTTGAAGAGTTCAATTTTGATTCTTCCCATTGCGTGCGATCCGACAGAAACGTCTAGAAAGACGACAGGATTTGATGGGTCTGTCAAGGGCCGCGATCCACCAGCCAGAGCGTCTGCGTAGGAGAAGCCGGCAACTCCTACTTCCATACTCTCCCCAGCCATCTTGCTGTTTCTCGATGAGTAACTGGCGAGCAGAATGTGCAAAGGAAGCCCCAGCAGCACTCACGAAACCCCGTGTGGCAGCAGGTACGACAGAGCGCAGACCTGCGTCCGGAAAAGGCTACTTTGAAATCCGTGTAAAAGCCAGGAGCGGTTTAAGGAAGGAGATCTGTACGTAGTAGATCGGTATATCGTGAGCAGCTGATAAAAAGAACGCGAAGCGGCTTGAGAGCACGAACAGGTAGGCGCACAGCTAAAATAAATGCCTATATATCAAGTACGCAGATATAAAACTGTTTTAATTATGGCCAAGGAAAACTCATACACTACGGACAAGGGCTTGCATGCAGCAACGACATTCCAATGGCATGCTGGGGCCAACGGTACTGCCAACAAGGGCTCCAACAAACCACAGGGCAAGTAAGCCTTAATTTTGGCTGGGGAAAGCGTATATTTGTGCATGATCTGTTGCAGCTACCCCTTTTCATTGACAGTGTATGCTTGATCTTGTGCAGTTGCCGTTTTCTGTAGACAGTGTTATGACGAGGGCCACAGTGTGGAGGCAACCACCATGTTGGCGGCTTGGAAACTGAAGCCTGAAGACGCCGCGTTGCGACAACCACCAGAATAAGGACAAGAAGTTGATTACATTCGTTAACATAGGCGATAGGCGGGTTTCTTACCGTTAAGTCAATGAGAACGAAAATGACAGTGAAGATAAGGGAGCTGTCACTCGAAGTGGTTCCCAGCGTGCTCTGTACACAGATCTTACAATTTGGAATTGGTCATTCTGCTGCGTGAGGAGTCTAGATTTAGTGTTTTCTAGGGCAGCTAGCCTTAAATATATTGGGCCGGTCTTGGCGTAGAGCACTGGAGTTGCAACGCAGGGTTTGAGCTGCAACGTAGTCCATTGTGTAGATTAGTCAAGATTTGTAAAGCATTTTAGAGACGGATAACCTCTGTAGCAACATAATTTTGTAGCACCAAGTACAGTTTTGTATCGTAAGGGACAACTTGCAAAGGTCCTTTCAGTTCGCCCAGCAGAATTCAGAACTTCCGCCTTTCCACGGTGTGGGTTAGTCGAGGGAGTGACCGTGGACCTGACCTTCACAAACCTTGTACAATCTAGTTTTGTCACCAGAAGCATGCTGTAGTCGTCAATTTGAATTTGTATATTAGAAGCTTAACTTGATTTCCGACGGTATCATGCACGCACGCCGGCACTCCAAAAGCCTATCCACTGATGACTGCACTCTGGTCTTCCACGTGCATAAGGAGAGGCTTGGCGAAACGTTTATTATGAATATTATAGAGAAGGGATACGCATTGCACGGCGGCTTGTGCTGTGCTACGGGAATCTCGGTCCGGATCAAATCCTCCGACGCCAGCAAGCTTGTTGAGGCACTGGCCCGCAGCGCTGGAAACAGAGAGCGCTGCATCTACTCTTACTGCTCTGTCTTTCTGTACTGATGTGCCACTGCCACAAAGTGATGCACCAGCATGCCCCCGATGTTTTGCTGTGCGGTCCCTTGCAGGCAATTCTCACCCCTCGAGAACATAACCTATCTGTCAACCTTTAATACAGCTTTTCCCCTTCGCATGCATCCAGTAGGTGTAAGTGGGCCTAAAAAGCCTCAAACCGAAGAAAATTAGGATTTGCGAGTACTTGAGCTTGCTAATGGTTTGTCTTGATACTGTTTTTTCAGTAATGACCGCCCACAAGCTCTCATGTCTCTGTCCAATGCCCTAGACGGTCACTGCACTCTGCCGTGTTATGCGTAAAGAGACTAAACTAGGAGACACACCGAGTTCTACTGGCCACTCCAATAATTATTTATCGCTGAGAGAATCCCCATCTAAAGTCAGTTGATAGCCTCCGTTGAACTAAGGCACATTGCCACGCAGTGCTGGCAATGGCTATGACACGAAGACCATAACAAGAAAAAACGCCCATACAAATGAAGTCCCGTCCTGGCCTTACGATCTGTGGCATCTAAAGGCGTGCCCAACGAATGACAACAGAGGCGACAACGCTAACAGTCCTATCGTGCATCCAGTCCGGTGCGTACGTCGTGCGTCCGACTTGGTGTACAGCTGTACAGTGCTCTCTGACTGAATCACCGTCATCGGAACTCGAGTTCGAATTGCGAGAAGCATTTCGCAAGAATGTGGGTATCGGCAAGAAGCTTCGGGAAAAAAATTAGATGCCTCTGAAATTGAGAAGTTAGAAAATGAAGGATCTACAGCACCAGTTGGGCTGTATTTAAAAGGAATTCGGTCTGTGCCTCTTCGCGGCATACAAATCGGTTGCTAAAATCAAACGACCGTAGGCAGACATACAGAAGCGGGCTCAGCAGAGCTGGCTTCTACAGAAGCCAGCTCTGCTGCGAGCTGCGTGGATTTCTTCTGTCTGCAATTCGTGAGTGCGCATCACAGTGGCGAATATAAACTTTCCGGACGTCACTGACCTCTACTTTTAGTTTGCTCAGCACATCACAGAACAAAAATGCCCTCTTCAGAGCAGCAACTAGACTGCTCTTTGGAGAGGGGTGTTAACAGCGGCAGCAACAGAAGCAATGGCGGTGAACCTCTCCAGGGTTGGGCCCTTCAGTTAAAAAAAAGAGCATCGCGACCGCAGTGGATCTCTGCGAGCTCCCATAGCATCCCTTGCTGTCTTGCATTAATACAAATCGTCTAGGAAAGAAAGGAAGGACTCATCAGGTCGTAAACTGTCAGCCCCAAAGAACGTAAATATGTCGCCATCGCCCTCTTCTTCTGCGATCTGCTGCTGCTGTCGCTCCAACTGCCGCTGCTGCTGTTCTTGCCGTTGCTCCTGTCCCTCGCGTTGCTGCCAAAGCTCGTAGTCATGCTGTATTCGGCGGCGTTCATGGGCTTCTGCTTCTGCAGCAGCAGCCGCAGCTGCTGCTGCTGCTTCTTCTGCTGCTCGGGCTTCCGCAGCATTTAGAGAGGTTCGCACGTACAGGACGGAGTGGATAGATACGCGGGGAGTGGTGTCATGCCGCTGATGCTTCCTTCGCTGGCGGTCATCGTCGAGAGCTCTTAATAATGAATGGAAGATAGAAGCAACTGCATCCCCTGAGGCAACGCAAACGAGCACATGCAGTTAATACAAAAAGATGACCAAGAACAGCGACTGCGACAGCTTTTCCCGTGGCATTCTGCCGGTGTACAGCAGCGCTACCATTGTAGCCAGGTTTGGAGCAGCAACACGTATTGCTGATGGCCCTCAAGTCGTGCTCTTGCTGTAGCTGTACCAACAGTGCACGGGCAGGCCAACAGCACCAGAGATGGCAAATGCAGAAGAATCAGTATGAATGGCAGCAGCTATGGCTTACCTAAACCGCGGCTTCTTGACGCACTTTCCGTATAAACGTCTGCCGGCAAAGTGTGGGTCCGCAGCACTCCATCAACATCGTCTCCGTCTGATTCTGAGAGCTCATCGCTATCTGCAGCGGCAGCAGCCGAAATAAAGGCTTCTGCTTCAGCAGCCTCTGACGAACCGTCGTCCCCTCGACAGCGGCAGCAAGCACAAGCCGCTGCACCGCTGTCTGCTGCTGCAGCAGCGGGACCTGTAGTAGCCGTTGCCGCGAAGGAAGAACAGGACGCCGCGGAACGGTTCAGCGGGCCGTCCTGCTGCTTCAGCAGCAGCTGAACCCTGTTCTCCTCCAACCCCTCTCTTCGTTTGCACGTTTCAATAAAAGCCTCAATTGCGTTTCTGCTGCTGCTGTTGATGCTGGTGCTGCACGCCTCGTGTTGCTTGGGGTGAGTTTCCTGTCCAACTGCTCGGATTGTCGCGGCTGTGAGACGTAGCCCGTTGTTGTCGTCATTGCTATTACTGCTGTTGCTTGAGACCATGTTGCCGCCTCGTTTATACCTGAAGCTGTGTAGCGAGAAGCCGTGCTGTTGCAAGAATGCCGTGAGGGAGTGCAGCGCAGCGTAGGGGTTATCGTTCACTATACAGCTGCCATCACATAATACCTCTATGCGGTTGAGTGTAGGCGAGAAGTCATTAATGATCATTTGAAGATTAAAAAGCACGAGGCCCTGCAGGTGGTACGCCTCCATGGCCTCCGGGCTCGCTCCGTCCAGCTCTATTGCGTCTCCCTCTGATACAGTAAATGCAGCAGCTGACGGTGCTTCAAGTGCCATGCGCCTAGAGACGCCAAGATCCCGATTCTGCGCCTCATCTTCTGTGTCTTCTCCCTGCTGTTGCTGTTCCTCACGAAGCTGGTTTTGGTGGAGCTCTGCGTTGAGCAAGACGAATCCTACAATCCTGAGAAGCCTAATGGGAGGCCTCAGCCAGTGGGGCAGATCAGCTAGATAAGAGTAAGTGGCAAGGAAAAGTAGGTCGTGGGCAAGAAGCCGAAAGGGGACCTCGAGGCCCTGGAATTTTGGGTATAGAACAGAGTCCTCGCACGCGCCTTGCAGCAGCTGCTGATCGTACAAAGGGAGCGCAAAACGCGGCAGTCGCCTCAGTAACTGTATCGCCGACGGCAGCAGCGGGTGCTGCTGCAGTCCGCTAGGCTTCCTATAATCCAAAAACAAATCCCACGTTGGGATCGCTTCGGAAGCCGCTCCCAGCTCCAGTAAGGCCCTCGCCTGCAGATGGGGGTCTTGCCGGAAAGAAGTTGCCATACTTGCTGCTGTTGCTGCTCGAAGCTGTTCCTGTTGATGTAAAGGGAGTCCCATGTGCACTGAAGCTAGCTGCTGCACTACAAATGAAGCAGACCCGCGAGACTCTCCGCCCCTCTGCGGACTGCTGCTGCTGCTGTTGCTGTTTGCGTGTCCCCAAGTAGCAGAAATGCCTGCGGAGAGCAACTGCGCCTCGAGACCGCCTTGCGGGGAGACTTCATTGATATTATCAGCTGCCATCCGGCTGTTCTCGTTGCCTTGCCTGCTGGCGCGGCAGCAACAGGAGCCGCAGAGGCAACGACAGCCCTGCACCGTTTCAATTCTTCGGTTATTCTTTCTGCCGCTGTCGTTGCTGTAGCTACTGCTACTGACGGCATTCATGCTCGTGCTGCTGTAACCGTCATGAACTGTGTCGTTCTGAGTTGTCACAGGGCGGCGGGGCCTCTGTAGAGGCAGAGACTGTCTCCAGCAACAACTGCAGCAGCAGCACCATCGGCCGCTAGCCATGCATTGGCTGCGAGTGAAAGTCTGTTGTATGTCATCGAAAGCCACAAGCTGCAGCAAAGGCTGCTCGGATGCTTCTGCTTTGAAAGCTGCAGCTGTTGTTGCGTCTGCCGAAGCAGTAAATGTACCTCGGCAGCGAGAAGGCAAAGCAGGTTTGTACTTCCTGCGCGTGCTGCTACCGTGATACCTCCTGTTGCTCCAGCTGCTACTGCTACTTCTTCTGCTTCCGCTGCCACTGCTTCCGGTGTTATTCGGGGAACTCCTCGTACCTCGTTTCCCTGTACCGATTTGCAGGAGCTGCTGCTCGTGCTCCTGGTGCTGATCGTGCTGCTCCTCCTCCTCTTGCTGCTCCTTGAAACGCCGCCCAGCAGGGGGATCTCCAAAATATTCACTTTCGCTGCTGTATCTGCTGTTGCTGTAAGCACTGACCTCGCTACTGCTCCTGCTTCTGCGGCGACGGCGGCAGCTGAGGCTCGGACTCAAAGCAGTCCTATTTGCCGGCTCCTCCATGCTGCTGCTGGAAGAAGATGGCACGACCTCCTCCTCGCTGCTAAGGCTGCTGGCGATGCCCTTACTGCTGCTTTTGCTACTTCGGCTGTTGCTGGTGCTGCTGCCATCGCTGCTGCTACTCCTGCTGCTGGCGCTGCCGCCACTGCTGCCGCCATTGCTCCTCCTGTTGCCGTTACTGACAGGGCTTTGGCTGCTGCGCGTTGTATTGCTGTTGTCTTCACTTGTGCTGCTTGGCTGTAGCCCCTCGTCCAAGCTGCTGCTGCTAGGCTCCATGATGATGCCTTGGGAAGAAGCGTTGGTCTTGCAGGAACGTTAGCTGTTTGTTCTGCTTTAAAGGCAGTAACGACTTTCTGATGACGTTGCTGTCTCCCCTGCTGCCGTTGTAGCTGCTGATACGCCTCAGTTGTTCCTGTGTGTTCCTGTGAGCCCTGCTTGTCGCCGCGGCAACAGCAACGACTGTCGCAGCATCAGCAGAAGTAGCTGCTGCATCTGCGGTGGGTCACTGCAAGTTATTTCCAGCGCTCAGTGGCGCTTCCAGATTGCGCTTTTATGGTGATGAGATCGGTCCGAGGTTGCTGCGTAATGGTCTCGATGCGAGACAACAGCTGCCGCTCCAGCCTTCGCCACTGCTGTACACGCTGGGCAGGCCAGGGAAAGCAGAAGGGCAAGCATTCGGCTGCTGTGAGTTTGTAACATTGACTGCCTACTTCAAACTACAAAGCCAATGTTGCGCTCGATGCTTACAACGCTACGGCAGCTAGCCGTCCAGAACTGCCGTAACTTGTGTTGGCGCTGTTGCTGCTAAAAGACCGTACAGTGGGGGAGAGAAACCGTACTTCCTCTAAAAATAATCGGAAGTGTTGCGGCCACTTTTTCCAAAAAGTTGTTCCACGCATCTCCAGAGCTAGACTGAATACCGTGGGAGAAAGGGTAGCAGCAGCACAATGGCAGCAGTAGCAGCTGCTGCTACCATACTGCTCTGCTAACACCGACCCCACTCGATCCGCACTGCTGGGACAGCTTTGACTCTAAAATTTGCCACCATGGCACATTTTAGTCACTTTGTTTATGTTTAATGGCTTTTGTAGAGTGCCGAACTCACTTATTTGCTGGACAGAATCCCTTAATCATCTGAGACACCACTGCAACAGCGTCTGGAGCAGCTGCGGCTACTGCTTCAAGTGATACGTGCGACCTAGAGGCTCGTTCGTGGCCTTTATTGGCATTTATTCTTGTCTCCTTCTGCCATTCATTTACTTTTACCCCCACAGATCCGTGACTTCTGCCTCGCGCCAAGGAAGCCGTCTACAGCGACACTGGGCGTAGCAGCAACTGCAACAGCGGCCACAGCAACAGCAGAACTAGGAGAAACTATTCACCAGTAGCTACACGATCGTCTTGCTAAGCAGCAGCTGCTGCGTGCAACTACAAACGCAGCTGAAGCTGCGGTTGTCGCAACCACCGCCGGCCCTGCTGCCGCCGACCTTGCCACTAATATATTTTTTGCGCTGCTGCCGTTGCAGCCTCCACGGCTTCTGTTGGTGTTTCTGCCTGTTCTCCGAAGGGCCATGCAATGCGGCGCCTTCCTTCTCACGTGCCTCTGCCGGGGCAACTCATAGGCCCTCTAGAGGCATATTGCAGGTGAGCCACTGCTATGGCTTCTGCAGCTAGTTGTTTCTTCCCGTTCCTAAGTGGGTTGTGTGATTGCACTGGGCTTGTCAAAAAATCTAAAGGTGCATTGTTGGTTTTTTCTAGGGCGATTTTGTTGACTCGTCAGAGCTCCTAGAAGGCCCGGAAAGTCCGTCTGGGTCTCCTCACGTCCTCCAATTCGCTCCACTGCCTTTGTGCTTGCAGCCCAGGTTCAAATCGTAGGAAAAGGTAAAGAATTAATTGATGCAACTGCGCGAGTTGCTGCTGCTTTTGATTTGCGCACAGTGAGCAGTTTGGCTGGCTGCAATGTTCTGAAATTGCTCACGTCTTCGCGGAGTTGCAGCGGTTGAGGGATGCTGTTGTTGCTGCTCTCACCCGTAAGCAGTAGCAGCAGCACCAGAAGCAGCTGCCGCTGGTGCAGCGGCGACGAAGGCAGCATTCACAGAGCAGCTCAGTGGCCTTTCTGTCCACAGCATTTTAATGCCTAAGGGCAGACGTACAGGCAACTGTGCCGGTGTGACTGCTTGTGATTGTCTTCGGGCCTCGTTATCCTACCAGTTCTACTTCTGTTGCTGCTGGTGCTCATCCTTCTGATTTTCCTTCAGCGCGAAGTGCGTCTGAGGAGGCGTCAGCACGCTTAACTGAATATGGAAGCCTTCTCCGTGCTGTCTCCTCTCGTCTTTCTGGGAAGCCCCTACGGGCACCCCCCAGCTCTGCCCTGAGGCTCCAGCTGCCATGGTTGTGTACTCTTTTCTGTCCCAGCGGCAGCAATAGCAGCAGTAGCGGCGGCAGTTTGTGGGGAGGGAAAGGTACAGTTGCGTCGGCTGTCCGGACGCTGTGTACACTTGAAGAGGAGCTATGCTGCTGCGTTTTTGCCCTAGCGGCCCTACAACACAACCGAGCCGTTTTACTGCAAAGGGCAGAGGGCTCTCATCATAAGGAGGCTGTTTCACTGTTCTCTCGAGTGCGCTGAAAGTTGGTGTCGCTGCACCCCCGACTGTCATTACTTTGCATTCTGACTTGCTCGCGACATCGCTTTCCTTGTCATTTCCTTGTCTGTGGCCTCTTATTTAGCTTCTTATCTCATGCCCCTATTTGAGTACCACTTTTTTAGATTACGGGGGGTATTCCGTCACCGTAGCTAGCGGTGTGACGTGACCCACATGAGTAGGGTTTCTTCAGCCTTCGTGTCCTTCGTGAATCATTCGCCCGTCTAAAGTTGGTGAAACCCCTTCGATTAGTTTTGTGATATATGTACCACTTGCTCTTTTCTTTCGTGCTTGTGCCTGTGAGATGCATCAGGCTGCCTAGGTCAAAGCTTCTGTGCTTAGTCAGGTATCTGTCGAAGTCTTATTTTTGTCTGTGCTTCAGGCTGCGTCACTCTTTACGATGGCTGAATCTCTGGCCATTTCTGTGAAGACAGTCTCTACAGATGCGAGAGCGTTCGCTGCATTTTCTCTTGCACATGTCCGTGCAGACACCTCGGCTACTACCCAGATACACCGGTAGTTGCTCCAGCAGCAGCTGCTGCTATCCATTGGCAGCCACAGCATTAGCAACAGTAGCAGGAATAAATAACTTCTCTACTGTTCGGGGTGCTAAGATTTTACTGCAGTGCGGCTCGCTATCCGTTGTCACAAGTGCTGCGATCTAGTATTAGTAGATAGTGCTGCTGCGTGATTGTGCTGCCAGGCTCAGTCGGTTTGTTATGAAGTCGCCTCAAGAGAATCTATGAGTCTTTCCTTTCGCTCCAAGTTGGCTGCCCACGCCTCGTCTCTCTTTGCTGCTGCTGCGGCGGGGTTGCAGGAGGCCCAACAGAGGGTATCGGCGGAGGCCTCTTTCATGCCGTGTTAGTGCTAGGCATTGCAGGTGTAGCATCCGCAGTTGCTACTGCTCTATTTCCTAAGGCTTTACTGACCGCGACTGCTGGGTAGAAACTCACGAAGCTGGTGCGGTTGTGGTTGCTTATTACGGTGCTACTGATGCTGCTTTTGGCGCTGCTGCAGCACTGCAGCGGAGTAGCAAGGCAACGGAGGCTGCGGCGTTGGAGGGCTGGTGCAAGTAAGCCGTAGATCTGTGTGTATTTCTGCAAGCTCCTAGCTCCAGCTGCACTTGAGCGGCAGGACACGCCTGTGCACGTTGATATGTCGTACAAAGAAATCACTTGTTCGTGCTGCTGATACTGGTGCAGGTCACAGGAGCTGTGCTACGCCGCGGTCGCGCATTTGCAGCTTGCGCTTCAGCAAAAAGAAACAGCAGAGGCTGAAGGTAATATCTGCCTCAAGTTTCTGTCCTTGCCTCTGTGCGGCTTTTACTACATCGAACCGTCAGTACATGTTCACTTGTTGTTTCTGCTGCAGGAGAAGGCTTCGGCTTGCTTGTCGCTCGCGCTACGCTGGCAGAGGAGTGCTTATCAAGGGCGGAAGCTGCAGCGGCTGCTGCCCTAGCTAGGACTCCTGAGGCTCCCAGGCTACAGACAGCAAAGCTTCGTGCCGCTGTTGATGCGCTGTTAAAGATGGCTAAGAGGGACAACCAACTCGTGTGCACTGCTTCCGTTGCTTTTGGCTTCCATAGCTCAGCAACTAGGACTGCACCTGCTCGACACCAGTTCTGTCTGCAGCGGCAGCAGTGGCGGCAATCAGCCCGTGACTTCTCACAGAGAATACAAGACAAACATTGCTGCTGCTATTGCTGTTGCTACTATTGCCGCTATTATTCAGGTGTACATGGAGCCTGTCCCAAAAATGTCCGCTCTTCCACCACTGGAGGAAAGTTCCGGTCTACGGGGTACAACCCAGGTCTCGCTGCAGGTGGGGCTCTTCAACACCACCAACAGCAGCAAACAGCACCTTGATATTTTTACTGGTTTCTCTCCGTAGCCATATACGATCGCTCAAGAGCATATATGCGTTTAGGCCTTTTCTCTCCGTTTTCTTGAGTCCATACATGGTACATATGAAGATTTCGTTTCTTTTCCGGTTGTTACAGCTGAATACATGTAGCGCTTTGGTGCCCAGTGAATTATTTTCCGAGTTGGTTGCCTTTCTTTTGGCTTCCATTGCTCCATTGCCTAGGATAAGTTGAACGCTTCCCTCTTTGCTTGTTAACTCTGATTAAATGAATCATAGCCCAAGTGTTCGATGCCCGCACCCAGATAGGACCACATTGAACGTAGTCATGCGTATGAAATTATGGCCATGCCAAGCGAAAAATACACGCTTTTTGTGTACGTAAGTTATTTATATGTGTTCTACACACATGCAAAATATATAGACGCGAATGCACTGGCTTCGTGTACTGCTGCGTGTTTCTTGGCGGTTCTGTGCCTTCGTCGCTGTACTGTGCAGGATGTGTTGCCCCCTAATCGCCGGGCTGAACTGCAGCTCAGCGCGCTGCTCCCTGCTGGGGTTCGGGCGCTAGCTGACGAGTACCAGGCGCTGTAAGTAAATTCTGATGCATGCTGCTTCTTTTCGTGTGGCTGGTGCGGTGATTCTCATGCCATCGCAGGGCCGCGGCTCCCCTAGCTTTCAGCTTCACCCTGCTTTATATGCAGAAGTTCTAGTTTTTTCCAATGTCGGTGTCACGTTGCTTTGGGGAAAGAGCACAAACAGCGTGAACGGCAGTGTCAAGGCTGTGCAGGTTCCAGGGTTTGACAGCTCAAGTAAATGAAGAAGCCAACGGCCTCCTCTCCCGAGTTGCTACTTTTCTACAGAAGGAGCAACTGCCTAGTGCGCTGCGCAGCAGGCTTGCTGCTGCGCAGGAGGTCCCACAGCGGCAGCAGCGCGGGCAACAACAATGGAGCGATGAACAGGGGCAAGTTCCCCCACTGCAGAGCAACAAAGGCATCAGTCCTGATCTCCACTTTGAATTCTCCAGTACATGCAGCCAGGAACTGCTGGTAATCCGTTTTGCTGTTTCGCTGCTGCTGTGTGGAACATCTAAATTCATCCAAGATAATGGAGAAGATAATGATGTTGCTGTACTTGCTACTGCAGTGTGTACGTGCCAAGCAAGGGTGGGAGACCCTGATTACCTGCATCACTGTGTACTGCTTTTGCTTTGTTGCAGTCCGTTCAGTCATTGGGAGGCGCGCAGAGGCTGAGGCAGCAGCAGCAAATGCTTGAGCAGCTGTCTGCAGGTGCTGGCATACATTTGGCCACAGTGCAGCACCAGCTGCAGAGCCAACTACAGTTACTGGTGCAGCAACGCCAGCAGCAGCACACCAGTTCCACTCAGGACGAGTTTCGAGTCCAAGAGCAGCAATTTCTTACCCTTGAATGTAAAACCAAAGAACTGATGGAGTGCGCATGTCTTTACGCCACAAAGTTACAGGTGAGCAGCAACTGCTGCACCTGCTGCTGCCACTAGCCCTGCCGCTGTCATTAGCCCTGCAGCTCTGGCTGATGACTTTGCTTTTTCTGCTACTCCATCTACGACAGCGCTTCCTTTAAGATTCGAGAAGGCCCACCTGTAACACTTGCATTTCGCTGCAGCGCAGCTGCAGCTTCATGTTTGGTGTGTGTGTGTCACTGCCATTGCTGCCTGCAGCAAGCGCAAAAGGCCAACGAAATGATTGGCACGCGAATGTATGAGGCCCTTGGCATTTTGAAATTGCTTCCGTGTATGGCCGCACTCCAAAGTGACAGAACCTCTGGGACTACTGTAGGACTGGATAAAGCTTTTGCTCAAGCTCCTACGTTGGAGCAGCTGCTGTGTGCAACAAAGAAAGATGCAGAGCAGCTCGTGCAGAAGCTGCTACTGCGCCTGCATACCTCTGTGGTAGACGGCACGCAACATCATCCATTGTTACAGCAGCGCCTCGATGCTGCGCATGCTGCCCTTGTTGAATTAGAGTCTCGCATTTACAGCCTGCAAGAGGACCAGAACAAGCTGTGCCAGGTAGTTCAGTAGCCAGAGCTCCTCATGGCATCTAGGTTGTGGCTATAGCTTTTGCAGCTGCTGTCATTGTGGCTGCTGTCGGTGCGCTTTTGGAGTAGCACTGGTTGCTACTGGCCCATTCACGTATAAGCGTGTAGCCAGTATTGCTGTTACTGCTGCAGTCTGAGCATTTGCTCCCGGAGCACGTATTGCAGCAGCTGCGACAGGCAGCAGCAACGAGCCCTGACCCGGCAGCAAGTGTATGCACAGCGGCAGCATCTGCAGCTCTTCGAGAGGCCGCGAGAAGCACCAAAAAGAGGATACAGTGCGTACGATCATGCAGTCCTGCTGCTAGTGCTTATTGGCGCATGGCGTTTTTTCAGTGCTGCGAATGTTAGGTTGATGTCGCTGCTGCGCTTAGGGAAGTGGCTCTACAACTTGAGGCGGCGCAGCAGCGATGGTCTGAACTGCTTGCTGCGGAGTCTGAGGAAGCTGAGTTACAGAAGCAGAAACAACAGAAGCTTGCGTCAGAGATGCAGCAAGCCGTTCAGCAGCAAGCATCGCATCTTAGAAAGGCATTTAGTGAACAACAGCAGGGGATTGCTTTCTACTCCCAGCTGCAGGGCTTCTTGCAGCAGCTGCAGCAGCACCAGCAGCAGCTTCTCAAGGATATGAATGCGTGCATACGTTCAGTCCACCAGCAGCAAAAGGAGCAGCAAGAAAAACTGCGGGCACTGCCCAAGGAACTGCAGCAGGAACAGAATGACCAGATTACTCCTTTACAAGCCCCGCAGTGGCCCAACGCGGGCACCCTAAGCACCAGAAGCGGTCGCAGCAGCATAGGCAGCAGTGACAGGAGCGGCAGCAGCACCCCGGCGCCCGCGAACTGGCGACGCTACAGCTGTGGTCCCCATGTGCTCCCTGGAAGCAACCCGAGGCGACTAAGCAGCTCAGATAACAGCAAAAATAAGCATTACTGCGGCGCTGCTGCACCTGAGTGTTTGCCTTCTTTCCCCAGTCCCGACAGCACCTATGGCAGCAGCAGCAGCCAACAACGCCGTGAAGAAGCAACAGAAAATAGGAACAGCATCAACATAGCGGGGGCTTCATTTGCCCTGGCACATTCACCTATCAGAGCCCGCAACAGCAGGCACAGCACATCAACCACGAACAGAAGCTTTCCAGATGCTCCAGCAGCGGCACCTTGTAGCCCCAGATGTACGCCCCAAGATACTGATACGGTGTTCAGGGGCCCCGAACCCCTGTCAAGCTTCCATGTAACAAACCGCGCAAGTAACAGCTAGTCAGGATTGTGGCTAGCACTTGCAGTACCCGCGATACTTGCTGCTGCAACCTGTTTGCTTCGGCTTTCTAGGGATCCGAACCACTAACTGACTGTTGCTGCTTTGGAGACTTACGTGGAAAAAATGAGTTTTTTGTCGCCGCAACTACTTTGTTGCGACCGCTGCTGCCCCATAAGTTGCTGTTCTGATTTGTTGACGGTTTTACGATACAAAGTGGCAGCACGCAAGCGCCCGACAGAGAATCAATATGTGCAAAGGCAGCGAAAAGTGAGGAGCTCGTGGATGAAACATATGCAGCCGCAGCACTCTGCAAGCGAACCAGTTATGCTTAGTGTCGTGCCGCTGCTGTTTGTGCTGCCAGTACAACAGCAAGTACGCATAAGGTGTGTCTATCCCGCAAAAGCGTCGGTTTTCTGCTGCCGCCGTTGCGAACAATAAGCACAGGACCCCGTGCCAGACAAAAGATGCGCTCGTTCAACTATTCTGTCACTCTAGCTGGCAATGTCTTCCACAAGGGTGGCATGTGCGGGGCCCGCCAACCTCGATAAAAACGAAGGTCTGGTCCTGCAGTTCCTTTCGCTTCAGATATCCGCAGCCTCAACTAAATCTTTGTGGCTTGTTGACACTTTTGTGCCACTCAGCCTCTAAAACGGGATCTTTCATAGAAGTCCCCGTTTTGCTAGCAGTGGAAGCCACCCTAAGCCTGCGCTACTGTCAGTGTGGTCCATGAGGGTCTGTTTTCATATTTGCGTCTGACAAGCTCGGCGTTAAGGGGGGAAGTAACGCCAGCCAGTCCGTCGAATGAAACATATTTCTGTACGTCGAAGACGAATGCTGCAGGGCCTGCGATTGAGGTCTCAGAGTCACTGATGTTGCTGATGCCATGCTGCTGCTGCTGCTGCTCATCGCACTTCGTCGATGGCGAAGTGCTCAAGGGGCTTTCGTCGTTCGGCTCTGAGGGGCTCTTGCGTGTGTTTTGCTGCTTTTTCCCCGGATGCTGCGGCTGCTGTTTTGTGTTAACCATCTGAACTGCCGTCGCCAGGTCAGGGTCATCGTCGAAAGACGGCACCGGGGCCCCCCTTCCCCTCCTCAGCAGTCCACCGCCTTCTGCAGACCGCAGAACACGTGCTGAGACCCATAGCTTCGGTTCTTCCTCTTTTGGAGGTGTCATTTCTTGAGGCTTAGGAGCGTCAGTGACTGTATCTTGCTGCACTTCAATCCCCTGTTCCTGCTGTTGTTGTAGCAGTAACTCCCGGGCTTCCTGCTCTCGAAGCTCCTGCAAACCCCTGCGCTGCTCCTCCTCCAGCTTCTTCATAGTGCTCCAGCTCTTGTCTTTCTTGCTCTCAATTTCGTATGCTCCCACTGCACTGACCTTCAGTGAAGTACCCAGACTCCCCTCACCGCCTGATGCTGGGCTGGGGGCAGGTGCAGCCCAGGCTGCTTCCTGTTGAGGCTCCAAGCTCCATCCTGCGGCATCCTCGGCAGTGGGCTCTTCTGTTTTCTCAGCCACCTGCGTCAGCTGCACCAAACGAAATCATATAGGCCACAATAGCATTGGTGCGCTGAATGATAATGGAGTAACAAAGGAGTAGTAATGAGATGCAGCAACTGCTGTTTGGGCATTTTACAGCGCAGACGAAGCCAAGCCTCTCAGCATCACACCACTGCACGGCAACAAAAAAAGGCAAGATGAAAACAAAGCCGTATTGCCGTAGGAAAAAATTCAGAAACCCCTATCTGAAGACCAAAAAGCGGATACTTGACTATTCCAACACACGTCCGTCATTGTACAACAGCTGCACAGGGGACCACCGCATCCATTCTCCTAGTGTTGGTGAGAATTGGTCTTACCTCAGGTGGAGCTGTAACTTTAGTTACTTTCTTCTTCTTTTTTTCAAAAAAGGCGCTTAACTTGCTCATCTTATCCACCTCGGCAGAACTTGCAACAAGCAACGCGCAGCAGGGTGAGGTAAAAGTTCAAATGGCCGCAAAATAAGCCGGAAAACGCTTAATTGTGAGCCAATTTGTATATTGTTCTAAACCAGACACCATAAGTCCGTTTATTTGCTGCTTTCCCTGGGGCTCATGTTTCTTCTAATGAACAGTATCTCCCACCAAGGGGCTGCAGCCACTCTGATCACCGTGGGACTCGCTATTCGGTTTTCGGTTCTTTGATCAAGCAATGGCCCTCCTACAAAATAAGGCGGGAAATGAATAGTTGATTGAAAATAGTTTATAGGGCTATTTATTCGCAGTTATTGTACAGGGTTCAGTGACCAGTACGTACGCTGCCCTATTCCTTTATATAGTGTTCTGGTGTGAGAGCAGTGATGACGCCCTGTGAAACTTCTGCGCAAAAGATCTTTGCTTAAGGCATTCGCATGATTACCTGAAATAATTGCAAAAGAATCTAGCGATTTTACTAGGGGGAGGACGCCAAAAAATTATGGTTGCTCAGGGCTGAGAGATCTAAGGGTCTGTCGCTCCAGCGACTACTGTACCAACAAAAGTGAAAATCCCACATTCCGGAAAAAGACGAAATAAGGAATTCAGTAGTAGCCGCGAAGCGAGCTGCTGCATCTTGGCGCGCAACTGCAGTCATGAGGCGCCTTAAGCTTTGGCGTTGGGAACAAATTCGATGGCAATTAGACTCGAAATGCAGTTCTAAGCCCGTTCAAAGAATGCAAAGAGAAAACTCCTGCCGTTTCTTAAACAGCTGCACTTTTTCTACCATGAGTAAATGATACTGATATGATGTGACGTGCAGAACGTACGCATTTACTCTCCATTCTATGAGTACATGCATCTCTTCTGCATGTCATATCATGTCGGCATGCTAGACGAAAACGCCGCTATTGGAATAGCACGGGGTGTAGGCTCCCCAAGTTCACACCAAAAACCGTTGTTCAGCAGCTTGGAAACATGTTCCGCATCTCCATATTGCAGCAGAATTGACGCCCTTTTGATTCTGTCATTGCCTTTAGCGAAACTTCGAATCTGGAAAAGCTGTCGGCATCGCCAGCTGCACCTGCATAATGTGGATTGCATCAGCGAGAGCAGTTGGCCCCGCAGACATCAAATCATGCTTCCTTTCCTCCAAATGCCAATAACCAGTATACAAAACACAACTTGCATAAATAGAGCAGCTTCTGTTTGGCCTTCTTGTGCACACCAGACTGCACACTACCCGCGTTTTTGATTCATATGCAGCAAGATGGCTTGTTAAGTGGGTCAGCTAATTGGGAGAATGACGT